TCTAAAAAGAGAAACTGACAATAAATGTTGTTGAAATATGACTGAATTGGATTTTATTTGATTCGACATTCAGTTGTTGACTGTATAAGATGTTTATATAACTACTAGGCTACTCCAGTTTACAGTATATGGCACTGAATCATGATGCAAGTTAGACATTATGATGTTCCGGACCTTCGCTTCGGGAAATTTTCTCTAACTGGACCTTATTGAATTTTAATCGAATACCCCTGATTTAGAGGGAGAGACGTCGAGTGACTGGTGCTTAAGTTAGTTAAAACTGAAAAGTGGAACTTCACCAAATCTGTATAATTAAATGGCCACCATGTTGACAGTCATTCAGAGTGGTTTGATGTGAAATGGCCTGTTCTAGAGAAACTACCTATGATTCAGGAATGTTCAAAGTGAAGGTGGTAGTGGGGACGTCTGGAGAAGTGAATGCCTCTGAAAGCCCCCTCTCAAAGTTAATATATAAAATGGTGGGATATATGCTGCGTGATGACTTAAACACTGTTTATGGTAGTTTTGTGGTAAAGTTTTGACTTAATATATTTTAATCAATTCATTTTAATTCCTTAGTGGCGGACGTGTTCATGCACAATCATCATCCACACAAAACACACGTATAGGTTCACAGGTAGTTTTGGGTAGTAAACAAAATGGCTGTTTTTGTGTGGCGGACATGGCGACCCCTGGTTCCTATCAGCGCCACTATAAAGAAATCTGAGTCAGTATATTTACCTGCAGTAAACCATTTCATATCAAAGCACTCTGAATGACTCTGCAGCCACATGTCTACATCTCATGGAGTGAGTTATTCAGGAATTTTGAAATTCTCCTTTATTAGTTCTCCTAACTGAGCTCTAACTTGGTTAGTTGTATAAACTGGAGTTTGAGCATCCGCTTTATGAGAATATTAATTTATGTATAGTAAGCGGAATAAGAACATTTATGGTTAGTACAAGAAATCACTGTGTCACTGGCTAGAGGTTCAGCCAGAACAATGTTTCTGAAATCTTATTTCACTCTGTCATGTTTGTCACCGCTTCTTCTCTTCTTGCAGTCACCTGCACGTCCTTCATCCACCAACAGCATCTTTTAGGTATGGAAGCAACCATTATTTCTTTCTCAGCTGAATTACTTGTAGTACCTTCAGTGCCCACTAGGGGTTCCCAATAGTCTTAGTTGTGCGGGGTTGTGCTAGTTAGAGTGAAGAGTGAGAGTCAGTACTGCCATGTTGAGCTGCTGGCATCTGTAAGAGAACAGAGAAAGAATTAAAAGGAAATAAACTGGCATCTTGGCTCAAGAGTTTTTGTGTGTCACGATATCACACTTTGTTGGCGACGAGGATGGGATATTTTTTGGCCACGGATGGCGTTGGATTCCTCCTCTTGGACATGTGGGGGAAGAGTCAGTCCCGTGTGTGAGTGGCTGCTGCACTGCTGGTAAGGGAGTTTCTGTCTATGAGTGGGGGAGAAGACTAAGCAGAAAAGATTATGGCTACAAATGGGACATTATCCGCGTTTGACTCCAAAAGTCAAACATGGGAAGAGTATTGTGAGATTCTGGAGCAATTTTTTGAGGCAAACGAAATAGAAAATGGAGACAGAAGAAGAGCAATACTTATTAGTGTTGTTGGGGCACAGACCTACACTGTCATGAGGAATCTCATCAGTCCTGAAAAGCCCAAAGAGAAAACATATGCACAGCTAGTCACCTTGCTAAAGGAACATTTTAACCCCAAACCTAGTGAGATTGTGCAGAGGTACAAGTTTGATTCCTGTGATAGAAACCAAGGTGAGTCAGTGGCTGACTATGTAGCGGAGCTGCGCCATCTTGCACAGGATTGCAATTATGGAGACACACTACAGCAGAGGTTGCGAGATCGGATTGTGTGCAGAATAAATGATGACAGAATACAAAGAAGGTTGTTGTCTGAAGCAGACCTGACATTCGAGAAGGCTCTGAAAATTGCACAGTCTGTGGAGGCGGCAAATAAACATGCCCAGGATCTGCAGCTCAAGAACACAGCTATGACGTGTAACAGCCTAACACCAAGGTTGACTGCAGGAGCTGCGTCAAGGAATGTTACAGATGTAAAGGGACTAACTGTAAAGCCTCCGAATGCTGATTTAAGCAAGAGAAGTGCCACTGTTGTGGGACATTTGGTCACATTGCGAAGGCTTGCAAAAATAAACAGAAACAAAACAAAGTGAAAAGGAAACAACAAGGAAGAACAGAGAGGGGGCAAAGTTCTCGCCACTACTCTCACAATTCCCACAATATCATAGAGGGCAGCAGCGACAGCTCGGAGGAAACAGTAGCATTGGCGTGCATAACTCACAAATTGAGCTGTATGAAAGAAAAGTATCTGAGGAAAGTTGCCCCATATACTGTGGACTTGGAAGTGGATGGAAAAAACATTCAATTTGAGATTGACACAGGGTGTAGTCTTACCTTGATGAATGAAGCAAGTTTCAGGAACACTTGGGAAAACATGGAAATTCCAAAACTGAACCCTAGCAAGGTGCAGTTGGAAATGTATACAGGCCAAGAGATTCAGGTTATGGGTCAAGCATGGGTCTCGGTATGCAGCCAACATCAAAAGAAGACCTTACCTCTCATTATAGTAGCAGGAGATGGTCCAAACTTGCTAGGCCGGAGTTGGATGGAGGAGATTCATCTACCTTGGGAGAGAGTAAAACAAGTGAGAGAGATACAAGAGAAGTCAGACAGACCAGGTCTACAGCAAGTTTTAAAGAGGCATGAAATGGTGTTTAAGCTGGGAACTTTGGTAGGTACCAAAGCTACCATACTTGTGTCACCCAGTGCTAAACCTAAGTTCTACAGACCAAGACCTGTTCCTTATGCCATGCAAGCTAAAGGTAATGCAGAGATTGATAGGCTGTTGAAGGAAGAAATCATCAAGCCAGTGCAATACTCAGAATGGGCTGCTCCAGTGGTCCCAGTCTTGAAGCCAGATGGTTCCATAAGACTATGTGGAGATTACAAGTTGACTGTGAACCAAGTCGCTACACTGGAACAATACCCCATACCTCGTGTGGAAGACCTTTTTGCAACTCTGTCAGGTGGAAAGCAATTTACAAAATTAGATATGAGCCATGCATATCTACAGTTACTTTTAGTTGACTCATCTAAACAGTATTTGACAGTGAACACACATCATGGACTGTTCACCTATAATCGTCTTCCATTTGGGGTGGCATCAGCACCAGCGATATTCCAGAGGATCATGGAAGGGCTTCTACAAGGAATTCCACAGGTAGCCATTTACCTGGATGACATTTTGGTCACTGGAGTTGATGAGAAAGAGCATTTGAAAAACTTAGAGGAAGTGCTAACAAGAATCGAAAAGGCGGGACTGCGCTTGAGGAAAGACAAGTGTTCATTCTTGCAGAGAGAAGTGCAGTACCTAGGACATCGAGTGGATGCACAAGGGTTGCACCCCTTGGAGAGCAAAGTACAAGCCATAGTGGATGTGCCAGTTCCAAAGAGTGTCTCAGAATTGAAAGCTTTCCTGGGCCTCTTAAATTACTATGGGAAATTTCTGCCTAACCTGTCTACACTGCTGGCTCCCCTGCATTCCCTGTTGAAGAAGGATGTACAGTGGGGATGGGGTAATGCTCAAGAGGAAGCTTATCATGAGTCCAAGCAGTTACTGGAATCAGCCACAACACTGGTACATTACTCACCAAGCCAAGATCTCATATTGGAGTGATGCGTCAGCATATGGAGTGGGAGCCGTGTTAGCTCACCGCATGCCAGATGGAAGTGAAAGTCCATTGGGATTTGTGTCCTGTACTTTGTCTCCAGCTGAAAAGAAATATTCACAACTGGACAGGGAGGCATTAGCCATCATCTTTGGGATAAAGAAGTTCCACAAGTATCTGTATGGCCGTACATTCGCCATCTGCACTGACCACAAACCGCTAGTTGCCTTATTTGGGGAGAAGAAGGCCATACCACAGATGGGCTCTCCTAGAGTTCAAAGGTGGGCGGTATTGCTGAGTGCCTATGAATATCAGGTTGTATATAGACCAGGGAAGTTTCATTCTAATGCAGATGCTTTGAGATCTACCCCTTCCAGAGAATTCTGGAGAAGAGAAGGAAACAGAGCAAGTTCTGATGATGGATTGCGTAGATTCAGTTCCTGTGGATTCCAGGCAGATTAAGAGCTGGACAGCCAAGGATTCAGTGTTGTCTCAGGTACATGGATATGTGCTGAGAGGATGGCCCACTGTAGTACAACCACAGTTGAAGCCTTACTTCCAAAGATGATGGGAGTTAGGTACTTGTGATGGTTGTGTACTGTGGGGAGCAAGAGTAGTGATACCACAGCAAGGGAGAGAAATGATGTTAAAATTTCTTCATCAGACACATTCAGGCATGTCCCGCATGAAAGGGTTGGCTAGGTCGTACATGTGGTGGCCTGGAACGTACAAAGACGTAGAAAAGACAGTTCAATCATGTGACCAGTGCCAGTGTCACCAGAAAGCACCACCAACCGCACCGTTGCACCCATGGGAGTGGCCTGAAGCTCCATGGTCCAGGATCCATGTAGATTATGCTGGGCCATTCATGGGAAGAATGTTTCTAGTCATCATGGATGCTCATTCAAAATGGTTAGACACCTACCCACTGAAATCGTCAACTTCTCAGATTACCATTGAGAAGTTACTTCAACCAATGGGTTGGCTGAGAGAGCCGTGCAGACCTTGAAGGAGGGTCTAAAGAAAGCAAAGGGAGACACTATTGAGGCCAAATTGTCTAGATTTCTGTTCAGCTACCGGATAACTCCACATGCAACAACAGGGGTGTCACCAGCAGAACTGATGATGTCCCGAAGGTTGAGGTCCACCTTTGATTTGCTTATACCAGACATCCAGGCCAAGGTGAGAAGCTGAAACAGAAAGAAAACCGAGATGGACAAAACAAACTGAGACGTTTCACAAGAGGAGAGGAAGTTCTAGCTCGGAATTATGGATATGGTCCAAAGTGGATTCCAGCTGTTGTGGAGGATTGCACAGGTCCGTCGTCTTATTCAGTGGTCCTGGGAAACGGGCATACCTGGAAAAGACGTCGATCAGCTGAGAGGTCGCAGTTCTGGTGGAGTTCGAGAGCTGATGGAGAGTCCTCTGAGGGTACCTGCAGCAGTACAGGAGACTGTGGAATTGTCTGTGCCAACCTCAACTGAGAACTGTGAGGACTGTACCGAGCAACGGGTTGAACCAGAGATTGTTCTTGCAAAGCCCGATCCTCCAAGCACACCTACTGTGAGTATGCGTCGTTCGGAGAGAGAACGGCGTGCCCTATTAAAGTTAAAAGACTTTGTTATGTAACTTTGCCTTACAAGAACAATTAAGTAATGGATAAGTAGGACATACTAATGCTTAATAGTGAATGTACCTTTAGTTACAGTGTATATAGTATTATGTTCTAGCCTAAAGGGGGAGGGATGTAGTACCTTCAGTGCCCACTAGGGGTTCCCTATAGTCTTAGTTGTGCGGGGTTGTGCTAGTTAGGGTGAAGAGTGAGAGTCAGTACTGCCATGTTGAGCTGCTGGCATCTTTAAGAGAACAGAGAAAGAATTAAAAGGAAATAAACTGGCATCTTTGCTCAAGAGTTTTTGTGTGTCACGATATCACATTACTGCTTTGTTATCGCCCAAGGTAAGTATGTCTGTATTTGAATATTTATACTTAAACCATATGTCAACACGAGTATGTCTCTTTCCCTCTCTCATGATGACTATTGACTGACTGTGAGTCAGTTTCATTGTCTTTTCTTCCTCTTTTACTTCTACGCTCCCTATTAACTCACCACATTTTAAGCTACAGGAGGAGCTTAGTAGTACAAAACTTCTGCACTTGAGTAAAAGTAGACAGTCTTAAAGTAGAAGTATTCTATTTATACTTTTTACTTGAGTTAATGTACAAAAGTAAGAGTTAAATCTGAACTCGTAATGCACTGAAAAGATATTAGTGACTTATTTATTTGTTTGATTTTTGGAACGGTAATCACATTTTTATGGAAGATTATGGTAAAACAGGAATTTTGTCATGTGATGAATTATTATGACGATGGTGATTACCGAAGTAAATATGAACTAACAAAGGTAAGGTTCCGATCTGATTTTGACCTCAAATGTATTTCATCAAATTATCTTAAATAAAAGTACTGAGAATTACAGCAGTTCTTTTTTTAATACTCTCTGTTAAGGAGGCCTGTGAGGCTGCAGGCATTAAAGTTAACTGTTCCTCTCCTTATTGGAAAGTATTCATGAAAATTATAGAACTTCTTTAATAGCTTAGTTCTTTCACTTCTGATACTTAAGTAGTTTAAAAGGAAGCACAAATATTGATCGGTTACTTTTGCTCAAGTTATATTTTACCAAGAGCATTTCCCCTTTTACTCCAGTACAGAGGCTGTGTACTTTGTCCACCCTGCTCCTGGTTTACAAGCAGAGGCTCAGAAACCAGCCCTGTCTGTATAAACGTGTTTTTCAGGTTTGGAAGCAGTGCCTTTACTGGATTTGGGAGGCTTGTATGCTTATAGAAATGCAGTTAGTCGACATAAATATGCCTGTTTCAGTTATTAAAGTTAGTATTTTAAACTTTGACTAAATGTGTCCTCTTCCTACAGCCATCCATCTGCTGCTCCTGGTTCTCAACTGATAAGGACTTACAGCTTGTCCCAGGTACTTTTATTTATAGTAATGTTTACAGTGTTGCTCTTCATAATCTTAGTATATATTTCTGTACATATTTTACTGTAACTTATAGCACAATATTATGTATTTAACATCATGACTCACCTGCTTTGCTTTTTTTTCTTTAGTTTGCAAAAGCTGTTGTATAAAAGCATTAGTACTTTGAATGTTGAGTACTACTGGGAAAAACAGCATTTTTAGTTCACAGAATCACCTTCTTTCTTGTATGCTATTTCATACACATCCCCTTTTTCTTGTTGCTTTATAGATTTATTTCTTATAATGCCTGCAGTTCTTCTAGGATCATTCATAGTCCAAGAAATTGCAAGAAATTGACCAAAATCGCTGGCAAAAATATATTTTTCACAGTTCATCTGTGGGTGTGCACAGGTGATAGATTTAAAAGGCACAAGCAACACCACTTACACTTAAATCAGGGTTAACAGTTTTTAAACACTGTGTCCACTCACTGTCCACTCTAGACGCTCCTACTTTGCTAGTCCTTGTAGATGTAAAGTCAGAGACATCCTCTAGTCAGGATGCTTTTGGCTGGATGTTTTTGATTGGTGGACTACTCTCAGTCCAGCTTCAACATTGAGGTGTTTAAAACTCCAGTATCTGAACAAAACACACACTAACACACCACCACCACGTCAATGTCACTGCAGTGCTGTGAATGATCCATCACCCAAATAATACTTGCTCTCTGGTGGTCCTGTGGTGGCCCTGACTACTGAAGAAGAGGGTGAAGGTATGCAGATAAACAGATGGACTGCAGTCTGTAATTGTAGATCTAAAAATGCTCCTATATGGACCTGATTAAATGGAAAATGAGCAAATACAACATAGCTGTAAATAATAAAGTGGCCAATGAGTGTATACATATAACAAAGCACGGTGGTGTACTGCACAGTTCAGTTTAGTTTGTATTTTTAACACCTGTTTATTGGTATATGGTATATGATTATTTACCTATGTACTGACTATTCCACCCATTTGGTCTGTTTTGTAGGTAAGTGCTGTATATTTATGTAAGACAATTAAAGCAATTGTTTCCAAATGATTTTTAGTCATTGAAATTCATGCATGCATACAGGTGAAAACAGGTGAGCTTTAAGAATTGCTGACTTTACAAGCCATGATACGGTACATACCGGCTGACGACATGATAATGCACATTAAAACTGTGGCAGACTATTGATTGATCAGCTGTGTTCATCTACGCTGTAGTGTCTTCATTGGGGATTGGCTGTTTCTAAATAAAAGTGAATGTTAGGCTACATCTGAGCAAATGCTATGCTTTTGATTCAGGTACATGTAGTTAATAAATAGAGATTTACACTTATGCAGAAAGTATCTGGAAGTGAATGAAGTGAGTATATTTTGCTGGCTAGGCAGGGGAGTGTTAATATCATGGAGTGCCCGGATGTGAGCCGAGCAATTGGGCCAGAATTGGGCCTGGGTTCAAACTGAATTCTAGGCCGATGCCTTTCAAGCTCGGCCTAGATGTAGCCCAACTGATTTTTGCTCTTTAGGGGTTTCATTGTTAAAAAGGTAAGACGTTGAAACAACGTCGTGATATCAATGTTGATTCACTTTTCAAAATCAAAACAAAATCCAACGGTGATTCAACCTTCATCCATTACGTTAATTCAACCCTGAATAAACATTGAACCGCCTGGTAGGGAGGCATTAAACACTTTAGACGTGGTTCCCATCCCCACCGTGAATGATTCTGAGTTGGCACGTTTCTCTTCTACTAGTTAATTAACGTTATGTAGAAAGTTTGAAAAATTGGTGGAGTTCCCCTTTAAGTCTTATTTGAAACAAACTCGTGTGATCTGTCTAACCGCTAAGCTAAATATAGGCTGATTCTCAAACGTCTTTCTACTCCCTAAATAGTGTGCTATGTGAGTTTTGCTATTCTAGCTTCTACACCCAAATAGTGCGTCGTTTGTACAGTGTGGATGCGGCCGAATCCCAAATGGCCAAATGTTATCTATATTATCACTATTTGGTGCAGGAGTTAGCAATTTCATTCATATGCAGTGCACTAGGTAGGGAGCAGGGAGCCATTTGAGATTGAGCCATAGTCTTTGGGTAATCTGTCTTCAACGATCCACCAGAAGGAGAGCCTTGGGTCTCGCTTTTTCCCCACAGACCACGCTGGTACGAACAGAGAAATGTCAGTCATTTATAATAACTCTGGGAAATCAATATTTAGCACTACTGAGGAGTGAAACTGCAAACGGAGAGTCTTTAAATGGTTTTAAACTTTAGAGACGTCAGTCTGCGCCGCTAACCTGACGGGAAAAGAAGCCGTTACTCCATTGTTTTGCTAAGCTAGTCAGCTAACTAGCTACAGCGATTCAAATATAAACAGCAACGGGAGTTTGGGCTACTTAGCTACAACGTTTACTGTCTGTTTCCCTGCGTTATTTTTTCATTATTTTTTCTTTACCTGGACTAAAATGTGTCTGCTTTTAGCGCAGAAATTGCGTTTTTTGACGTTTGTGATACGTTTCCTTGCTAGCGACATCCAGCTAATTAGTTAACGTTAGTCACCGTTGTTACAAGGACGTTAGCTAGCTAGCTAATGCTAACTAGTACGAGTTAAGAGCGAAATTGAGAGTTTCCTCGTCTCAATATGTGTGAGTCACTTTTCAGGATTTTTATAGTAAGCTTGTCCTTTTCACTGAGGCAGTCAACCAGGTTGAACGCTCCCTTTCTCCTTCTGCCCTCCGCCTATGAGCCGGTCAACTTCACACTGAGAGCAGAGAAAGGCTGCTACAAATGGTGAGCCTCATATTAACAAACTTTTTTTTTTTATCAATTTAGAACAAAAAAATAAATTCTATAAAAGCCCATTCCCATCACTTAAAAGAAACGTAGCCCCTAAATATTATTTGCTATGCCATTATTTTGATTATAAATCGTTATTCTGAGATGCTTTATGTTTTTGAAATTGATCATTCACTTAATAATGAAAAAATATATATATATATATATTATTTTAGGTGGTGGGAATGGGCTTCCATATAATTCAGATTGGACCCAATAAGCAAAATCTTTAATGTTCCAACTGTCAGTTTGGTCATCATGAGATGCCATTTGTGTCCCACCATCCTTTACAACAACGTATGTGCATGTTCCAGATAAATAACTTAAAACATTAATAAAACCTAATGTAGTTGGAAAACTTTATTTTTACCTTTCCTTTGCCTAACTGTAACTATCTTTTACCTTGAAATATAATTGAAATACTTCAAAAATCATATTATTTTTGGATTAATGTGTGAATCCATTATGCATCTCACACTTAAAGCATCCTTTTTCATTTGTTTAGAAATAGGTTAAGAACATTTTAATCTTGTCCCTTACCTGAACACGTTCGCTATGAAATGTGTGGGATATTCTAGAAGTCACTTGTTTGACAGGAATTTGTACTATCCAAAAGGTCATGCAAAACCAACAAGTACATTCTTTGTTCTTTGTTTTCAGTGATATTGTGAAATTGACTGACAAAGTCACTTTAAAAGCACAACACTGTTTACTAAATTATAGACTGAAAGTAAATGAGTCACTAAAAACTGTAAATAATTAGAATGTCCTTAATGTCCTCATGTCATTAGTATGGATCCTAGTTATCCTCATTTTTTATATTTGCTAATTCTATGCTAAAAAACTCAGCCCAGTAACTCTTTGAAGCCACTGTCAGCAAAGAAACCTTGAAAAAAATGAGATATTGTTCCTGAAGTGAGTTACTAATGGTGAATAGTTAAATGCATGTTTTCTTAGATTCAGTGTTTAAAAATAACAAAAAAATAAAGTTCAGTTTTTAAGAGTTGCAAGAGCTAAAAGGCATCCTACTCTATTCCTACTCTAAGTCTCTAAAGCATTGTTGGATTCATTTAGGGTGTCCTCTAGGCCTGAGGGGGTTAGGGTGTACCCCCTCTCCTCGTCCCGTCCTCCCGTCTTGCTGCCTCTGTCTTCCTGCAGTCAGTATGCCCTGGTGTCAGCCCTTTCCGCCCCACATTCACCCCAGAGCCGCGGAGCTGCCGTAGTGCAGGCACAGGACACTGGTGAGCACAGCTAAAAAGAGAAATGAGCAAAGCGTGGGACAGTTTAGAGTGAGTGACTTCCCTAAAGTCATTTACAGTCATTGCCCTCTTTAGTAGAAACTCCTACCTTGTAGCTCCATCTTGCTGGTGTACAATTAGAGACTGCAGCCCATCTGCTGATGCACAGTTCGTCTAGGCTTTTAGCAGAGCTCACTGTCTGGCCAGAGAGCTTCTCTTGGCTGGATATTTTTGCATCGTGGTCCACTCTCAACTGACACACTAATAATATCTAAACAGTGTGCATACTTTGTTAGTCCCCTTTTACCCTGTACTTCAGTGGTCAGGACCACTCAAGAACTGAAAACTCCAGCAACACTTCTGTGTCTGATCTTCTCAGACCAACACACACTAACACACCGCCACGTCAGTGTTACTGCAGTGCTGAGAATGATCCACCACACAAATAGTACCTGCTCTGTGAGGGTTCATGGGGGTCCTGACCACTGAAGAACAGGGTAAAAGGGGGCTAGACAATGAACGTTGAAACAAGGAAGTGGTCATAAGGTTATGCCTGAAGTAGATGAAGCTCGTAAAGTGATGAGTGAGTACAAGGTGGAGTTGTAGATAAGAATGGTAAAAATTCAGCAGGCTCAGCTGTGCTTGGTTTAAATGAATTGTGTAATTTTAGAAATACTATATGGACAAAAGTATGTGGACAGCCGACCGTCACATTTATAAGAGCTTGTGTCCATAAAGACATGGTTTGAGGAGTTTTGTGTGGAGGAACCTCAGTGGTCAGGGCAGTGGCGCAGAGCCCTGACCTCAACCCCATTGAACACCTTTGGGATTAAATTAAAACAACAATTGCGAACCAGGTCTTCTCGTCCAACATCAATGCCTGAGCTCACAAGTGCTCTTTTGACTGAATTTGACATAGACACACTCGTATAGGACTCCCTAGATGGCTTACATGATACTTTAGTTTACCTGCAGAATTATTAAACCATTGTTGGTTGTCTCATTCAGTTCTAAGGGTCTGTTTATGGGCCCACTTTAGCTGCTCACTCTGTGCATTGCATATTATTTTGATAGTAGTTATCAGATCATTTATAGTAGGTACTGCATAATAAGTTTGCAGTTTAATGGATTAAATACTGCTGTGTTTGTGATGCCTCTCTTTCATACTGTTGTAATCTCACCCTACTTGCATATGTATGTAATCTTCAAGTATATATCTGTCAAGGCCCCAGAGAAGGATTAAAAAGTGCCGCTTTCTTAGGAAATTAATGGTTAAAAGAAAAGAAAAAAGATAAGATGAGAGCTTTTTTTTCACTAAATTCCATGTGCTATGCATATGTATCATATGTGCCAATCGTAAGGTAGTTATAGGCCAATTAGGAAGCTTCTAGGCATGAGCAAACAACACTTTCTTGAAAACCTTGATTGGGCTGATTTTACTTTGAAATGAAGTCTAATGTGTGGTTGCAGATATGGAGAAACGATACTCAGAAGTGCTCTAGGTGAAATGTATAAGCAAAAAGGGAAGGGAATAAATAACTTTGTTGCTACAAATGATGACGTGTTGTACTGTATGATTTTTGCCAAGATAATGTTCACAAAGTGAAAGAATTTATTGATCGTAAGTGCAGATTGGTGAAATACAGTGGTGGTGATGGGAACCAGATGTCTCAAGCGTTTAATACTACCGTTGTCGACAATTCACTAGTCATTTTGGACAGTAAATAAAGTGGCTATATTTGTGTTGGAGACATTGCAACCCCTGGTTCCTATCACTACAGCTTTAAAGAAATCTGAGTTGGTAAGTTTCTCTACAATGAACCATTTCACATCAGACCACTCTGTATGGAATCTCAACCACTGAATTATGCACAAATCTTTGAAAAATTGGTGGAATTCACCTTAAATACAGGTCATATATGGCATATTATGATGAAAAAATGACAGAATCTCTCCATTTCAGTGACTGGATACACTCTGCGCTGTGATGTCATCACTGATCGGATCCAGAGCATTCAGATAGTGACGATAACCAGACACCTTTTTATTGACGACCCGCCGTTACTGTTAACTGTGCAAGCAATGGACTCAGCAGGTGCACACCATTAGGAAATGCTCTTAAATTTAACGTAGTGTTGTCTTAATGTTTTGAAAACGTTTAGTGGTAAAAGCAGCAACGTTATTTGAAAGGTTTGTTCTCACTTTACATTCCGTTTGTCAGGAAACACTTTCAGCAGTCTGGCGGGGCTGGAGTTTGGCTGGCAGCTGTTATCAGAGGCAGATATGGGAGAGATAGTGAGGTGAGAGAGAATGTAGGAGAGAATATAATGGAATCAAAGTACCGAAGTACAAATTTGGCTGTTTTTCATCCAGATTAAAGTGATGGTTGAGCCAAAAATCTAGTTTACAGTGCCATATTTGCCTCTACAGAGTCATCTATTTTTGTATATTTGTCACACTAAATAATGTCTGATCACATAAAGAAACACAAAACATAGTTTTTAAATGATCATTTTAATTATTGAAAAACATTTTTACAAATTGCCCCTACACCTTCAGCAGCAGTTACTGTAATAAAACACTTCCTATAACTGAAGATGAGTCTTTCACATTTTCATTGAGAAATTTTACCCCATTCCTCTCTGCAGAATTGCTTTAATTCGGCTTCATTTTAAAGCTTCTGAGCATTAACTACCCATTTAAGGTCCTGCCACAGCATCTCAGGACCTCAACTCGTCCATTACAAAACCTTAATGTTGTGTCTTTTGAGCAAGTCAGGAGTGAGCTGGCTCTTGTGCCTAGGATTGTTGTCTTGCTGCATATGCTGCACTTGACCTTCAGTTCATGGACTGATGATGGGACATTATCCTGTTTTAGCTTTGCACCAGATGTAACGGGACCCCTGTCTTCCAATAAGTTCCACTTTCGACCCCTCAGTCCACAGAACATTATTCTAAAAGACTTGGAATTTTTTGACAAGGTGTGTTTTGGTAAATGTGAGACGGTTAGCAGAGTTATTCTATCCCATGGATATAGTTTTTACCCAGTCTTTTTTTTTTAGTAGTCGACAGTAACCTGCAGTTCCTTAGATGTTTGTGAGTCGTTGCTGTACTCCTGCAGTAACTTCAAGAAAATTGAGACCTTTTAACCTACTTTACATTGCTGGAAAGGTTATAGCTAAGTGAAATTTAGCTTAGCAGGGCTGGCATCTATCAAGCCTGGGTGTGTCAACTTCATCTTGATTTGGTTAATTGGTTGATTGAGTAACTAAAGGGACATTTTCACACAGGGCCACACATGCTTTCTTTTCTTCAATAAATACTGTGTTCTGTTTTTTTTTTGCCTTGAAATGTAGTAAGTCAGGCAAGACATGTTTGGTGTCTGAAGTTTGGTTCTTTAGTTTTGTGTGACTAATGTCGCTTGCCTTGAAAACAGTTATGCGTTAAATCGATATATGCACATAATTTTATAAAAGACAAAAGTTGTATTGATGTGATATATTTTATTGTTGTGGAAATGATGTAAACATTTGAATAGTTAATCATATAAAAAATCTTTTTTCAAAATATTATACGTGTTGTATATTGCTAACAGCGCTATTTTCTTATAGCTCATGTTACCTTATATCAGACTCCCTACAATGTAATCATTCTGAGAGCAGCAATCAACACATCAGGATATCGTCCCAGTTTACATACCGATGGTCCTATTGGTGATGCAAAAGTGCTTGGCAGCTTCATCTTTATCTAGAAAAGTAGACAACTGTGCAAGCGTTATCGTAGACAGAGAATCACTCACTGAGATTAACACTAATTAAAGCATATTCCTGCTTCTGAAAGCTGGAAAACGGGAAAAACTTAACTGAAATTGGTTACATAATTGGGGACATTTGACATTATAGTGTGTTATGTTTGTATTTATTGCAAATTGTGCTGTAAATTGACTTGTTTCTGTGCTGACCGGCATCCACCTAGAAGTATAGCCAAATTTTATGTTAATAAACATTTGATTTGGTCTAGAAATGCTACAAAAACTGATAAATATATTTAAATCCCTAAAATGCTGTTTGTAGTGATGTACGTTTTTGAGGATGATAAAGATGAGACGATGAACCTGTAAAAGATCTGAAGTGTAACACGGAACAGACTGAAAAGTTGTATATGTTGTCATTTAGGTTTGTACGTTTCTCGGACACCAGCTACAGCCCTGACCCTCACATCTTGTCTCTGGAGGAGCTGGGGCAGAGAGGGGACAGTGTGCTGCTACAGGGCGTCCGCAGTGGCTCTGCACGCGTACGAGTCTCCCTCCGTCACCCTGAGCATAAGGTACAAATTATTATTGGTTAGTGAGTGATAGACCTGTCAGGATGATGAAATTTTAGCTGGCAATTAATTGTCATGTTAATAATTGGTTTTAACATTTAATTAAGATTGAGATACACTGAGCTCAAACAAACATTACTCACTACCTCCCTCTAAAAGAGTAACTATGGCTACGTTCACACAGCAGGTAAAAGTGGCCCAAATCTTATTTTCTTACCAAATCAGATTTTTTTGTTTGGCTGTTCACATTATCTTTTAAATATCACCTGTATGCAACATTAGTCTGAACAGATCAGCTCCTAAACTGACCCACATGCGCAAAAGAACAATGCTTCACGTGCGCACTCATCCAGAGTGTGTTTGAGCACTTCGTAAAAAGGGCACGTTATTCGGTCACGGCCACTTCTTTGGTTCGCGTCCTCTGATTCTTTAAGCTTTGCTTTCAAACTTCTCTTTGGTGCTGCAGCCTCGTTCTCCAACGGCCACATTCGATCATTTCTTTCAAAATCTCTTCGAACACGGCGCGGCTGCGATAAGTGCCTTCTAATTGTTTGGTACAGAATGTTTGTGCGGCCTCAGCAGCACAAAATGATGACGAATGGCGAGTTGGATTGACATAAAAGTCACATGAATTCCAATCTGGCTGTTCAGACTGAGTTGCATTGCAGCATATCCGATACGTATCAGATTTCAGCACCACATGTGAAAGTGTCCCGGAATTCGGAATTGAAAATGTCAGATTCAGTGTGTTTTTTGCTGTTCACACTGCCACACAGATAACACATCTGTGTCACATACGAAGAAAAAGATTGGATTTGGGCCACTTTTACCTGCTGTGTGGACAAAGCCTAACAAACATCAAATAACATTATTCACCGCTCAGCACCGCCCTCTAAAGGTGTTATCAAACATCAAATAACATTATTCACCGCTCGGCACCGCCCTCTAAAGGTGTTATCAAACATCAAATAACATTATTCACCGCTCGGCACCGCCCTCTAAAGGTGTTATCAAACATCAAATAACATTATTCACCGCTCAGCACTGCCCTCTAAATGTGTTATGAAACATCAAATAAACAAACATTACTCACCACCGCCCTCTAAAGGTGTTATCAAACATCAAATAAACAAACTTTACTCACTTCCGCCCTGTAATTGTGTTAAAGCACCAGTCAGAAGTAAGAACTTTTGTTGTGTTTGATGGTTTCTGCTTTTTTTATTTACATATTTTTGCTCGTTCGAGTGTTTTCTTGCAAAGTGAACATGAAAACCATGAGGTCACAACAATATGATTAATTTACGATTCTTTAGGTGTGCATCCTGAAATCTCAAACTTGACCATGATTCAATTAAATTATTTTGGTATTATTCAGAATTAGTTTGAAAAATGTACTGAATACACAAATGTGGCTAGAGGATCAATACAATACAGCATGCTTTTTATTTATTTATTTTTTTGACAACAACCTGAAAATATATTGTAGCCAAAAATGAGTGCCCACTTAATTAAATATATACTTAGAATTGACTGTAACACTTTTAAGAATGATTACTGTTGAATTGCCACCTTTAGATGTGTCATTATGCATTGATGCAGTAGTGTTTGTGTAGCAGGTAGTGGAAGCCAGTGTGAGCTTATATGTGATGGACAGACTTTATCTGAGCCCAGCTGATGATATATACCTTCTTTTGGGTTCAACTATCACATACAACGTGCAGAGAACTCAGCAAGAGGGAGACAAAGGTACGCTCAGACATGAAGTATTGACAAAGTTACTGTCATCAGATTTGTTTTACTTATTTGTATACTCATATACAGTTCCTTTTAAAAGTTTGGCACCTGAAAAGTCTTGAATTAAGTACTGAAAATTTAATATTTTTTCACTACTGTAACATGCTAAACAACTCAATACTCAGATTTTCAGTTCTTTATTTAAAGGATACTATAATAATCATTATCATCAGGAATCATATTTTAGAAAACAAATCTTTCTTGTTTTAAATATAAGAGGTTGATGCAGGATGTAAACATTATTAAAATTCCAAACCTACTGTTCACTCCCCAGTCCTTACATCCTATACATTTAAACCGAGCTGTAGATTAGCCACTTCATTGTTTTTGTGATGTCACAAAAAACAGCACATTTACAAATATCTGCCTGTTCAGCCTACATTACTTTAGCACTGCTCATTCATGCTGACGTTTTCGAATAAAGTACTGGGCAGCCGAAACAGAGGTCATTTACATATCAGTCTTAAAGGCACAGTAACATAAACTGCCTGTTGAACTTCAAGGGACAAAGAGAGATTAAAAACACATAAAAACAACTGCTTTTGGTACATAAAACCACACAAATGCCATAAGTGGACCTCAGGAAATATGTAGGACCTTTGGGATGTCATACAATGGGAGATTCGCAGCATGAATGCATCTGAAAAAACTACATGAATTACATGATGCAGTTGTGTCAACATGGACCAGTATCTTAAAGGATGTTTACAACATCTTGTGGAACCCATGCCACAAAGAATTAAGGCTGGTTTGAGAGTTAAGAGAAGCCCTAGCCAGTGTTTGTATGGTGTTTGTCATAAGGTGCTCAGTGAGTGATTTGTTTGGCTTTTAAACTGGGCATTACAATTTTTAATGTATTACAAAAATGATATTTTATTACAGTTAAATTTATTAAAATTTATTTAATTTAAAATGGGAATGCTGACTGTGTTTCTAACAGCCTAACAATGCAGTTGCACTTTTACAATTGTAAATGGTGCTTTTGGAATTTTGTATTATTGCTTTTTACATTTTACGTTCATATTGTGCGGCCCCACATAGCCCCACATACAGTATATTATTTTATATAACAGCTTTTGCTAGTATATTACACTACTAATATTATATCACCATAATATTACCACAGAATAAACACAGATGTGCACTGACATTCAGTCATGCCTAGAATGTCAGTGCCACAGTATACAGCTCAGAACACTTCTGCTGAACTAGTGCCACTAATGCATGAACACTCTTTTCTATGTCCTTGCAGAGGTCTCTCTTTCTGAAAGTGGTTATATGCTGGTTGTCGAGGGATACACAGGTGAAGACGGTGATGATGTTGTCAGTGTTAACCAGGACACGGCCAGACTGACTGCGCTGCAACTGGGCCATGCTACTGTAACGCTCAAACATCAGAGTATCCTTTCCTAATTACCTACTACTACCTCAAGTGTAATCATGAGATGACAAGTTCGTAGACATTCACAGACATCTGGGGATGGGAATCCAAGAGAGCATAATTGGCCTCTCTTTTGGATGGATAGGATAGTCCTTTCTCTTCCCCAGCACTCAGCATGATGGTAGCCAGCGTGGGTGTCTCTTAGCTAGCATAACAGCATTGATCCAACAGATCAGCAGACACACATTTGTTTTTTAATTAATGTTGTTTAAAGGGCCTGCATCTTACATTTCTCTTGTTTTTTTCCATGATGTCCACTTATGATGTTTGTGTGGGTTTATTAACAAAAACTGTCATAATTTATTTATATATGACAATTTTCCAGTCTCTCTTTATCCCTCAGATTTGAACTGGCTGTTTTTGTTATCTTTAAAACTGATATATGGCTGATATATAAAGGTATGTGGACACTCCTCCTATTTATTGAGTTCATGGGTTTTGGGCCCAAGTATTGCAAACAGGTGTATAAATATTAAGCACATAGCCACATAGACATGTCTTTCATAGCCAAGTAGATGTACAAAAGCCTAAGGTTCTCTGGTGTGTTAAATTACGCTTCACTCTCTAGCAGTCTTATGACAAATCTGGGTTTGGCAGATGCCAGGAGAACGCTACCTACTGGAATGCACAGTATCAACAGTTGTGTTTGGTAGAGGAGAGATAATCGTCTAGGACTGTTTTTCAGGGTTTGGGTTTGACCCCTTAGTTCCATTGAAGGGTAATGTTAATGCTTTAGTATAAAAAGACATTTTAGACAAATACATCCCTGCTGTCGGAACAAAACTTCATCTCCATAATGGTAACTGTACAGGAGAAGTCAAAAACATTCTTAATTTTAAATAGAAGTTAATAGAACTAGATTTTGTCTGAAGTAATTTTGTTGCTTTACTGTTGGTCTATTCATCATGAGATTTTAACATGTTGTTAAAGCTGGCATTTTGAAATTCTGTAAAAAAAGAACAAAATGGAGATACAAGGTGTCATTCCAACAGCAGCAAAATACTTCCAACTTTGTGACAACAGCCCCTTTCCTGTTCTAGCATGACTGTGCCCCTGTGCACAAAGCAAGCTCCATAAAGACACGGTTTGATGAATTTAGTGTGGAGGAACTCCAGTGGTCTGCACAGAGCCCTAACCTTGACCTCACTGAGGACCTTTGGGATGAATTAGAATGCCTATTGCAAGCCAGGCCTGCTTGCCCATCATCAGTACTTGACCTCACAAATGCTCTTTTGACTGAATGGGCACAAATTCCCTCAAAAACACTCCAGAATCTTGTGGAAAGTGTTCGGTGTAAAGGCTGTTACAGCCGCAAAGTGGGGCCAACTCCATATTAATGCTGATGGACTTGAAATGGGATGTCCAACAAGCTCATACTTGGACACACAAACTTTGGCCCATGTAGTGTATGTAAATGACATCTTTTCTAAATGACTGCCCTGTTTTGTGCCTGATTCAAAAAGCATTCGAGGCTAAAATATTTCTTATAACTTCAGTATGAATGGTCGGGCTAAGCAGATATTTGTGAGTGCCAGTGACATAACCAAAAAAAAAAAAGTAAAATGAAATGGGCTGTTTTTCCACCCTGGTCTCCTTATATAGACTTTATGTACTGGCAAGTGAACTGTATGTTTTAAAACCTTTACATTGTTCACATGAAAACCATTCCAAAAAAGGTGGGATCATAGGTAAAATGCAAATAACAGAAAGCAGTAATTTATAAATCTACTTTGACTTTTTTTTAACAAAAACAGTACAAAGACAAGACATGTAATGTTTTATGTTATCAATTTCATAGTTTATTTTGTAAATATACATTTATTCTGAAATTACGTCCTCAACACATTGTAAAGAAGTTGAGACAGGTGCAATTTAAAACTAGAAACATTATGAAATATTCAAAAACATATTAAACAGGTTATGCAGTTTTGTTTAGATATAAAAGGAGCATCCAGGAAATGGACGGATGCACAGTGGAAACATGTATTGTGGTCTGATGAGTCAGCCTTTCAGAATATTTGTGAAATACTGAGTGTCTTTTTCTGTGGGCCAAAGAAGTAAAGGGCCATCTAGATTGTTACCAACGTAAGGTTCAAAGGTCAGGGTCTGTCATGGTGTGAGGGGGTATTAGTGGGTAACCTACATATCTGTGAAAGCACCATTAATGTTGAACACATTTTGGAGCAACATAGAAACCTAAGCTTATTTCAACATGATAACACCAAGCCACATTCTGCACGGGTTACAACATCATGGCTGTGTAATCAGAGAGTGGGTGCTAGACTGACCTGCCTGCAGTCCAGAACTGTCTCTCATTGAACGTGTTTTATTAAGCTCAAAATATGACAAAAAGGCCCTGTGAAAAAGCTGAAAAATTATGCTTTTAAGATGGAACCAATTAATGTTTTCGGTCCAGAAACGTTTGTTAAGTGCTGTTAAATAAAAAAGTAATGTAACATAGTGTTAAACATGTTTCTGTCAACTTTTTTGGAATGTGTTATGGGCATCAAATTTGATGTCATCGTATATTTACAAAAAAAACAGTTCAACAAGTAAAATATATAATATGTTTTGGACCATTTTCAGTTTCATACAGATCACTTTATGTTTTTATTTGCATTTCACATACAGTCCCAACTTTTTTGCAATTGGTTTTGTACTACATCACACTCTTTTATTTCAAAGGACTGAAGAAATTTATTTTTTCCATGATGTAAGCCCTTTATCTGTCCACATCAGATGTAAGCAAAACTATTGTCTGTACATCTGATCACTTACTTTCTCTGAAACGACAGCCTAAGATCTTCTGTTTTAGCTCTGATATTCTGCTGTCAAATCCTGATGCTCTAATATTTTACATGCATTGTAGAAGTGGCATGTAAAAGTTCTTAAATGTCAAGTAAAAATAATCATTTTCTATCATAGTGGATAATAAATTTTAGAACCAGGACACACACACACTCTTGTACAAAACCCCAGTTGTCCTAATGCTGTTAAAGTAGAGTGTGTTGTTTTGTACGTTCCTGAACTGAGCCGTGACCCAGGTGTGCAGCATGAGTCAGCGTCCCACCTCCCTCGCTCCAATGTGCACGTGGTGGCGCCCACCTACCTGAGTGAGTTGACCCCTGCGCACCTGCACACCCACCACTGCACTCACTTTAAAACACACCTGAGGCATGTTCAAATCTGGGTGGCAGTAAACACATTAGCTGTAGACTCTTGCTTTTGAACAGCCAAAAGTTGAACTGTTATAGCAGATGAAACTGTTACAGACTTTGAAAAAACACAGCAGTGGTTTTGAGATGTTAGAGTGTGTGGCGCTGGTACGAGTGTATCACTGTGGTCAGAAATTGATGACCCTGGAGCGTGGGTGTTCAACTAAACATATGAAGGTCCATTTACATCAGATTTCTTGCTTACAAAGGTCCGGATAAACAAACAAAGGAATCTTTTCCACTGTAGAGCCAAATGGTTTTCACTGTTCATAACAGCAGAGCACCAGTTAGTCAGAATCCAACCTGAACTGTTGTGTTTGGATCTGTAGCCCATTAGCCTAGATAGCAGGTGTAGTTTTGGTGTTTTGTCTGAACTCATCTAAACTTGTGTCAGTGTAACTTGTTAGTTAGAATCAGACCTGTTCTGTGGTGAGCAGAGCTGGTAGCATGGTAGCTGTGTTATTGCTAAACAGCTCCTCTCTCCTAGTCAGGAAAGACGTTTCAGCATTTAGCTATTAATATTAGATTGATGGTTTGACATTTATTGAACGGTGGACTGAAAATCAAGCACTTTCATTTATTTAATGACCGTGTAAGCCACCTGAACTTACTCGATTGTTTTCGGTTTTGGCAAGACACCGTGGCACAATACCAGAGTAAACATAGTGCCAATCAACAGTAGCTACATCATTATGTTATCCCACTGAACTGTTCTGAGGCCCTGAGCACAGGTTACTAACCGTGTCAAGAACAACCCTTACCTTTAAACGCTTAACACTCTGCACTGTCAGAGATGAATGAGCCTTCTGGTGGATTTTCATTTTTTATTAATAAAAGAAAACTGAGTCCTCTTTATAGTTCACTTAGATTGTGAAAACAAAAAGAACTGAGGTCGTTTGCAGTTGGTTCGCTTTCAGGTTCACTTTAACAGAACTCTTTTAAAAAAAACCTATATGTGAAAACACTTAGTTTCCTTTGGTAACCAGTGGCATTCCACAAACTGTAATGTTGTCCTCAACAATTGAATACGAATCCAGCCTTCACTCAACATGGACATATTATGAAGAATAAACAGCAAATTGTCATAAACGCCTTTCTGCTCATCTTGCAGCTAAAAAGCTTTAATAGGGCTAAAATCTTAGGCTGACTTTACATGGTGAAACTTTCATGCAAGTAGTTGCATGTTATGAGTTGCATGCAACTTAATTTCTGTGCAACTTGACTGTTACACAAAGCTGCACACATTTTAGTACTCACTAGTTAGCTAAATTAGCAGCTTGTATTTATTAACACATTGTGTTTTATTGTTATGTAAAGTGATCTGCGCCATGTTACATTTGCATATATAATATAACATCATTTTTCCAGTTGTCTTTCTCCTTTGTGTATATATAGCGCCATATATCTTTTCACCTGTACTATATATGTATGAGACTGTTGTGGCTAACCCTAACCCTAGGCTCAAGTGAGTTGCAGGACTCTTTACATTATGCAACTCAAAATTAAATTTAGTTTAATGTAAGTTGCAAGCAACTGAAGTTGCGTGTAAGTTTCACTATGTGAAGCCAGCCATAGTGGGACTTGAGGAGAAAGCAGGTTTAAAGAGGAAATGTGTGTGTGTGTGTGTGTGTGTGTGTGTGTGTGTGTGTGTGTGTGTGTGTGTGTGTGTGTGTTTTATGTATGCGTGTCACAGCTCTGAGTATAAAAGAGGAAGAAGACAGGTGGGTGTTGGAGACTGGGCGTCAGTATCATTTGGCGGTTCACGTTCATGACAGCGCAGGCCATGTGGTTCATCTGTCACAGGTACTTCCTTTATTAACACTAACATATCATTTAAAAAGGCATTTGTTGGACTGCCAGTTGGTGAGGTGTGATGGTTCCACATTTCTGCTCTACCCTGGTTCCCAGCATACTAGGTTAGAGCAAGAACTTGGAAGTGACTGGTGGGCCCAAAGGAATAGGTTCAGAAATGATGCTTTACACCACTCCAGCCAGCGTTTGGCTTTGCACATGGTGTTATTAGGCTTGTTAGTTGCTGGTCAACCTTGGAAACTTAATCCATCATAAATTCTAATCCATTCTAATCCTAAATACTGTTCTTGGAAGATCTTACACTGATGTTGCTTCCAGAGGCCGTTTGGAACTCAATAACGACTGAGAACAGACTTTTACATGCTATGTACGTTCCCTAGATGTTTCCACTTCATAATAGCAGCAGTTACAGTTGATTGGGGCAGCTCTAGCAGGGCAGAAAAAAAGACTTCATCCTGAAATAGTGCCTTGTTGAAAGACATTGGATACTTTAGCAAAGTAGAGGTTAGCAAAGTAATGACAGTTGATGCTTAAAATTGTAATATTGATAATGCTAATAAACAGTAATGTAATATTAATGATAGTGTTGATGTGCAGAATGTATTGTTCTTCATTTACCGAATAGCATATCTAGTATGGCATATTCAGTGTGTGACATTGTGAGATGTTAACGGATTCCTGGTGGCCTCCAACAAAATATTATAGACCTATTGTGTATGTAGTAATCATTCTTCCTGTACCAGTAAATGATCTCTTCATGTGATTCTGTATTTCTGATCTAGATATCTTTACTTTAGTAAGAGTATTATGAAAACCAATGTAATTGTAACTAGTAATTAATATTGCAGTGGATATTATATGATTGGGATGCTAAATATGCAGATTTTGTTAATTCACTGACAGATAATGCGAACAAACCGGCATCTTCCAAGGTGCTGAGAACCAACTGCATTTCTCCCTCAAGGACAAATAGCATTTATGCACTGGATCACTGGTTTGTGCTTGGGTGTTTGTCACTGACAGTCTCTTTTCTCTATGTGAATGTCTTCTCTCCCGTCTCTCTGCAGAATGTGATGATGGTGGTGGAGCTGTGTGACAAATTTGCAGTATTGGACTCTTCCCCTAATCTCTCCAGCCACCTGGTGCAGACTCGCGCAGCAGGACGCACCTCAATTGTTGCCACGCTGTCTGGCCTGCTTACCGAAGTAACACACGCACACACAGCTTTATCAGCACATCTCTTACTTTTTCCTCTTGGAATATAGCACAAAGACACAGTCCTGTCAATCACTTTTCCCTCTCACTTCCTGCTTCTCTTATCACACCTTCAGATGCTTATATTAACCTTTAGAAATATAGGGTTGTTATGTCAGCTTGGCAAAGCCAGCTTACTGTTTTGTTATTCTACGTTATTTGTTTCTGTTTTCATTGGGGGGGCAGTTTTCAAACTAGAACCGCAAAACTGCGGGATCATAGCGCCCATACAGGAATAATGGAATTTGTGTTTCTGGCGTCGATTTAGTTTTTGTACAGTGTTCATTTAAACATAGTTTTTTTTTCCCCATACAAAATGGATGGTGGAATGTGGGGAAATTCAGATCTAGCTGCCACAAATTATATCACAAAAGACATCTTTCATAACATTACATACAGACTCTGTCTGCCTGCTGTCCGTCTATTCCTTCATTTGACCAGCTGTTCTTTTATCTGTTTGTCTGTTCATTCAGCGGCAGCATTTCCTAGATGTAAAGTGAATAAGAACTTAATGTTCTTTAAGACACCATATAAAAAATGGATAATGTTTTTAGAGAACAGACACAGTTGTTTCACTTGTGCTGTTGTGTGTAGTTCTACTTCACTGGCGTAGAAGGCTAAGAGTGTTGGGTTAAGGGCTGGATGTAATATCACAACAAATTACAGTATCATACAATGATTTTTAATATTTTTTCCTGGGACTTTAAAATATAATCCATCACAGGGAGTTACACAGTTGATTACATTCACATTCAATTTACTTTCTGTTTTAATAGGTTTGAGTTTTCTTTTTCAAAAAATAACAAAAACATGGCAAAAATAAAAAGGTGATGACTGCATACATGAAAACATAATAAAACAGCTAGAACAAATACTGAAAAACACTCACTAGTTTCTTTTTTGTCACTGAAGCGATTTATATTACAGTTTATTTTATTCTTAATGATACATGTATGATCACATTTTATTAATTGCACAATGTCTTTTTCAATGCTTTTAACATTAATGACTGACCACATTCTATGCATAATACAAACACTTTTGTCTCATAGGATGGTGAAGAACAACCCCTCATTCCACCAATCAAAGTGCAGCAGGATGTGGAGATCTATGAGCCCCTCACTTTGCTGCCTTCTTTGCTTGTGTTTCCCTGGCAACCCAGAAATGAGCAGTATCAGTACAAGCTACAGGTACAGGAGTTTCCTAACACAGTAATCTGAATATACTTGTAAGTATAGCTTTTTGTGGTCACTGTATGTTTTGGGATATTGTCTACTGCTAGAACACTGAACAACTGCATGTATTATAAGAAGACCTTTAAATAACAATAACCAGTGTAGAGTAACTGTATAAGCTACTAAATAATTATATAATGTAAATACAGTGCTTATAATAAATATTGTACTAATTCTAGGCTTCTGTACGTTACAGTAAATTGTTATACAATTGTATGCAAAGTTAAAACACCTCTGGTCAAATGACATGTTTTGTTGATTTTCACACATCTTCTATAAAGAACACACTTAAATATGATTATATGAATATATCCTGAATGTATGACTATATTTCTGCTAAATATAGAGTACAATTTCTCTTTATTTGCTGGGTTTAACATACTGGAAAAACAAGCCATAACAAAAAACAACTTTTCCCCTTTTCTTTTATCATGAAAATATGTTAGATTCAGCAAATAAACTGTAATTGTGTATTACAATTGCAGAATTGTGTTCTCAGTAGTATGTGTACTTATTTTCCTTTAGGAAATCAACAACATATTTAATTTGACTTCTGAGAATTTTTCATATAACTGTAGATGACTGGACATCAGCCTGTATTTAAATGTATTGTTAGTAATGGTTTAATTTTGCTCTAGATCCTACTTAAAGTGTAAAGTACACTGAATATGGCAGGTTGTTTTGATGGTGCATTTTGTTCAACTTGTTTGCAAACCACGGAAACTTTACGTTACATATTGTGTATCATGAAAAACTATTCATATTAAATTTCTGCCATATTTCCCACTCCTATATGTATGCACTGCAAAGGTTATACTTGGACATTGGTTGCATTTTCTGCACTTCTTAACCAAAGCAATTTCAAACACATTCCGTGATGTTGAGGTCTGGACTCTGGGGAGGTCAGTCAATTGTCCTTTTTTGTCTATTTCCTTTTCTCAGTAACAGCTTCTTGACAGCTACACATCCTTTCAGACTCATAGTGCTGAGTTCTCACAGTGGAAGGATGGACTGAAAACTGTTTATCAGACGTGGAGATGATTAGGCCTAGCAACACCTTCGCAAACTGTATAGTACTACATGTGCGTTTTTGTGTCTGCAGGTGCAAGGGGGTAGCGGCTCTCTAAACTGGGTTGTGTCTGACAGTGAAATTGCGACAGTGACAGTAAATGGCACGGTGTTAGCAGGAGAAAAGAGAGGCCAGGCTCATATTGAGGCATCGGATGCCAGAAATCCTCTTCACAAAGCATTTGGACAGGTGAAAAAAAAAAACAAATGAAAACACACAGACAAAACCAGGACAAGTAGAGTGGCACTTCTGAGCTCTGTGTAGTGCTTTGGCGGTTGTCCATGTCCCATTTGAAAGGCCTGAATCAACAAAGGATCATTAGTTGAGCGTGTTGATGACAGCAGCAATGCAGTTCATCTATTAGACTTATTCCTGGAAACAGGCCTTCCTGTAGAGCTCCAAAACTAATCTAAAACACCTGGCTCTAATAAACAGATGCTCCAGCAGCCCTTACTTCATCTTATGTGCATCTTATGTGTTATAGTGAGTTGAAACTCAGCTCTGCGCAAGGGTACATGTTCAAAAGCATATTCATGTATCACAGAGTTGGACAGATGATTAGTTAACCTACAAAAGTCTCAAGATAAAACAAAAGAATGTTTATGTTCTTAATTTCTTATGCAAAGCTCACTGACACAAGCAGAGAAATTCTGCCTTGGAAATGTAGGTTCTAAGCTTTTAATCCCTACCACATTTGTGTTTGTATGTAGAAGAGATATTTTATTATGATTTGAAATTTATAAAAGTTATTGTTGTGCAAACAGTATTTTTTGTGGAAACTGTCCTTAACTTTTTTTTGTCATTGAGTCAAGCGTAAAAATTGCAGGCTCAACACTGTTGATACAGTGTGAATTACAGAATCAGTTACATTCACATTCAGTTTATATTCTGTATCAGTGAGGTATGCACTTGTTTTTTTCACAAGACTATGCACACAGTAACTTTTCATCAAATTCAACTCATAGTAAAATATCTTCTACTTACGAACACAAAATTGTATAAACATAATTTATCATGTAAATTTGTAATTGGGTCTAAATAATTATGTATGGTAAATCCAGTGCTAAGAAAAATGATAGTAATAATTCTAAAGTATAAAAACGGTTATACAGCTGTGTGCCACAGATTGAACACTCCAAGTCAAATGACATGTTTTGCTGATTTAGTGAAAGCCCTCAACAGGAAACAAACATAAATATGATATTTTTCTGCAAATGTTAGTGCACAATTTCTGTTTATTTGCTGATGTAAAAATGTAAAATGTAAAAAAAATATATATATATTTTTATTTAAGTTTTGCGCATGTCACTTTTGATGGTTTTGTCCAAATATGTTAAATTCAACACATATACAGTAATTGTGCATTGAAATACACAGACGTATGTCCTTGGTTTTTATATATGTATATGCAAGTGCCATTGTGTAATTATAATGTGTCCCATGTACATTATAAATACATAAGTGCCTGTATGTAATAATAATTCCTGAAAATTTAAAGCTGATTCTCAGTTACCCTGTTTTTTATCAGATGCTACAGCAAATTGATTTGAAAGTAATTATTAAACTGTTATTCTTGTTTGTTGCTTCATGAAATTGTAAAGCTTCATGCAACTATCTAACTTTTGCAACAGTAAAGTTAACTTTGTAAATTGAAGTGAAGTAACTTGAAGTGATTTATCATTAACGGTAGCTAACAGTTCATGCAATTGAGAATAAGCAGTTAAGTTGGTTTCACATTCATATATTTTTTCAAACATAGGCTTGTGTTTGCAACAAAGAGAGCTACAACTTATTTTTAGTCTGAAATTACTGCTGTTTTGCTGTTGCAACTACTGAACTACGAAGGGACTGCAGAGAAACTATATTACAGTGATACAGCTACAGTCATGGGGGTCAAAGCACTGCATTACTGAGCTTTATTTATAAAGAGTATTTATCATCTGGTCTCTTAGTGCTTAGTTTTAGTGTAAATAATTATTATTTTTAACCAAGACAGTCACCTACAGCTTGTCTGAAATTAATGCCAATTTTCTGTTAACTGCTGAGCTGCTATGGGGTCATCGACCAGTTACATTACAGTAATACAGCTTAAAGTGGCAATCATTGGGGTCAAAGCACTATACAGCAATGTGCTCCGTTTCATCTTGTTAATAAGTACAAGTACACTGTAATAAGTTGATGTAAATTTATAGCAGAAATTTACTGTATTCCTTAAACACAGCAGATTGCTGTGAAGAACGTTGTATATAGAAGAAACAGGTCAAGCTCTTCTTGTTGGATTTTACAGTAATTAGCTGTTATTTTTAAGTATTTATTAAGTATATTGGGAAAGTGGCTGGTACATTGTACAGTCTTGAGCAGCCTGTCTCTGGATATTGAAGTGACTGGGGTGGAGCTTCCCAGCATTCCTTGTGGTTTTGTTAGTTTTTGTTAGTTTTTGTTAATTTGGGGTCTGAATGTTTTCCTTACTTGGTAGAATACTTTTCATCCTGTCAGATTGTGTGGTTGGAACTAACTGTAAAAACAATCATATTTCCTATTCATATCTTCTGTGTATGTGTGTGTGTGAGCAGGTGCTGGTCGTGAGGCCTGCCTGGCTGCAGCTGATGCCCCAGCAGGGTGACTGTAAAATTGGGGAGAAGATAGACCTTCCTCTGGCTGTCTGGGGGACTCAGGACATGTCCGATACACACCTTCAGGCACACACAGACCTTGATATGCATCATGACCCCAACACATACTCTCAGTCTGACACTGCCAAGTCCTCACAAGCCTGGAATGGAAGCTTTCTGTCAGTTCTTGACTGCTCTCACCTCTCTCTGCATGTCCACACTGAACCTGCCGGAGTCTTCACACTCATATCAGGTACATCTTTCCCTTGTTCTGTCTCTCATTGCCCTGTAGGCCAACAGGATATTTATGTTTTTTGTATTTATGTAAAATTTTAAACCCAAGTCATTTATTATTTGCTGCTAATGTAACCATAGTACTATACAAAGATACGAAAAAAGACGAGGACTGGGAAAAAGGTACAAACTTGACTAGGCTATTTCATTCATAATTACAGTTTCCTACAACATTTTGCATTCAGTGATTATGCTGTACGATGAGCAGCAGGCAGTAAACGTGCTATGCTGGCTTTACACAGTGTACTTTCGAAACTCAGCCGCAACAGTTGCAATTGTGAGACAAGTTTATGAAACAGCTGATCAAAACGCTGATAATGCATCACGTGATCACATCAAACGACATATTTTCAAGCCACTGATTTTATTGGACTAGAAATAAAAACAGAAAATAGTTTATTAGGCAGTTCAAAAGGAGACCCCCATGACTGACTCAATTTTGTAATTTTCCTAAGCCATGACAATAAATGTGAGCTTCTCGAAGCTAATGTTTCTGTAACCAGCTGCATTAACTAACCAGCTAATGCCAACAGCTGTTTAAACAGTTGTTTGTGCCACCGTTAATTCTTCTGACAGAGGTCAGATTCATTTGGGATCCAAAGGATGAAAGTCATTACAGAAGAGGAGACTTGTTATACTTCTAGGACAGGATGAGTGGGACATCAAGCAGGCTATAGCCGTAATGGCTGCTTAAACATTCAAAGGCTTGACACACATACAATAGATAAAAATATGAAATATGCAGGAAAGTACCACAGATAGCAATGACAGCTGGAAAAAAACAAAGATGAAAAAATTCTTCAGATGTGTAAAACAAACCTCATGGATGCAAGAGCGATATAGTGCGTTTAAAAATAAAAGCTACTAATTTGCAGAACTAGTGGAGGAGTCAAATGTATCACATGCTACTTTGTAAGTTGCCTTGTGTTACTGTCAGGTTTCACAGAAATGGTGTTGCATGCAAGTCACAATATGCAACTAGTTGCATGAAATGTAAAGCCATACTTGGACAGCTGCACCACTCAGAAGTCTTTTGGTATATATATATATATACACACACACACACACATATATTCACTCTGCTTTTCTATTGTCTGTCTTATGTATTTTTATCTATTGTATTTGTTCTGTAATTCTCCCATAGGGTCTGTATCTCCTGGTAGTGGCTTCTGTGGAGGAGTGTGTTTAGAGGCTGTGGCACAGGGCCACACACATGTGACTGTTACTGTTAAAACAGACAGGGGCAACATCAGTGCCACAGCAACACTGGCTGCCTATAGTCCTCTCAGGGTAAGTTGTATGCAATCAGTGATAGATACTGTAGTAAACAGTAGTACGGTAATACATTTTTTACGGTAGTAAAAAAGATAAGAGGAAAGTGTGTAACTGACTGGGTGTGGTTACACTGCTCTTATTGAGCTATACACAAACATTTCTGTAGTATAACTACAGAAGACTGAGGTTTGAAAAAATAACAGGAGCGATATAAAGAAAAAGCTACTGATGTGTACTGATGGGTAGTGAAACTGTAATTACAGCCACACTTTAGCTGTGTAGTGCATTCACATTCAGTGTAACTGCAGTTATCTAAAGCAGTAGTTGACCTTGATTCATTTTACCTCAGTCTGTAAGAGATTATTGGATTCATGACTGCATTAATCTAAACTGGGTGTAGTTTTTCTGTGATCTTTTTTTTATTAGTTTTGAAAAGATATCATCTGTAGCCTACAATCATCTCTGATGCGGACAAACATAAATAAGCACAGTCAAAATTACTGTCAGTAAAAGCACAGATACAGTCACAGTCACACCAGCTGATAAAAAAAAGTAAAACTGATGCAGTAAAACCGATGCATACGCATCCCACGTCAATACTGTAGCTGATTTAGCTTAATTAACTGTGTGTAGTTTTTGTGGTTTGACAACAATGATTGTGGATTGATTTTAATACAGCGTGAATCTGCAGTGTGTCTACACACTTAAAAATGATGGCTTTTCAAGGGTTCTTTAGTAAAGAGAATGGTTCTATATAGAACCATGAACATTCAAAGAACCCTTTGTATGATTAAAGTGTTCTTTGTATGGTAAATTGGTTCTTCAGATTGATGGAAAATGTGCTCTAGATGGTTCTATATAGCACCAAAAAGGGTGGTTCTATCGTTTATGTCAAGCCTGTAACAATAAAAGAACCCTTTTTAGTGCTATATAGAACGCTTTTCAAAAAGATTCTGTTGAAGCCGTATAAAATACCTTCTCTAACAATCTGAAGAACCCTTTAATGATGCAAAGAACCATTTGATCATGCCAAGGGTTAAGTGTTCATTGTTCTATATAGAACTATTTTCTTTACTAAAGAGCTCTTGAAGAACCATCTTTTTAAGTGTGTAGTTTTGCTGTCTGACAGTAATGAATCCAAAATGAATCTGCAATATGTGTAGTTTTTGCAGTCTGACAGTAACAACTGTGGAGTGATTTTAATCCAGTACGAACCTGCTTCGCGTGTGGTATTTACAGTGTGGCAGTAATAACTCTGGATTGATTTTTATCTAGTATCTGTAGTTAATAGTGATGCTGTTCCAACCCACCTCATTCTAATGGAATAACAAAACCTGCTAATAGACAAGACAGTACAGCATGTTGTTATTGTGCCAGGCTAGGACTTTTTAATCCAGACACTCTATGGGAATTTGGGGAGATTACACTGATACTTAGTGTCTTACAAATCAACCAATCAAATTGCTTAATTTGTATTATTACACAGCTTCCACTGCTGCTCCAATAGTGATAATGTGAGGCCATGTTTGTTTCTCTTTCTCAGGCTCTGGTGTCAGAGGTTCTTCTTACTGTGGGCTCCTCTCGTCTGCTGGTGTTTGAGGGGGGGCCACAGCCATGGCCGCTGGCCCCAGCCCGCTTCTTCAGCAGCACCCAAGCACAGCCAGAAGGTGGCCTCACCGTGGAGGAACTGAGTCTGACGGAAGTGAGGCTTGCCAGACATGCATACCGTGTCATGTGCATCTCACTAGGAGAACAGGTCAGAGAATCTTCGAGATCAGACGTTAAAACGTTTTTTACAAAGTATTACCCTTACCCTTCAAATGTAATCACCAAAGACATATTTGGCATCTGATGTTGGCTTCTTTAGTTTTACTCTGGAGCTACGAAGCTAATGTAGCTAAAAAGTAATTTTTGTTGAATTGTACAACCTGCATGCCTGAATCATCGATGAGTTGTTCAGTGGTCTCAAATTATGTAGTTTATGTTATGTATTACATGCTGTTACTTTAATTAAATTGAACAAACGTGTGTTGCCTAACTAAAAAAAGTTGTAGCAGACGCGTTGAAGCATGAATTTTGTCCGTACATTTGTCAATTTTTAGAGATAACAGTATGAAATACAGCATCAGAAGCCACGTTAGCAAGTCTGATTGAGATTACTCAACAACTCGACACAGTTTGAGGCAATTGTGTGATGATTTAGACATGCAGTCTGCACAGTGCTAATGGGTGGGGTATAAACTGCTTAATACATTAGCCACGTTGGCCTTCTGGCTTTAGTGAAAAGCTAAAGAAGCTACCAAACATGTCTTGGTTGATTGACCACTTTTGTGGTAAGTAGAAAATTATACAAATTAGGTAGGACAACCAAACGTCCAAGCCTGCAGTTATTAGCCTGCACCAAGCTCCTAACATGAAGTGAGATGTAGTGCTTCTCATCAACATGTCAAGGAACCTTACACACTGCACAGTTCCATGCTTTTTCCATGCTTTAATGACATATGTGCTCTGATGGCACTTAGCAAAAAAGAGAGAGCCGTCTGTTAAGAAGCTGCCTGTTATTTCTCTTTGCTGCACACTGCTAGCTTTAGCTTCCCTACAGCTCCTCCCCTTATTTTACTTTACATTATGTTTAGCTTGAGTGCGAAGAGCCGAAAATAAATGCTGCAGTGCTTAGGAACTTCAAATTGCTTCAGTCTGACTCGCTACAGTGAAACAGCCAAGCTGAAGTGACTATTACCCTAAAGCAGTCATCTCTAGCCTTGGAACTTGTAGAATAGACTTGTAAGAATGATCTGATCTTCATCTATGTCCAGGAAACAGGATCAGAAAAAGCTGACAAATTATATCAAATAATGTGTACACATAATATTTTAATGTGTGTGTCTTTTTTAAGATTTTCATTTAAAAAAACAGTTGGACAGGAGGACTGACTGGTTGTTTGGTTGGGGGGGGGCGGCGATTTTAGAGGCCGCGCGTTATCACAACATCACAGCTGTCATGATCTACTGTGGCCGAATGATAGCTGTGGTGTTATTTGTTACAGCACATCTTGTCTTTTACTTTTTAAATTTAGGTACTTTGTGTGTGTGTGTGTGTGTGTGTGTGTGTGTGTGTGTGTATGTGTGTGTGTGTGTGTGTGTGTGTGTGTGCAGTGGTTAGTGTTCAGGTGTGGTAATGCTCCTGGTCCACTGAATGAGGAACCCTCAGTAGAGGAGAGCAGAGTGAAGGTGGAGTGTGGAGTCCCAGCCAGTCTCTCTCTCTCTCCTCCTCCCTCTTCTTCTCCTCCGTCCATCCCTCTATCCACACACCATTACTACTGCCCACAGCCGCAGTACCCCTCCAGTCTGGTGAGTGATTTAGTGTTATCTCTTTTTTTCTTCTCTCGGTTTTCCTGTTTTTTTTACTCTTGTCATTCCTTCATTTTCCTCTCGCTCACTCACTTCACTCATTCACTCTCTCTTTCTCTCTCTCTCTTCCTCCCGCTCTCTTTTGCGCCCCATAGCACTTCAGTACTTCATTCAATTGAATGACAAGCATGGCAAAAAGTTGTCAGTTTCCATAGTAACAGCATACCTACATCCTGAGAGCTCAGTGTGTATGAGTGTGTGTGTGTGTGTGTGTGTGTGCGCGTGTGTGTGTATATGAGAGGGCTTTTCTAATAGTGAGTATTGTCAATACTTTGCTGACTATCTCTCCAATCACTTGCTCCATGTCAAAACACATAGAGCCCCTTCTGTAGGTATTTAAGTAGGCGTTACCTATTATGCATGCAGCTGTGTCACATTCCTGTAATATTTGCCATTTTGAATGATGAATATGATAGCAATGGGCAGTATGGACAAAAATATGTATCATGGTGTAACTAAAATTTCTGACCGTTTTGGTATATGTAGCGTGTATGTATATATGTCATTGTTGGCCTTCAAAAACCATGTATCTGGACCATTTTGCCTAATTAGTTCAAACTGCAGTCCCACGGTAAAAATCTATTAAAAAACAATTACATATTCAGGGTGGGCGGAATGGCAAAAATATAAAAATCACAATACGTCAAGAAATTTTCACGATACACAGTATGTCACAATATTGATCATCTGATCAGTTGGAACTGAGAAAAAGAACCAGTAAAGTGCTACATTTTAAAAAAACACTATCAAAAACTGAATACAATGATTTTTATTCAATATTTGGTATAATATGTTGTGTTAAATCCAGTGAAATAGGACTACTTTTGCACTCTTTATAATGAAACACGCAGTTTGTCACTGTTCTACAAGTACTGACGATATCACAGTACGTTCAGAGAAGCATATTGTATTGTGCTATAATTTATCACGAAAACCATATATATATAGTCTTATTGCCAAGCCCTAGTTATGAGCTAAATGTCTACAAAATCATAATTTACAGTGTGCTTTCTGTTGAGTGGTGGCTGTCTCAAACCCTAACCCCTAAATTTCAACTTGTATACATAGTGTTTAGTTCTTTTTGGTTTCTCTTAAAGTGGTGCTGCCCAGGACACTGTTGGCTGGACATTTTTGTTTGGTAGACTATTCTCAGTCCAGCATTGACCGTGAGGTGTTTCAAAACCCCAGCAGCGCTGCTGTGTCTGATCCACTTGTACCAGGTTTGACTGGGTATGCCTGGTTGTGCCCTTGGGCAAAGCACTTGGACAACCCCCCTCTGCCCCAGGTGGTGCTGCTGTACAGGCAGTGCTGTGCTGCTTCCATACAAACCGAACCATGGCCTAGAGACCGAGGATTGAACTGAACTGTACCTCTGCCACCTCCTGGGCTGATATTCTCATGTGAGCATTTTTGCGTTCTTGTATGGTTGGAGAGAATTTTGAAAATTTTGGTGTGGACAAACTTTTTTTTTTTTTGATTTTGTCTTTAAAAATATCCGGATACTTGTGTATAGCCTTAATTGAAGTAGGTCTGTTGTCACGGCATGGGGCTCCAACATCCCAATGGATTCACAGTTCTAATGCAACCTTACTGTGCACTCTCTTCAGTATGGCTGTTGCCCTACTTTAGGTCTAGGCGGAACCAAGCAGTGTCACTGGGGAATGGCAGCCATATATACTCATCCTCATCTCTCTCTTTCCTTCTAAAGGCATAATCGATTTTCCTGCTATCAATTGTTCATCAGTTTTTTCATGCATTACCATCTTGTTTAAAAACATTCAGGTCATCTCATCCTCACTTCATTTTTTTCTTTCTTTTTGTCTCTGTTCTTCAGTTCTCAATATCCAGCACTAGAGAGACAGTGTTGCAGTTATCCGTGTTTGACCAGAAGCGGGCACAGTTTGATAACTTTACTTCCTGCCCAGTGACCTGGAAGAGCTCTGACCCAACTCTTCTCTCCCTTCTGCTACAGTCCACCATGACCCAGCAAGACCTGCCCACACAAACAGGCTACAAGCTGCATGGTGTGTACGCTCTGTATAGTCTCAGAACACAGAGGAAAGAAATAGTTTAGGAAAAAAAAACAATCTACAAATTGAAATTCAAATTAACACAGTTTACCTTAAATTTTGCGATCTGTTAGGTGTCTGAAGTTCTTTAGTTTTGCAATGGGGATACGAGGTTAGGCCTGTGCTGGTGACAGAATCCTCTTCTGGTAATTTTGAGACTGTCAAACGTGGAAACAAACACAGTGATAGCATCTGAGTTGAAGTTTAGTCTTTGTCAGGTAGACAAAATAATCGCATTGTTCAGTACATGAGTTGTGGGTTGTAGTATATTGGGATCATTAATTTGGTCACAAAACTGTAAATGGTCTTGTAAGAAAGAACAGAATAGTGAATGTCACATGAACTTTACTGTCTGAGGCCGTAGTGCCTGTAGCTGCTTAGCTTGGTTTAAATTGTGCAAGAGCTGAGGCATGTTTTTCTTGAAACCCAAAGCTGTTTTGTCTGATGTCTGAAACCTGATGCTGTGGTCAAAGGATATCCTATTTTTGTACAGGCATGGTATCTGTCTGCAGCTCTCGATCAGCACAGCTAAACAGCCATGTTTCTAGAACATCTTGTCCATGATACATACAATAAATGTAGTATATTATATAACCCAAGTTTCAAAGTTCATTTTTGTGCACCTGTTGGAATACTAGTGTCTTGCTATGGTTTGCATGAAACAAATTAATAAACAAACAAAAAATGAATAAATGACTGAACTGTGTTACCCATCACTGGGCACAGGCCTATACGAGGCTAATGTAGTTAACGAGTAGTAATCGAAATCTATACGCCACTGGTTAGCATTGTGCAAACTGCATGTCTAAATCTTCACGCCCTTGTCATAAACCAAGTTGAGAGTTGTTGAGTAATTGCAAATAAACATGCTTATGTGGTTTCAAGCCCATAGCTGTGCAACCTCCACAGATGCCACCTTTGCCACCAGTCAGTTTGTGAAATTTCTGCCCTGTTAGTTCTGTTCTGGTCAACTGTAAGTGCTGTTGCTGTCAAATGGAAACATCTAGGAGCAACCACAGCTCAGTTCTGAAGCGGTAAACCATTTAAACTCACAGAGTGGGGCCGCCAAGTGGTGAAGCATATCTTCTGTATCCTCACCTGTGTGCCTCTGGAAGCAACAAGAGCACAAGAACTATGCATTTGGAGCTTCATGAAATGGGTTTCCATGGCTGTGCAGCTTCGCACAAGCCTTGAATTACTATGCGCAAAGCTAAGCGTTGGAGTGATGTAAAGTATGATGCCACTGGACTCTGGAGCAGTAGAAAACTGCTTGGTTGCCAGGAGGAAGATAGCTATCGGAATGCATAGTGTCAACAGTAAAGTTTGGTGGAGGAGGGATAATGGTCTAGGGTTGTTTTTCAGGGTTTGGGCCTTTGGTTACAGTGAAGAGTAATGTTAATGGTACAACATAAAAGACATTTTAGACAATTAGGTGCTTCCAACTTTCTGGCAGCAGTTTGGAGAAGGCCCTTTTCTGTTCTAACATGACTGTGCTCCTGTGCACAAAGCGGGCTCCACCATGTTTTGGTGTGGAGTCATAGAAGTGGAGTGGAGTGTAGGACAAACCTATGGGATGAATTAAAACGTTGATTGCGAGTCAGGCCTTCCCACATCAGTGCCTGACCTCACAAATGCTATTTTTTTGACTGAATGAACACAAATCGTCACAGATACACTCCAAAATCTGGTGGAAAGCCTTCCCAGAGGAGTGGAGGTTGTTATAGCTGCAAAGGGGGGCAACTCTATGTTAATGGCCGTGATTTTGAAATGGGATGTCCCGCAAGCTCATGTAGGTGCAATAGTCAGGTATTATTCTTTTGGCATAGTGGCAGTGTCCATAAAGGGGGGCTTGGACTTAAAGTTTGAGAACTGCTGCTTTAAAATGTGATTGGTTTTTAATAGCACAGCTTTGATCACTGATTGGTTAATATGCACTATGAACAGGTCGCCAGGTGTTACAACCCAGTGGCAAAACAGGAACAGTAACTGTCACTGTAACCCTCAGTTCCTCTGAGGTAGGTATAGTTTGTGTGCTATTTACTATACTATGTTTTGAAAGTAAGGCTGCATAATATACACAAAACTACATATTGTGGTTATGCTGCTACAGTGCAATTACTCTATACTAAAAGCATATGGATGAAAATTGTGTCATATAGAGAAGGACTGCCCTGCCCAAAAACACAATAAAATGTGGTTGGTTAGGGGACTCATTCGCGCATTGCTGCCTTCGGCAATATCAGCACTGCAATTTCTAATATTGTAATAATGATTAGTAAACTTATTATGTACATTTAGATAAATGATTTTTGTCTGCAGAATAATCACTGTAAACAATATCATTGTGATCCGAATACAGTTACAAAGTACTACGTAAGCATTACACAGTCTTACCCTATAGCTTGCATTTTCCTTGATGGTAATATAGTAACCAACAGGTCTAACTTCTAAATCACTTAAGACTACACAGTGTAAGCTTTGGCGGAAGTGTGTAATTGCATGCAGCAGGCGGAAGAACATTTTGTAATGTTAGTTGTGATTTGGACCCCTTCTCTAAGCGGATGAGTCTGATGATTGCAAGGTTGTTGAAAGAACATTAAAAGAGAACTCAGTCAAAACATGGTGAATGACTGTCTTTCCAGGATATAAGTAACTTATCTACTCAATATGCTAAACTGTAGTGGAGAGTCTATCAGGAACTGATTATTTGATAATATCAACTATCAGCCTAAGGCTTTTATGCAGCTTAGTTATTATTATTGTGTGTGTGTGTGTGTGTGTGTGTGTGTGTGTGTGTGTGTGTTGGTTTGTTTTAATGTAGTTCTCTCAGGTGTTACAGATATGGGGGACAGTAGTCTCTGTCTCTGTGAATTTGCGCTTGGTGGAAGATGTTCAGTGGGACCCGCGCTCTGTCACACTCTACAATCACCCCAAAGTCACTGTGAGCATGGCTTCCTCTTCTCTCTCTCTTCTCTTTGTTTTCTTTTTATCTCATTAATGATGCACCAAAATGGAAATTCCTAGTCGAAAAGGGACACTAAGGCAAAAACCTTTTTAAGTTTTTATTAGTAAATTTTGTTACCAAGTTCTAATTTTATTATGAATAAATTCAATAAGACAAAACTGAGCTGACAGTAAATAAAAACGTTTTATGTAAAATACACTTTAAAATGATTATAGTATGTTGGCAACATGTACATGCTTACAAAATCTAGCATCCTTGATGCAAATGGTTGGTCATCCACAGCAATGAATTCTGTCATTTTTTGTTTTTTTGGTGATCTTTTGCTCTGTTGTATGAGAATTTGTTTCTGTCATTTCCAAAACTTTGGCAACAGCTGCCATCAGCATGCCAGAATGGACTTTCCTTCGTGTTTCTGTTGGCCTGGATGTCCAGCAAGATGGCATGTGTTCAAGCGATATCAAACCTGGAGTGGGGAAAATCTTGGCCACTGTCTCTCATAGAAACCATGAAGTAGTTCCTCACAGCTAACATTTTCACTGTTGTTTTGCTGCTGCTCAGACTTTTTAAACATGTTGGCACTGATCAGCACAGGAGAACAATGGGAAAAAACAGCAATTATTTTTTCTACTTTTCATTAGTAGTCAAATTAATTGTGAGGCGTTAAGATTGTAGATAGATTTTGGCGCTTCATTGTAGACCCATTTAACTTAATTTTGGTAAAAAGAAATTGTTGGCCGTTTCTCTTTTTGGTAGCCCAAATTTTGGTACATCCAAGACTGGGTTCTCAGGGTTTATTAACTGCACTGTTCTCTTGGTCATTAGGAGAGCTTGACCCTGGTGCAGGGCTCAGGACACTTCCTGGTTCATTTACAGGACAAAGACATGGCCAGCATCACCTATGTTGAAGAGACCAACGTGGTACAAGTGAGTGTGGTCAGAGCAGTTCACTGCAGGTTAGAGCATAACATTGTAGAGTGCAGGTAAAAGAACAGTATAGTACAGATCAGTACAGTACAGCGAGAGTACTATGGTACATGTCAGAATGTAGTACAATACATTTTGCAAGTATAGTAGAGTACACTGGAATATAACATGGTATAGAATATGCACAAAGTGCTAGCATTGCGATACTACAGTTGTAATTGTACCTCTAAGGGAATTAAACACACGTTAGAGAATGGTTAAACTGTCCTGCACTATTACTTGTTGTTTTGTTTGTTGGATTTGAATGCTTTAACTTCTTAAATGACCAGAGCCCACTGGTGGGCCCGAAGTTTCATTACACACTTCTATGATCAAAGAATAGTTCAAGCAGTATACATTGAACCCCTATAGTTACTGAATAATAAGCCTTAGTATGCAATAGGCCTGGTGATTTAAGGGGTTAATCGATGCAGACATCCAAAGAACGTCTGAGATTGGTCAGGATGCTTAAATAAAACATTCAGAGATTGGTTAGATGCTCATTTGTGTAATCCAAATTCATGTGAAAACGATACTAATTAGGACTGATATCATGATAATGTTTAAAAAATAATATATTGTGCAGACCTAGTACAGTTAAAGGTGAGAATAATACAGTGAAAGTGAAATAGTAGTTTAAGGAGAATGCTTTTCTCTCTGCCTTTCTCAGATATCCCCTCTTCGTCCTGGTTTTTCATCACTCCTAGTTCATGACCTCTGCCTGACTTCTCCTGCTGTGGCCTATGTCACCGTCTCTGACATCTCAGACTTTCAGATTGACTTCATGGACATAGTACGCCATTTTCACTCTTCTCTTGCTGGCAGTTCATTTTTCATTAGTCTGTACTTAGAAAAATACTCAAATTCTTTCAAAACTCTTTAAATATTACTTAAATTAATATTTACGTACACCCATCAGGCATGATATTATGACCACCTCCTTATTTCTACGCTCATTATCCATTTTATCAGCTCCACTTACTATATAGGTGCACTATGTAGCTCTACAATTACAGACTGTAGTCCATCTGTTTCTCTGCATACTTTGTTAGCCCCCTTTTACCCTGTTCTTCAGTGGTCAGGACCCCCATGGACCCTCACAGTGCAGGTACTATTTGGGTGGTGGATCATTTTTAGCACTGCAGTAACAGTGATGTGGTGGTGGTGGTGTGTTAGTGTGTGTTGCGCTGGTCTGAGTGGATCAGACACAGCAGTGCTGTTAGAGTTAGGATGGGTGCCAGTCTTAGTGTTAGGTTTTGGGTTGAGGTTCAGGTTAAGATTAGGGCCAGGGCTAGTGTTAGGTTTTGGGTAAGGTTAGGTTTTGCGCGATGGAAGTAGCATATTAACAAAACATTTACTTAATGTAAGTAAAGTATCAACAGAACTGCTACTTCACTGATATGTTGTTGATGTGTTACTGATAATCTGTTAGGAGTTTACTAATAATCTACAAAGTTACTGTTTAATAATCATCTACAAAGGACCACTCCAAATAAGTCTAGTGCCACTAGATTTTCTCCACACCAGACTTTAAACCATGTCTCTGTGTACCTCGCTTTGTGCACAGGGGCACAGTCAGGCTGGAACAGAAAAAGGACCTTCCCCAAACATTTGCCACAAAGTAGGAAACATAGAATTGTCTAAAATGCCTTTGTGTGCTATAGGATTAACATTAACCCAATGCCAACATTAGGGCCCAAACCCTGAACAACAACCCTAGACCATTATCCCTCCTCCTCCAAACTTTACTGTGGGCACTATGCTTTCCATTGGATAGTGTTGTCCTGGCATCCGCCAAACCCTGATTCATCCATCAGACTGCCAGATAGTGAACCGTGATTCATCACTTAAGAAAACACTACTCCAGTGTCCAGTGGCGGCATGCTTTACATCGCTTCAGCCTACGCTTGTTATTGCAAATAGTGATCTTAGGCTTGTGTGCAGCTGCCTGGCCATGGAAACCCAATTTTTAAAGATCCTGACCCACAGTTCTTGTGCTCATGCAGTTTGGAAATCTGTAGTGAGTAATACCACAGAGGATAGACGATTTTTACGGGCTACATGTTTCAGCACTTGGTGACTCCGCTCTGCGAGTTTGCGTGGTCTACCACTTCCATTTTACAGTAATAGCACTTACAGTTGACTTGGGCAGATCTAGCAGAGCAGAAATTTCCCAAACTGACTTGCAGCTAAGGTGACATCCAATGACAGTGCTATGTTTAAAGTCACTGAGCTCTACAGTACAACCCATTCTACTGCCAGTTGTCTGTGGAGATTGCATACTTACTTTTGGCCATTTAGTGTATCTTAACTTTCATGTTACATTATATGTGATACAGCAATGCTTAAATGCTTGAATATTTCTATGAAGTTACATACTACTCAGTAAAACTTTTCGTCTATTAGTGTTAGACATGCTAATAAGTGTATTTCCATCCAAGTCATATCATCATACACAATGTGATTTGCCTCTAGGCTGAATAAAATGCCAGTGTGGGATTTGCTTATGTAAGTAATCGGGATGTTAATGATGAACTAATTAACCGCTAACCCACAAATACATAAATGTTCGACCAATGCTTTTGGTTAATACATTAACTTCTGATAAGCAATTGACATTTGAAGAGTCGTCGTTTCATTTAACCTGAGGACCGTTTCTGAATTGTACGCATGAGGGCAGAAGAGCGCAGCTTATTCCATTGTACCCTTAATGAGTAATGCTTAACAGGTTTTCTGGAGTCGACTTCAACTCTTGACTTCTGCTGCTGGAGTCAGTGGAGACTCTCTGAGTCATTGGGCAAAAGTCAACCCTAACACCCAGATGTGTCTATAATCCTGACAGTTAACCTACTATAGATATCAGATGCTCTGTTTTTGTGTGGGCAGAGCATCTGAAGCAGAGACTAGTGCTAAGTACTGAAAAAGCAGTGAACTTTCTGTACATCATGCCACATTAGTCTGTATGGAGCAGTGATCACTAACGCTCCTCTTTGAAATATACTTTCCAACTTCTAACATCTAACCCTGCCTTACCTAACACTGATGCATCTAATCCAGCCAATCAAGGTGTTCTGACGGAATTAATTAGCTGAAACAGGTGGGGCAGATTGTGGTTGGAATTAGACTTGCAGGAAGGTAGATCTTCAGGAACAGGGTTGGTGACCACTGGTGTAGAGTGTTTAGCATCCATGCATCTAAACAGAGTGTGTGTGTGTGTTTGTTCCAGGTTGAGGTGGGCCGTACTGCTGTGGTGCGAGTGCGTGTTCTGGACTCTGAGAGGCAGCCTTTCCTCCATTACTTTCTCAAGCTCATGCATCTAAAACTCATTCCCTCTTCTTCCATTGTCACTGTTGAGTGAGTCTAGATTCTCTATGTCTGACAGAAACACTGACTTGTACTGAATTACAGTGCTGATGGTAAATCTTTAGCGTTGCAGACCAAATTTGCGAATTGAAGAAATTCTCTAGTTGTGAGTTGAAATAAGCGCTTTTAGAGAGTTTAAAATCTCTGAAAATATACTGTAAAATGTGTTTGTATAATTCCAAACTTGACAGTTAAGTTAAATACCCAGCAAAGTTTGAATGAAAAATAAGAAAACGCTGCTTAAAAACCAGCACTGTATGGAGCTTTATGGGAGTGATTTTTAAACCAGTCCTCAGGGTCCCCCATACAATCCGCATTTTTCCTCCAACCCAATGTACAACACATAGAGGAAAAACGTGGGTTGGAGGAAAAATGTGGGGTCTTGAGGACTGGTTTGACAACCACTTCTCTATGGGATTTACACTGTTGTGTTACTGCTATGCTAATGGTGAAGTATATTCACTTCGCCACACTTTTTCCTGTTCAGTCCATCTCAAATTTGGTGAGAACTCATTGGGAAACTTATAGTTTTGATAAAAGCTGAGGGATGGACAAGCAACATCCACCTTTGCGTTTGGTGAGATTAAGACCAGTCAGCATGCATTGGAAGGGAAGAAATTCTAGTAGTTCACATACACATAGCAGACTTAATTATAGGGCCTACTTTGTACATATAAAGTACTGTGCAGATGACGTAGGTACTTAAACACATTGTTTAAAACCATTTATTGTGGTAATAGGTGTGCATTTGCTTGTAGAAAAAACATATATTATTATAACAGATGCAAATAAATACAGTAAAAAGTAACAAGAATTTTCTAAATTGATAAATTTCCTAATTTGCATTTGATATCTTGTGAGCTAGTTTGAGGAACATTGTTGTATTTATTCTGGTGTTAGTGTTTTTCTGAGCAGCTAAGTACCCACTGCCCAGATAAATAGCATTTTAATTCTAATTTTCTCAAAGTGCAACAGTTTTAGGCACTTATATTGTTGAATATTAATCCAATAAGAAAGCAGTCACGGATGTAAATTCCCTGGGGCTTTAATGTAACATCTCTCAAGTATGACCAGACAGTGTCAAATTTTGAACCGAAATCTCAGAATTTGTAACTGGAATGTAACGAGTAATGCCAAAAAAGCCACCAGCAGAAGAGCAGCATGTGATGAAGCACGAATCATATTAACTAAAAGTCAGTGAAGCTAATGAATGACACAGTAAGAATGTGGTTTACATCAGCTGATCATTAGAGAACCTTTATCATACAATTTTCATGCAGCATATATTTCCACCTACGGTCTTCTACAGAATCTCTTATAGTGCAATAAACTTGTAAGACGACTGGCATTGCAAAGCTCATTTAAGCAAACTGCAGAGATGCCTCTACTAGAGCAGCTTCATCTTAGAGCTAGTATTCTGTAGTGAATAATTATTGTTTTGTGTACTGTATATGATAATGCAGAGTGATTAACAGGCAGGTGATTGGCTGCATGTTGTGCAGGGAGGTGGGGCCGGTGGACAGGCACTCTGTCGGGTTCCATGTGTCAGGCCAGGTGGTGGGCGTGGTCAGTCTGCATCTGTCAGCAGTGGACAGCACTGGAAATGTCAGAAGCTCCTCCCACAAGCATTTGCAAGTTTACCCTCGGTTCAGCCTGCAGCCACGCAGACTCGCTCTTGCATTGGGTAGTGTGCGGCAGGTGGGCACATCTTTATAACACACAGGCATAAACACTACGTCCACCACAATATGTACATGCAAACACAAATATCTGGGCAGTACACTTCAAACGAAGCAAAACAAAGCCAATATGATTCAGTAGCTTAAGTCCTCCTCAAAGTCCACACTTCGGCGAAGTCAGCAACACGCAAAGCTATAGGGCAAGAGACTTCGAGGGTGCTTGGTTTAAGCCTATGCATTTGGGAAAAACTTGTGTGACGTGCAGCTTAATTTTAAATCAATAATCAAAGACATATTTTCCTCTTCACCATGTTGGTCAGACAGCTGTAAACAAAACCATCAACTCTGGTCCTAACGTGTACTGCATGGTATTTTGGATTGTAGATGGCTGCTGAGTAAGGGGGTTTGCTTGCTGTGGAGAAGAACATGAGCAAAAGGGAACAAACTGGTGCCAAAAAACAATCATACCAGATACAGAGTACTTAAAGTAAACCTGGGAGTTATTTCAGAAAGCAGGTTTTCTGATTTAGTCAGATAACGAATCCAAACTTGGAGATTGTCCAATAGGCATGTCCCTCAGCTCTTCTCTCGTGGGACAGGCTTGTTTTTTTTGGCCTAAGGTGCCAGGCTAACCGAGAAGTCCTGCTTTACCTCTCTGATGTTCATTTGATTTCTCCCATTAGACAGTGCCGTGCTTATTTACGCTACGCAGAGATGGGAAGAGGCATTTTAATAATGTTGCTGTAATGAATTCACATGAATTGCATGAATTTGAATTTACATGTTAGATATGTATCCGATTTCATATGCAAAAGGCCCAATTTCGGAATTGAAACTGTCAGATTCAGTATGTTGTTTTTCTGTCCACACTGTCACCCATTGAAACAAGTCTGTATTAGAAATGAAAACTTTTGTCTGCAGTGTGATCATAGTCCTACGTTGTCTTAGTGACAACAGCAAAACCAAAATGCTGCCATAATAATCAATAAAGCTGTCTACACCAGCTGCAAGCTATTTTTGACACATCACATTCCTCTGCTGTTCCACCTCAAAATGGAAGAGGAGAAAATCATCCATGAAGTGGAGAAAAGGAGGGCTCTTTATAACCCTTCCAGTAAACAATTTGGACAGAAATTGCCAGAGTGCTGGAAGTTATAGTTGAAAACCCTTTGTGTCAGTGATTGATAAGGATACTTAATTAGTTAGCTAATGCCAAGTTCGCCCTACAAGATTTTAACCCTAATTTTTCACTCGCCAACAATTTTTGGATATCACCAAGAAAAACCCCAGATCAAAGGCAAATCGGCATTTGCTCGGGGCTCACAAATAAGCTCTTGGTACATCAAGCATTCTCTCGCCCATGTTCTTTTATTTTTCTTCCTTGTTTTTCTTCCTCGGTTACTGCAAGGAAGTTTGGTATTTGATTTAGATTAAGTCTTGCCAACTCTTACAACCTGGGACAAGTGAGAGGCTCTCAAACGGTTAAGAAAACATTTAGGAACATAATGTTTCCAAGAATACCACTTGTTCTTTGAATTATTCTTAAGAAAAGAGTTAAGAAAACCTGTTCTTAACAGGTTATTTGAAAAAGATCTTCTTACGAATAAAGTTAAGAAAAAAACACACATTTAAGAAGATTTTCTTTCTTAAACGCTTTCATGAATCTGGCCCCTAGTATTTAGTGTTGGCATAAAACATGACCTGCCATACACACTATTAAATCCATGTTCCAAACCACAGCTGGACAGCTTCGTCAGTAAAGCTATTTTTGAGTAGGTCTGTGGTTTGTTTGCAGTTTGACTTCAGGCATGCACTTGACGTTTCCTGTGTCCAGGCATCCTGCCGTGCGATACTACATTTGAATGCTCACGAGTGGAAAGCAGGATTGGAAGAAGCCACTTGCATGTTCATTACAGAGCACAGAAGACCACAGTCCAAAAGGCAGAGTCAGAGAGGAAGCTGTATTCAGGGTTCAGAAAGCAGTGAATGAATAACATTACTTGCAAAAGTACCAAATACACAGTGCAGAATAGCAAAAACAGGCAGGAAGGTCAAACTTCAGAGAGCAGACAGAAATCCAGGGCGAAAGTACCAAAAGAAAGTCCAATCCAGAAAATCTAAGTCAAAAAGCTGGCAAAAACAGGTCAAAATACCAAAAGACTGACAAACAGAGAGAAGCTAAGGAGCACAGAGGATAAACAACTGGCTTTTTAAAGGCTTTTAAAGATTTGTTCAATTCCACTAATAGCACAATTTATTAAGTTAATGCACAATTTTTTTTTGATAATAATGTACAATTGATTAGCTCAACTGACTTTTTTTGAAGAGCGACTTGGAAATGGTTGAGCTAACGTTATCATGGTATTTATTTGTATTTATTCTCATAATAGTGTTTTTCTATACAAATAAGTGCTTACTGCCCAAATAAATAGCTTTCAGTATATTTTTTTTCAGGTGACTTAAAGCAGTTGCATAGTATGGTATATAGTAATGACCCTGTAATGAAATAAAGTAATCATGTAGATTCATTCTCATTATATTTGTTGCACGTGGTCAGGTGAAATGGGAGGGTGGACCCCATCCTCAGTCCAGCGTGGGGTTCTCGGTCAGTGACAGCCGCATCGCCAGTGTAACAGAGACAGGACTGGTGAGAGGTTTGGCCTTGGGCGTGGTCAGGCTTAAAGGCGCTCTTCAGACTGTTACACAGGATACAGGGGCACTTCTTACCTTTGCACAGGTATGTCACCCTTTCTCTCTCTCGTTTTCTCTCACAGAGATACATTAAGGTCAGATAATAAAGATATTTCTGTTTGTTCCTTTGACGAATCTGAACAAAATATCTTATACCATGAGTACTCCTTTGAAGAATATGCCTACACATATGTCTTAACTGTAGTTATAGAACTGTTACTGTCGAAGTCTTGTACAGCAGCTTTAGGCGTTTTCACACTTGGGCTGTTTTAGTATCTGAAGTGGACTCAGACCGCTGAGTCATGGTTTTCTGTGAATATGTGAACACAGCAAATAAAGTCCCCTCGAAACGGCCCCGAAAATGAACCGAACTGAGACCAGTTCATTTGTAGGTTGTTTTGTGGTTCGATTGATTTGTGCATTGTGAAAACAAAAAGCCCCAGTCCGCTTTTGCTTTGCTTTATGGTGAAGACCTCAATGCTTACCGTATGCACACAGCCACAGTCTGTCATTTATAAGGTTCTACTCAGGATAAAGCCTCCTCCTGATCTGCGACAAGACAACAGCCCTGATATATGAAGGAGATAAGATGCAGGAGCCTGCCTGATTTTACCGCATTAAAGGCCGATGGTTGGCACGCACACAACGCAAAGTTTTAAACTGCTTTCACACTGACCGCTGAATGAATGAAAATTTACTGCTGCGCTTTCAAAAACACTGTTTCATTGCAGATGCAAATTTTGTGCCGGGTGGAGCTCAGTGAGGAGCACAGCCAAAAATGGAGCCCAACGCGGCAAACACACAGGGTCATTTTTCCAATTTTGTGTGATGCACTTCTGCTGGTCTTTTTAGCGTGGCCAATAGGACAGCTGCTGGCGTATCTGGTAGCTCCTTTTGCCACCTGAAAGGTCAGTTTTATTAGAGAACGCTGCCCACTTTGTGAGCACCGTGCACACCATGAGTGGTGTGAAAGGGGTCTGAGGTCTCGAAGGACCAAAAAGAAAACGGAGTCCTCTTTATAGTTCACTTACAATGTGAACACAAAAAGAACAGAGGACATTTGCAGTTGGTTCCCCGTCAGGTTTGCTTTAACAGAACTCAGTTCAATTCATTCAAAATTCATTCAGAAAGAGAATACAGTCTCATACAATCTCATTGACATTGTCATTAGCTGGGGAATTACAGTCAAAAGTCAACATAAAATCTTTTTTCCACTATTTTATGTATCTTAATGTTTAGAGTCATACACCTGAGGTAAGACAATACTCAGTACTCACAAGATGATGAGATATTTAATACAGGGACTTATACAGTGCTCAAGAGTAATGTTGGGACACTCTGTAAACAATTTATATCTTGTTTATTTATTACTTTCCAGGATAAACTTATCATTTATTCATTTGTGTCTATCAGAAAAGTAATGATTGGTAATTTTTTTTTGGAATAAAGTACAACCCCAGTTATAAAAAATGCAATGCAGCAATGAATGTGCTTCTTTATTTTTATGTCTGTAGAGAATGTTAATAATTTTATACTATGCTTATATATATCTCCCTTGTCTTATCATTTGTTATGTTAACTTATTTCCTGTATGGCTCAGGATGAAGTGGAGGTCGAGGTGTTCAGCCTCACTGCTGTGAGAATCCAGGCTCCGCTGGTGCAAATGTCTGTGGGAACAGAGGTTGGTCTGTCTCTGCTTCTTTATATCTTTCTATTTTTTTATGCCTCTCTTTTTTTTCTGTCTGTTTATTTGCTCTCCTCTGATGTGACGTTTTGCTGTGATTGCAGATGCCAGTGTATGTGATGGGAAGTGACAGTGCTCAGAATCCTCTGGCTCTGGGCAGCATGGAGGATGGACTCAGCTTCATCTGGAGTCTGGGCAAGCTGGGGGTACTGGAGATCCAGCCGCGACACACACAGGTAAAGTGCATATTCAGCATATTCAGACATATATACACTCACGCACACTCACACACACATACACACAATCCAAAGGCATTTATGCTTGTATGTAGGGCTGTAACTAATGGCTATTTTCATGATCCATTAGGTGGTCCATTATACCACCTAATGTTTCTCAACTAGCTGACTTCGATTAATCAGCTAGTTGGGAAACAACAACCTGCAGAAATAAGTCTGGCAATAATGTTTCATTCAACCAATTTAATTCAATTTAAGTCGTATACAAGCTGGTTTTCGGGATTTCTCCTCCAACGATCAATCAAAAATAAATTAAAAAGCTTCTGTGTGGTCGATAACATCATATAATGAAATATTATATTACAGACAACACACTAACAGTCCAGTCAGCAGCTGTGTCAGATGCAGAGACCTAAACCTTCTCAACACATATGGAAAACGGCAATAAATGTGTATGATGTCATTTTCAAATAAATGTTTTTATTGATCCACATTCAAATACTGAAAATAGTGTGGAATGGAGGCTAAAACCTGGAGAAAAAAAAAACGTTTTTTAATCCATGTTATCGATATTGTCAATTGTTTGTTAAAGTCCTACTTTTAATATTGTACTGAGTTGCCAGTTTATAAGATACACATACTTTGTACCTGCGGTACTGTGCAGAAGAAACCACCCTTCATTTATTACATTTCCAGTCAAAAAAGCCATAAAGTACAATTTATAAAAGAAAATTAAGCTTCACTCTTGCATCAGATCTGAAAAATCCACAGGTATTTCCATCTATCCTTCCACTGTGAGTAGACTGAAGGAATGTGTAGCTGTCAGGAAGCCCTTACTAAGAAAAGAAATGGAGAAAGAAAAGAAGAAAATTTGCAAATCAAAGAAGCTGCTGGTGTTCTCAGAACAATGGATTGTCCACCCCTGAGCCCAGATTTCAGTATCACTGAATGTATTTGGGAATACTTGTATCATGAGAAGCAGAAAGTGCAACCAACTTCTAAGACTGAACTTTGGAGGTATGGAAAAATATCCCTGCAGATTTCTTGTCTTTGAAAAACTGAAATCAAGTCTTCAGAAAAGAATGGAAACTATAATAAAGGCAAAATGTGGACACACTGAAACTTTTGATATACTTACTTATGGAGGCTTCTGTGTATTTTTTTGTTAAATAAATGTTTTTTTTGCTTTTTTCCTGATGCTGAATAATAATTAACTTGTACCTAATGGCCTCTTTGACTGGATATTAAACAAATGAAGGTTGGTCTTTGACTTGAGCAGAAGTAGGTGTATTTAATTAGTTGGCTACTCAGTGTTTGTGTGTGTCATGCTGTCTTTATTAAAAATTTTTTTTGTAGGCAGGTGTCAGTGCGTCTCTCTCACACAGTTTCTCAGTGCTGGCGAAGGCTTGGTCAGCAGGCAGGACCAGTCTCAAAGTGTGTGTGCAGCCCACATACACAGACTCCGCCAACACCTCACTCTCAGACCAACTCACTGATGAGATACAGATACTGGTAATTATGCAAAATAAACAAACCAACAGTGACAGCCAACAAACCATTGAGCCACAGTTGTTTGGTGCACTGTAATGCATGTTATTCAGCATTCAGTTCCCAAGTTATTCTCTCTCTGACTCACTCTCAGGTGTTTGAGGTGATGCAGTTAAATGCTGGAACGTCCACATCCATTCTCATGTCTCCGCACTCCCAGTATATCTTGCAGAGCAACAAGTGAGTATCTCAAGGTAGTAGGACTGCAATAGTGAATCAATAGAAGCAGTATATGGATGAGATTAGTTTTACTCGGAGAGGTGGATTAACGCAATTAATGCTGGAGTTTTTCTGTGATTTTCGTCCGGTCCGAATGTCAGCCATTGTTATGTTTTTATGGACTGTGCCCTCTAATGACAGTAAAGATTCCAGTGGCTTTCCCCTAAGATAAAACAAAACGTAGAAAGACCAGGTTACTCAAACACACTATTTGGACAGGATTCGTTTTTCCATGAGGAGGTGGAGTAATGCCAGTTTACCACAGGACACCTGTAATGTTTATGACCAGTTCTCACGGGATAAGCGATCTCAGTATTAATAACAGAGATGGGTGTGACTTCTCAATTTGCGTTCTGTAAACTTGCTAAAACGTTTAATTTAACCGTCATTCCATTGACCTTAACCTTCTGTCTTGCAGTCTTATGTGAATGCAGTGCATCATTAGCATCACCATTAGCTTGGGATTTCACAGCAGTCAACCGCACCACTTAGATGTAATGCTTTCTATTTAAAGTTGTCCATGTGAGATTGGACAGTCATGTTACATCAGATTGATTTTAGCCACAGAGAACACAAGTAAATGCTTCAAGTGTTTCCATACTTCCATAGAAAATAATAGCATTTTTACTGATTTTGTCTGATTTGTCATTTGCACAGGGTTAATATAACCTTGGGTTATTTCTGCTGCTTGTTTTATGGAAAGTAAAAGGTGCCGGAATCTTTTCTGAGGCCAGGGTGCACGGTCAATTAAAATGACTGATATGGTACATTGGGATGGAACAGAGAATCACAGAGAAATGATGGCAAAAAATTACAATACCCACTTCCCAATGTAAAATTAATTCCGTCTGAACGGGGCTTAAGCCTGTATGAATTTCCATGTAATATAAATTCTGTCATCACCTGTGGAAAAGGAGTTTTTGCTAGTATTGAGACAGTCAGAAAAATGTTTGTGTATATGGCCCAAATCAATACTTTGGTGCATCAGTTTATTTATTATATATGAAATAATTTGTATATATAAAAGTTTAGCCCTACCAATAAATTTTTCAAAGTTTATATTTTTTGTATTTTTCCAGGGACTCTATCTGCCCAGTGCGCTATTCTCTCTGCCAGTGCGTGTCAGGGGCGGGGCTTGTTACCATTGATGACAAAGGTGTGCTGAGGGCGGGGCCTGATACCGGAGTTGCCCTTTTGGAGGTCATTGCAATGGAAGAATGTGGCATCAACCAAACGCTTTTAATCACTGTGAAGGTAAAAGTGTAAGAGTTTGGTATTATTGGCCTTTGTGAGCTGTGCCAATTCTTCCGAGGAGATGAGACAGTGAAGTTTTAGAACGTTGTAGACAGCAGTTTTAAATAACGTTATCATTAAAACCCAGCATCCACACTGATGACGATAGTTAGCACCGCAGTGATTTGTCATGTCAATTGTGTCACATACTCTTTTCGAAACTTGTTCTGTAGCATCTCTTTAGGCTGGCTTTACACAGTGAAACTTACATGTAAGTTTAATTGTTAGAAACTTACTTGAAACTAAATTACATTTGAGTTGCATAGTGTAAAGCATACAGCAACTCACGAATCTCAGCTGCAACAGTCGCGAACGTCTGTTTCATGAAAAATGCAGATACGCATCACATTATTAACGATTTCCCTGTATTAATGGACAACAAAAGGTGGTTTATTGGATGACTGAAAAGGAGATCCTCCATGAATAAGTTTATGCAAGGTTGGTAGTTTTTCATTTGGTCAGTTTCCTGAGCCGTGACAACACACAAACGAGTTGCTTGAAGCTAATGTTTCTGTAACCAGCTGGCTTAACTAGCCAGCTAATGCTAACAGTTGTTTAAACAGATATGCAAATATAAATACAACTTGGCAGATGACTTTCTAGAGTGAGAGCAATATGATATATTCTATATAGTCTGCTTATTCAGGTAATTATTGGAGCAATCAGATTTTCTGCATACAAACTTCTTGCATGCAACTTAACTGTAACTGTCAAGCATTAGGCTGGTTTAACACAGAACTTACATGCAACTAGTTGCGTGCAACTTGAGTTACATTAATCCATTCATGTAAATGCGATCCGTAGCATTTTTATAGACTTTATATAATGTCAGTTTTTCCACCTGTCACTACCATTCTCTTCGATAGCTATATGTTTTTTATCTATCTTTACAACGTATTTAACTTTTAAATATGTTGTGTATGTCTGTGTGTATGCCTTTGGAATTGATTGAGTGCACTCAATAATCCAATAACTGCAGAAAATCAGATTTTGTCAGTAATCCGATCAACACGTTTACATGCATTTGAGTAATCAGATAATGGGAAACTCCGGGTCTACATGAGTCGGGTAATAAACGTATTTCTGCTTTGCAACCAGCCAATAAACTCACAGAAGAAGACGTAAACATAATGTAAAACTCAAAATTCATACCACAGCTTTTTTTTTAAACGTCATGCCACTTTACCTGAAAACATGAACAAACATCATCTAGAAGAGGAAGAATACTTAAGTCCTTTATTTCATGTTTGGTTGGCCCAACAGTGTTTTGCTGCCATCTTGCGACATCCATCGTCTGTTTTCGTGCATGCGCAGACTGAGAAATCCGATAGAAATCAGAGTAAGAGTTTACATGCACTGAGAAATCTGATTACTGAGCTAAAATCCAGCTCTCTTTATCAGATTTCTTAATCGGATTTCTAGATTGGAGTGTGGTGTTTACATGACCATTTGAATAATCGTTTAACTGCAGAAATGTAAACTCACTCATGAAAACTAATGTAAACGCACTCAGTGTTTAAGTAGCTGTTATGGAAGTATATGATACCTCATTCATCCTGTCCTACAAGCACTTCAGGTTCATTGAGGAATGAAGAGAAGATAAAATTAATCTAACTGAAAAATCAGTCGTTTGAAGTCGTGTATAATCAGCTTAAGACTGTGGTCTAAACCTGAACATGCTCAACTTGTTAAAACTCCTGCTGCTGCCATCCAATGTTCTAAAACTAGAAATTAGAAAGTGGCTTTTAAAACATTCTGAAATTGTCTCATCTTGCTGGTTAAGTGTGAACTGGGCTGAACGGTGCTGCTTGCTGTGCTTCAGGTGTCGGCAGTGTGGTTTGTGCGGGCGGTCTCTGAGTCATCTCTGCACAGCGACGGAGATGGAGCCTTGCCTGCCTTCCCTTTGGGCTGGAGGATCCGCATCACTGCTCTGTGCTACGACAACCTGGGCCAGCGCTTCCATGCTCATAACACACATACGCACATCACCACCAACAGGTACACAACAAAAAACATGCTTATTATCACCATTAAAGGATTAGTTTTACAAAAACAAATCTAATTTACACAATTTTACAGTTGCTCCAAATGTAGTTGATCAGCCATGACGTTTGGTGTTTTCAAGCCGTCTTAAAACATGAGTTTCGTCAGTGCGCTTGTCCAGTTTTTTGTAGAGACAGGAGACCATACAGTGTCTGAAACCACATAAGTAGATCTATTTGAGATTACTTAATGTGGTTTGAAGCAGGTATGTAAATGATTAACCGATTGACTGTTAAATGAACTATTGTTCAGCCAATGCAATGTTAATGATTGTAATTCATTTCCACTAAACAACAGATCCTAATTAAAAAGGCACCTTGATTATTTAAGTTCATTTGCTCATTCAAGAAATGTTTTTGAATTGCATGCATAAGAGCACAACAGGCAATTGGTTCTGCTAGATAGGCGTACAAAAAATTAAGCATGCAGCTAAAAAATAGTAGGGCTGCATCTGTCGAATATTTTCATTTGGAGCATATGGCAATAATGTAACATCACAATACTTCTGGAAGTTTTCACGATACACAATTGTTAGCTATAGGAAAAGACATTTTATTTATTATTATTTTTGCACTTTTGCGTAAATTGCACTGAACTGGAAACCCTGATCTGGCTTTGTTTGAACAGCAGTGAGCGGTGATGGAGAGCAGAAACATTGTCTTTTTGACCAATGTCTTCAAATGAAAACAGTTGGTCAGCTTTTGTCAGTAAACGGGGGAGTGATGTAGGGTTTGAAGAGGTTTAAAACCACTGTATACTGGAGCACACGCTAAATTCAGCCACATTGACTTTAATGGTAGGTTCAATCTGAATAATTTTCCTACAGCTCTGGACAGCTAGCTAGCCCGCACGCTCTCTTTTATTCTCACTTATTCTCGACTATTCAAGTGGCTTTTCCATGTTCAAATTCCACTTCCTTTTCAACTGCCCAATAAATGATGAAACCTGTTGTTTTAAAGTAACTAAAGTTGCATGAAAGTTTCACTGTGTAAAGTTTATAGAGATGGCAACATAACACATTACCACTGTCTGCCGGAACAACTGTGTCAGTGAAACCATGGCATTAAATGTACACACCAATTCTAAATATGCTCTCCCTTTCTCTCTCTCTCTCTCTCTCTCTCTCTCTCTCTCTCTCTCTCTCTCTCTCTCTCTCTCTTTCTCAGAGATGACCTGGTGCAAGTGACTGCAGACACAGACAGCCACTCATTCTTGGTACAGACAGTGTCTCCTGGTTTAACTGTTCTAGGGATTGAGGGAGACCACTCTAACCCGGCTCTGTGCGACTACACGCCCCTGCCAGTGCTTCCTGCCATCTCAGCGCCTCCAGCAGTGCTGCGGCCTGGAGACACAGTCTGCTTCAGCTCACCTCTCACCGACCGCAGCGGTACACCATCCATCATCTCTCCAATGAGCCAGTTAGGCTGTTCACATACTCACTGAAGGGCAACACAAGTCACTTACAAACAGTAAAATGAAGAAGCTCACAAAACAAAAATCTTCCATATTCATCTAATTCATTTGATCATTCATTACATTTAAGTAACCAGTTAACTAAGAATATATTCCCTCTTACACTGACAGCTTGCAGTTAGCACAGAGTTCCAAAGAAGTTTTTGTTTGTTGCATTAAGTAGAGCAGAATGATTGAGTCCAACGGCACTGATGCAAATGCCTGGGCATGGGTTCACCTTAATTATTTCTGTAACTGGTTAATCTATCAACTTTTTTTAGAATGGTTGACTGATCTACTGATTATGTTTCTGCTTCATGGAAAAATAAATTCAATGACATGTGAAATTGAAAATTCACCATTAACATATTAAAAGGCCCATGTCATACATTTTTATTGTATTTGATCTTTTTTTTTATGGTCCACTTATGGTCCTCCCATGGCTTTATGTACCAAAAAGTTATTCATTTTTACATAGCTATTTTCCAACCTTTCTGTATCATGTAGAATAAACAGACTTTTTTTTTATTGTGGTTTTAAGACTGACATATGTAAGTATGTTTTGATTGGCTTCCCTGTATGTCCCATTCAAAAAGCAGTCTGTCCTGAAATACACCTTATAAGTTCAACGTGAATAGGCAGGGCTAAACTGTTGTAGGCTGAATGTGCTGATATATGTAAATGTTTTTTTTTCTGTGACATCATGAAGAAATGTTCATTCAAAATAAGCTGTGTTTTGCATCTTAGCTTTCATTTATGGACTGGGGAGTTATCGGTCTGTGTTGAAAGTGTAACAGTGTTTTCCAAGGTATGGGCCCTTTAAATAGCTTTTGTTTACATTACTGTAGCATTTAATTCTCAGTTTAAATCATCACTGAATTAAAAGTCTGACTGAATGCAAGAAATTGTAGAGTTTAAAAGGAAGAAAGCTTTAAATAATTTATTCTCCAAACAGATTATAAAATAACTGAAAAATAGTTCCTGGGCAAATGACGTTTTGTTGATTTTCTAAGTGACATTAAGTTAACACATCCTCTACAGAGAAAACAATTCTGCACAATTTAATGTACAATTACTCTTTATTTGCTCAACTCGACACACTCAGGAAGAAAACCCATAAAGCAAATGAATAGAAATTGTGCATTAAAATGCATAAAACGGAATAATTAAGTTCTCTGTAGATTCAACACTTTCTGAGAAAATGCAACAAAACATCATTTTACCAGGGGCGTTCAAACATTTGCATGCAACTGTATGTCCGCCCTGCCCATGACAAATGTGAAACATATCAAGGATATTTCTATTGCATTTCGGTGATATATTTCACATTTTCAAAGAAATGTTGTGGCCCTTATTTTTTTAGTTATGAAATCTACTGTAAAATAGGTGTTTTTTGCACTCTTTTCTAAAGAAAACCTAACAGCAGAAATATTTCATCAAAAAAAAACAAATAATGCAGTTTGCCTCCTCAGTGAATTTTAAATATTTTTTAAATATATATGACAGTTTTTTATTTCGCTCAAACATGAAGATGACGGAGTGGACAAGGACATTCCGAGTGGACTTGGACACGATGGGGTGGACAAAGCCATGACTTGGCAAACTAGAACAGTGTGTTTTTCAAACAGAAAGAAATTTGTGATGATTGACGTTTCATGATAACATTTTATTGAGTTAAAATCAAATTTGAAATCAAATGTGAAATATTTTACTGTTTTACCCAAAGTTTTTCTATTTGTAGCTGTAGAGATTTCTGATCCGATTCTTTTTTGGTAATACGTTTTTATAGGAAATTACTGTAAATGACACACTAATCTATTAAGAGAGTTCTGACTCATTTTCACAGCTCATATTAGCAAAACAGCTATTCCTTTAAAGCACGATTAGAGCATCTTTCTGGATAGACATTTATGCTGTGTGCTGAAAAAAACAGCTGGGTTGTGTTGATCATATTGACAGAGACTATCCTTACATCCAAGCTAATAGCCAACTGTCTTGTGGAAAATTAGTCAGAGCAAAATAAAGTATAATTTCTTTTTGTCTCTTATCTTATCCCTGTATCCCAGGTCAGCATGGCACATGGGATGTGTCATCCAATCAGATTCTTCAGGTGGACCCAGAAACAGGGGCGGCACTTGCAAAGAATTCTGGGACAGTGGTGGTTTATTACCGGCTGGAGGAGGGGCAGCGAGCTCTTCGCGAGGTAAAGACGGCACTGTGTGCTTATGCATCCAAATGAACATACTTTTATGCCTTTGAATTAGGGATAAGACTCGCTAGATGTGACTGAAACAGTGTTATGGCAGTACTTGAGCCACGACACCATTCTCAGTTTAAGGACTCGGACCCAAGTCTCCCATGTTTGGAGCAATGTTGCTATCTGCTGTGCTACCTGAGCATGGCCAGACCAATGACACTACAGAGCTCTCTCCATAAAGAAGGGGAAACAAACAACTTCTTAGCACCATCTTGTGGACTTCTTGCATGTCAGCCAGTGGACTTTATAAAGTGGATGAGTATATGAGTAATAAATAGTGGAATACAAATTCTTCAGCCTGCATGTTTTGATAATATTAACAAAATATTGCAATTGACTTCATAGCTTATACACCAACCAGCCACTTCATTAAACACACCCCCTTGTATCTTCACTTACTGTCCATTTTATTAGCCCCACTTAAGATAAAGGTGCTCTCTGTAGTTCTACAATTACAGACTGTTTCTCTGCATACTTTGTTAGCCCCCTTTTACCCTGCTCTTCAGTGGTCAGGACCCCCACAGGACCACCACAGAGCAGGTATTATTTGGGTGGTGGATCATTCTCAGCACTGCAGTAACACTGATGTGGTGGTGGTGTATTTAATGTGTGCTGCACTGGTACGAGTGGATCAGACACAGCAGTGTTGCTTTTTTAAACACCTCAATGTCACTGCTGGACTGAGAACCAAAAATATCCAGCCAGTGTCAGTGTACAGTGTCCTGTGACCACTGATGAAGGATTAGAGGATGACCAACACACTAGATGCAGCACTAGGTGAGCTGTTGTCGCAGACTTTACATCTATAAGGTGGACCAACAGGATAGAAGTGTCTAATAGGGTGGACAGTGAGTGGACAGTCAGTGTTTAAAACTCCAGCAGCACTGCTGCACCTGATTCACTCATACCAGCACAATTAAGACATTCTGTGTTATGCAGGTGACAGTGGAGGCTGCATCTGCCCCTGCACTCCACCCTCCTGAGAACAGGCTCCTAACTAACTGGCCTCTGGCGCCCGACTACATTGTCAGTGTTGAGCTCTACACCTCTGCTGCTAACACAGGTGAGTCTTGTGGCCTGTGCTTAAACAAATAAGTGCGGTTCAAAACAAACAAAACTTAGCTCGCTGTCTTTCAGTGATGCAAAAAGAAATTAAAATTAGTATATTATTGATAATACAGTGAATGAACAGTGAACTTGTACGTTTCAAATCAGGCACAGAACAGTGAGCATACAGCATTAGTGGATGATTAGTGGATAAGTTTGTGTCCTGCGTCACTGGAGGCCTTATGTCACGTGAAGGAGTCATGCAAGTGAGTCTGTATAGCAGTGGAGAACTGTTAAGTGCACTATTCTGTGGTAAAGAATTTACAGCATGTGAGTGACTAACCAAGGCTAATGGTTCAGAATCTTCTACAGAAGAGTAGGTGAATGGAAATGAGTGGCAAGACTTGTAAGAAGGTTGATAATAAGTCAGTCTTGGAGATATATATTCTAAAAGTTGAAACATGTAAACATACAGCAGTATTAAATGTTCTCTGAAGTTATAATAGTACTTTGAAATAATTCAGGACAAAAAAATCTCTGAACAGTATGCAGTACAGTTATATGCATGGGATTTTATTAGTAATAGGAGGGCAATATGATCTTTTGCCTACAATGCCTTTCTTTTCTATGACTGTTTCAGCCCAGTGCTCGCTGAGACAGCAGGAAGCTATAGAGAAGACACTGCAGCCTGAAGCTGAGCTTCGGTGTCTTCTACACTTCAGCACCCCCTACGTACAGCTTAAGACACTGCAGGCTGTGTTCCAAACTGCACCTCTGTATTATGTGGACACTGGTGAGGAGAATGGAAATTGACATTCGCACAAACCACACACACACACATTTTCTAAGAGGGGGGTGCCTGGAGCCTTTTCCTGTGGTCAGTGGGCAGAAGGCAGGAAACACGTCGCTTGTGCTTCCAAACACGTCGCTTGTGCTTCCAAAATTTGACCTATTTAACACTTGGTCAGTTTTGGGGATTTAGAGAGTTATTTCTGTGCGCAAAAACATTTATTAACGTCGGTTGTGCTTCAGACCCCTTCCCCAAGGGGATGAATCTAATGATTGCGAGTGCAGAATCAGTCTTAGCTCAGTTGAAGGATGTGTCTTCCAAGGATGTAAGTGAATTGTCTACTATTGTTGTCATATCTTCATTAGTATAATGCTGATTTTGCATTTGAGACCTAAGCATCAAGCCAGGCCTTCTTTTTGAGTCTGTGCATGATGTTAATACATATGACATGATCTGAAAACTCCACAAAATCTGACCTGACGCCTCTGACTGTGCCAAACTCACAGCACCATATTTTTGCTTTTTTTTCCCTGACTAAGAAAGAAATAAACATGCAGTTTTAAGGTATAAGAGGTTATTTTATTGGTGTTTGCACAAGTACTCAGGTTTACAGTTAACTTTTAACCCTTTATGTCTCCTTTTCAGCTCAGTACGGTTGCAGGATCTCAGTGCGGCCTCAGTCAGACTCAGTCCTCCACCTCCTCTCCTCGTTCTCTCTCTCCATCTCTCTCTATGCCTCTCTTCAAGCCCAATCCCCCTTGGCTGCTTTTCCTTTATCACCCCCTGCTTCTGTCCAGCTCCCATATGTGCCGGCCTTTCACTGCCCCAACACCCACATAAACCTCACACCTCAGCAGCCTGCGGCTGAGATCACCGTGACGGGCACCAGCGAGATGCTAAATAATTTGAAAGTAAGAGATCTATAGAGTCACTGTGATCCACTCTGTGCAAAATTTCATAAGAAAAAACATTTCTGTCCTTTCTGGTCAGAGTCATAAGAAATGCTGCTCAGAGAATCTTTGTATAGTTTGTGTTTGTGACTCATGTTCTGGATTTCTCTGTTGCCCGGTCAGTTTCACTCAGACAACCCAGACGTCATGCTGTCAGAGCCCAGCCTTTCAGCTGAGAATTCAGCGCTCTGCCTAGTTTCAGTCTACTTGGCTGTCATCCAGTCCACTGAAAAGGCCTCTCATCCTACCAATATTACCATCTACACATCCCTGTCGCCCCAGACACACATTGTCAGAGTGACCGTTCTAAACGACAGCCAGATGGAGACAGGTCAGGTCAAACTACACGCATATACATGAGGGCTGGGCATTTCGGTCAAGTCTGATATTCAGATTTTTAGAGCATTACTTGTAAAAAATAATCTTATAATGACACAGGTGTCAGTCAAAGTCTTCAAGATAGACAGAAAAATGCTAATTGTCTGTTATGACCTCAGCTGATTTTACTAGCTTAACCACATCGTATTTTACCTCATACTTTTTAGCTGGAGAACCACAACTTTGTGGAAAGTTAGTTAGCTGATACCAAACCTGATAAATTCAATAAACAATGCTGAAAGTTTTATTCTATCAAATTCATACAAGTAATTTAAAATGAGCTCGATGTTTATCGGTCATCACTATCTGCCACCTGGTTCCTGAGACCCTCTTCTGGAGTGCGGTAGCTTTTAGTTTAGTTTACTTTAGTGCAGTATGCTCTCTTTTGAATAAACAGATAAGAAACTAACCAAAATGTAAAACACAGGCTGTAAACAGCCCTCTGGCAGACATCTCAGGGTTCTTATGAGAATGTAGTTAGAGAAAAGCTAATTTGCCTCATTTACTTACCTGATTATTTGAGTTTTGAAACTTTTATAATGTAAATATTCAAATAATCTGACGCATACCTAGTATACCTGGGGGTGAGCAATATGACTTGATAAACTGCCACAATAGGCTTCTCTATCACTGGTATCATAAATAGATCGACTGCATGCATCATAAAAAATACAGATTTAGATCAGTTTTACAGTTTGTAAACAATAACCAGTGTAGTAATAGTGTAGTATTAACTGCATAGTAGTAGCTGTAGCTGACTTGATCTCAGCCCATTATGCAATATAATTGTATTAGTTTGATTTTTTTCTCCCTTTCCTTCTGAAATAATCTATTTTTGCAACACTGTCCACATTTTTCATAGCCATTTTTTTAATATGGTGTGAGTTTTGCCAGCCCATTTGTGTATCGTGATGTTTGAAATTACATTTTTGCCCACCCTTATATGTTCAAAATTGGTTCAGTACACAAATGAAATACACACATGGGGATACAGATCCCTCTTTCTTTGCAGTTTTTTGCATTTAGTTTAACTAGTGATTGTTTGGATACATCTTCTAAGACCTGAAGACATGCTTGTTAAACAACTTGTATGCCCTTTGTTTCCAGGTCTGCTTGAGGTGTGGCATGCTAGTCCTCTTCGCCAATTGTTTGATTTCCAGCTCATTCTGCTGTTTGTCCTGTTTGCTGTGTTGGCTGTAATTTCCATCATGTTCATTGGTAAAGCACCTCAAAATTTTAACCAGCATTTTACTGTTTTGTAGGCAATACTATATATAATAGCAGCTTTTTTGACTCATGCTTACTGTTTGTTTTTGTGTGCAGTGTACAACAGCTTGGTGCATCGTTTGCAGACTGTACCTGTTGTCTATATGCCCCCAGTCTCTACTGTTCCAGGTGCATTTTAATCTCATTTGACAGGACTGGCATTTTTCAACCTATTCTTCACCTGCACTGCACTGTCAGCCACCATGACAATTTAAGACATTTCTCTTTACTTAGAAAAAAAACTTTATTGACTTGAAACGTATTTGTAATGGACTCCTACAAGCAGGTGCTGAAGGACTGGTGGATTCATTTAGTGAAAGTGTAATTTAAAAATTTTTGTTTACCCTCTTGCAGCAGTAAAACAGCAGTTTTCCCCCTGGATCAGTCAGTCACCACAGCTGGACAGAATCCTGCGCAGGAGACCGTGGCTCTGTAGCATTTCCCGAACTTCCCCTCCTGGCACACATCCCTCTTTATGAGGCTAAGCTCATGACTGCTTACTTTCAAAGATAAATTCTCTGAGACAACACCAGGCTAAGTTCTTGGCTATGACCCACATAACCCCTTTACATATTCTCTGAACTAATGCAGTCTTTGAACAGTAGCCATCTTATAGAGTAGAACGACAGTGTGCACGGGCCAACAGACCCTTTCCAATAGCGAATGGTAAATCATGAATACGAACCTTCTTATTTGACCCCATTTCCAGCATGTTAGTAATAACAGAACGTTTCCACTCCTTCAAAAGAAAAGCTTTCCTTAAGCTGCACAGCACATTTTGATGTTCCCCTTACCTTATGAAGAGCTTATTAAACAAATTTAACCAGGCGCACTGTGCAGTGCAGGAGTATTACAGGAACAGGATCAGGAAACACTAAGCTTAAGCATTAAATTTGGCTCTGCATTTAAAGAACAAAACAACAAGCATAACGAAAAACAACCCTTTATTTAAACAATTAAAAGTGAGAAACAGGTTTGGCAGTTATGCTTTACACTGACTCCCAAGTCCAGCACACTAATAGACTTCAGCAGTGTCTTGAGGTCTGTTCACAATCTGGCCCTCAACTTCATTCCATTTCAGGTCAGAGGTGCGGGTTGATCTTGGGTATGCACTGTAAAGCCTCTGTCCAATCCAGTCTCCCCTCCTTTGGTCTCCCTTGTCCTTGCTAACAGGACAGTGAGAGACTAGTGCTGCTTTCTCCTGAATGAACACCCTGCAGAGAGAGGGAGAGATGTTTACTTCGTCACATTCCAGGTAAAAGGGAGGTATGTTTATCATGTGTGTGGTGACAGCAGGAGTTTGTGCATGTACTTGCTTCCATGTACTGAATATAGAAATTTTATGCTTAAGGTTCAGTGCCTTTCAGGGAAGTTTCACTGTTGCCCAGACTTTTACTTTCTATTCACCAAATGCCCTCAAACTGAAAACAAATGGTGTTTCAAAACACTCGTCATGCAGCATTCTTACTGTTGAGAATATTTCACTGTGTTCTGTAGAAAACACACTTATTCTTCATAGGGGTGCATGATCTGAATCAGCCAAGATCAGAATCCAAAGATACTTTCTCAAAACAAGCAATCAGCCCTTTTTACACTTAAGATCTTTGAGGTAAACAACAAATCAGATAAATGTGCTCATACTGTATTTAAATGGTGCTGCTACATCTATAACAATGTTGTAGCATACTTAAGCAAGACTCTGCTAAATGGCCAGTCTTCTCTTTGGATGTAGCACTTTATATAATATTTAAATAAGCATCTAATCTTTCATCTAAGAACTTAATTTAAAAATGCCAGTCAGGCTCATAAAAAAAAAGTATTTTAAAATTTGAACTCTGCAAATGTACATATTACGTTTTAATTTCTGGACCATTTATTTGATTGAAACTAACGAGTTTTCAAATTATGCAACAAACTGGGGGAAAAAAAAAAGGAGCTACACTGTTTTTGCAAGACAACAGATAAGTGAGATGGCAAGCATTACAATACTTATTACTACATATGCTTAGTAATAACTGAATTTAACAACAAATTGTCATATTGCCCATCTCTCGTATCTCCCCATACACAATTATTTGCTGAGCTTTAACATATTAAAGAGAAAAAACAGCTACACCATTTATTTTAGCAAATAAACAATAATTGTGCAAGAAAATTTCTTGTCTGTAGAGGACGGGTCAACTTATTTTCACTTACAAAACCAAAATGTAAATGACCAGACACGCCCAAACTGTTCCATACAATTGTGTATACAAAAGCAAAAGCCTAATCCCACCCCAAAAAATTTAAATACGCTTTGGTTGTATAGAAAATAGCCATAATATAACAGGGGCATCTGTAATTATAGTAAAAGCGTCAGTGCCTTTGCCAATAAGTACACATAGTAAAAAGTATTTATAAGGGAACCTACAGGGTGGGAATCACCAAGGGCCCCAATATATATCCATACTTAAGTCACAATACAATATTATTGCAACTTTAAAGATTTTGTGATGTTGAGTACTGAGGTAACACTACCTTTTTTTTTTAAAACCTTTTTCAACTGTAAATTATGTCAAGGAAAACAGTCATCTGTTTTACATGAGTGTTTAGTCTAACTTCAGTCTTGTTATTGCAGCAAAATTGGACTGTCAATCAGACAAACTAACCAACACTCAAAAACTACTTTAAACTTATATTGATACTTGGCATCCATGTATCGATACAATATTGCCACGGAAATGTTGCAATGGCGGCATCAATTTTATTCCCCCAACCCCTACTGTAAAACAAAGTAAGGCTTAGAGGAATTTCCTCAAATTATTCCTATTGAGCAATAACATCCAACGCTAAAACAGCCATTGTGGTGCAGGCATTCCAAAACAAGCATGCTGGCAGTAGCGTTTTGCTGACCAGGCGCAAATCAAAATGTTGCAAAAGATTGTTTGTCTTATTGTCTGTGGATGCTTAACACTGAAAGGCCTTTCAACCACACAAAAAACTACATATGAATAATAAGCGAATAAGCATGAGTTCATTGATATGCAGCAGCATTCCAATGAGTTCACTGTATGCATTCATAATAAAATGATGCCTTCCAGATGCAGTTTTGTGTCCTGAAGAATTCATTACCCCAGGGGTGTTTAGACAGCAACACCATAGCAAAGTATTCAGACAACCGTTCTAACTTGATTTGGGATACTTTCAGCATAGCATAACACAGAAAAGCATTGTCAGCCGAACGGGGTGGTCTAGGGTGGCCACACAAGCCCAAGACTTCCATGCATCATGTAACCTTCAGTTAGAGTGGTGTAAAGCACCTCAGCAGTGGGCTTTGGATCAGCGAGAGCATGTTCTCTACAGAGGTGATGCACCACTGAACACTTGGGATGAGCTGGAATGCTGTGTGAACAAAACTAAGACTAACATCAGTTCTGATCTCACTGATCTTCTGGTAGCTGAAAGGAATCAGTCCCAGCAAAAAATGTTAACATGCCGTGCAAAGAGTTTATAGAGGTAGAGCGGTTGCTGCAGCAAAAAGGGGGGAACAACTGACAGTTTACACCCAAGATGAGCAACACCCATTATTAATCCCTCTCGAAAATGAGGACTCTTCACAAACTAATGAAATACAAATGATGGCATACATAAGCGCATTAATATGTCTCTTTAGACTGTGCAATGTTTAACCATTTAAGCAAATCAGACAAGTTAAGAAAAGCTAACTTGGTAAACCAACCAATCTTATTGTTCTGTAAGAGTACATTAGACATCATTAAAATCACTTACAGTCTAATTTAGATCAAATTACATTATTTTGAGCAAATGCATGCATGACTTAAAACAGTGTGGTTCCCACATTGCTTAATCCAAAACTTCCTTCAAGAAGGAAGGAAACTACACTCCGAGTAGGAGCTGTTCAAAATATCAAAACAATACATTGTGGATAAGGTCAGGGTAAGACAGGCATCAGTAGTGTTGTCTGAATTGATGACTATGAGGTTATTTACACAGATTGTGTGCGGAGTGAAACTGATACGGCCTTCAATACTGTGCATGATAAACCTGTGCTCTAAAAGTAAGGGTTTTGCTTTTTATTTAATAGTATTTGTTTACTGTATTTGTTTATAGTATTTTTTACTGCATGCACTGCGAAAATGATCCACAGAGTAGCACCTAAAACAGTTTTAATTTTATTCCCCCAAACTTTTCATTTAACTAGTTTTTAAAACAAGTTTTAAGGTAAACACTTGTCAAAAACATCTGTTGTGCTTGTGGGGTGTTTTGCCACTGTACTGTAATATTTATACTGTTATATGCACTAAATTCTGACAATATGCAACATCTAGTTTATCTGAATTACACATTCCTCAGCAAACCTTTTCCACCATCTGAGCCCAACGGTCATTTACTACCACAACCATTGTCATTGCACGTTTTTTCAACAGAGCTTATTTTACTTTGTTTAACAGAGGATGATCGAGATGAGTAAACTGCTGATCGATGTCATTTTGCAAATGATCAATTCCCTAGCAACACTGTTTCTGTATTTGAGGAAATGCTGGAGAAGCAAGTGTCTGCGTACATTTGGACATGTGCATGTTTGAGTGTTAATGTAGGAGTGGCCTACCTTCTGTGAGACGTGCTTTTCCGCCGGTAGGCTGGCACAACACCGTGGAGCATCCCACACACAACACCACCGTCTGAGCATGGCTGAACACTGTAGTGATCTTATAGCAACCTGCAGACAGGAGGTAGAAGAGGTTGAAAGATGAAGCCAGCAAAAGAACTGAAAAACAGATGCTCACACAGGCTACTCACTCCAGAAAAGCATGGACAGCCAGTGACACGGTAAATCATTTGTAAATCCAAGTTCTGATTAAGCCTTTTAAGATCTGGTTCTGAGGGAACTGCTCTACCTCACTGAGCATAAAGGACCTGATACCTTTGTTTACCAAAAATGAAAAACACCATTTCAAGCTAGCATAGCTTCCTGCCATTGGCTTCCATCTCTCACATGTTGGACACTGGTTACCTGTTTAAAACCTGAATGATAGCACTGTGTTTAGAAAAATCTGTGTTGGTGCAGTGATGTTCTAAAATCTGACAGTGCCGTTACCGTTCCCTTCGAGATCTTCAGCAGGGAAGCAAGCAAGCAAGGAGGATCTAGACATAAAAGGCTCTATTTGGGCAGAGGAGCCTTTACTTTCTGACTTTATGGTGCACAATAAAGAGCAGCAATTCAGCCACATTCAAGATCTGCCAAAAAAGCCTCAGTCCGAAGTATATTAAATGAGAAAACTAGGAAAGAGCATTTCTGGCTAGTTGCTATGGAGGGGTGTTTACTGAGTGGTTGTTAGGAGGCTACCAAGTGGTTGCTACATGCAGAAAATGAATGGAAGTCTATTGGAGGAATGAGGGAGGAAAACAACACCACAGGGGGAGTGTGGGTCAGAATGGCTGTGGATTAGAGCTTGGGGACCTGCCCTGAGGCCACGCATGCAGACTGGTGGTGTTGCTTTACTTTGATAAACCTTACTGTCAGCCAAAGTGCTTACAGTCACGAATCCTTAGATACCTGGGCATTTGACGTCCATGAAGTAAGAGTTGGGGCTCTGTACAAGGCGCTTTTTCTTGTGCCTCCTCTTCTCCTCCTCTGGAGTAGGGTGCAGCAAGTCCTTTGCGAGCTGAGTTGGAAAGGAGAAAATCATTAAGTGTCTTATGTTGCACTTGCAATATGAGCCCTCCTGTAGGCCAGGGCCAAACAAACATTAACCAGGTGACCGGTTAGCGTTCAGAGAGCACTGAGAAAGAAGGACATGCATAATTACAGTTCTTTTAACTGAATAAAAGGCTGCAGTATCAACTGATTCCCACCCCTACAGTTCCATGAGCTCTAAACACTGAGAACTGCGCTGACTGCCTGAAGGCCTCACACTGGACCAAGGATTCAGATCCTAGTTTTTGTTAAGATAAAGGTACTAACTTGGAGGTCCTTACAGTGGTGGTGAATGGAACCAGGTGTGTCAATGTTTACAACTCAAATATAGCCATTTTATTTACTATCCAAAACCACCAATTAGCCCGAGGCAAACAGAGATAAACCTGAATAAAATTCTCTGGGGACACTTTTACCCTATAACGTCCAACAAGCAACAGTTCCCCCTCTGCCCTGAACACATTTAAGACCAAACCCCCCTCAGGACTACCATAAAACAATGCCTCAGGCAGCGCATTCATAACCATTTCATGTAACAACCTTCTCTGGTGTACCTGGTTCACATCACCACCACTGTGAAGAGTTAGAACTTGGCAAGTTTCTCTGGAACTAAGCATTTCACGACAACCCACTCCGAATGACTCTGCACACGTTTTAATGATTTAATATTGCAGAAATGCGGAAAACACGGTGGAGTTGCCCTTTAAACGGTGGCCCATAACGGGGCTGAAGTTGGCTTCCTATTCGCCAGCTTTTTGTTCGAATCTTCACGTTCTACCTTAAATACTGCAGCAGCTCCATTCCGGCGCCTGCACCATTTAAGGTAGAACAGGCAAATTCGAATAAGACGCTGAGCTCATCTCATCAGCCCGTGTTTATAGCGCGCCCAGCGCAGCCATCTTATCGTCCCGCCTGTCAGCACTCGCGTTTCAGCCCCCTAACTTCCAAAACCACCGGGGTTTGGCGGTCACATACGCGGCGAGCGCAAATAGGAAGCTTTAAAGCCGCGATGCGCGGATAATCCGGAGTGAAAGCGCGTTAGAGGAGCTTATTTGAGGCCCAGTTCGGCGCCACACTGCAGTCTGACTTACAGGCATGCTGGAGCCGCGACTTGAAAAGAAAGAACCAGCCGGAAACACGCCGCTCATATACACGGGGCTCCCCGGCAGGGGCCGGATATACAGCGATGGAGGCTTTTATTTACATTTTATATTTTTATTTAATTTATATTTAAGTGTCTTTTTCTAAAATTATGTCTTTATACAAGTTTTGATTAAATTACCTGGCAGCGTCCACCCGTATATATGATAAATTAACCTCCAAAAATTCGAGAAAAAAATACTTGTATTAAAATAATTTACAATAAGCACTCCTGTCTTATTTTTGGCTAAATTAAAATCCTAAATATATGCAAAGGAAATATATTCACCTTAAAAAAAAAAAAAATAAATAAAAAAAATAATGCTAATATATATATATATTATATATATATAATATATATATATTTAATATATATTTCAGTACATTGACACGCATGTGCATATATTTAAATATATTAAAATGCCACGTTTCAATATTAGCACATATAACATCAAGTTTGTAACATAAACAAATATATGTGCATATATTTTGTTTCTTCCATGCAGACAAACAGACTGATATAGATGTTAAATGCACATTGTGAAGGCTGGATTAAATTAATTTGGAACGTTTAGCCACATCTGCTTTTCCACATGTTTATGAAAGCTCCAGAAGTCCAGCAAAAATATTGACAGGCTTTTGTAATAGTTGCTGTAAGTGATAATAAACTGGCAGCATTTTCAGCTGCATTTTAACAATGTCTGAATGCCCAACTAGATGGCCAGCTAGACTTTGTTCATGTCCATTGATTTTTACTCTGAAGTTGACCAAATTTGGTTTGCTTTCCTCTGGTATTCATCCTCTCTGTTCTCTGCCACCACAGTGGCACTAAGCTGATTTTAAAGGGCCCTTACCGTGAAAAATCAAAATGTTCGTGATGAAGTTGATGTAGCTTGTAAATGTTGTTAAAGTTTCAAAACATATGGTTTACTTCCCAGTCAATACAGTTAATATGCCCATACTGCTTTTTATCAAAGCAGCCAATCAGAACAGACCTCATTTACATGCACCACTCTTAAAGACGCATTAACAAAAACAGCCTGTTTAAGCCTACAGATTGAAGAGAGGTTGAAAAACAGTCATGTAAGAATGAGTTAAGTATCATAATACCATATAACTTTACTTCTACTCAAGCATATTAGAGAGTAGAGGAATCCACTTTTTCCTCAGATACATTCCAGCCATTCAAATTTAGTTACTGATTCATTTTGTGTGTTCAATCACGTTTTGTTGGTGAGAACGTCTCATTTTTGAGCTTTAGAACTTTTTTAGACCAAAAGAATCCCACAAGGAGAAGAATACAATACAACAAATTTCAGTTCCTATGCTGACGGATGCTGTATTTATTTAAGAAGTTCCAGAGAAGTCTTTTAAATTACTTGAGTTCTTCAAATTACTTTTACATTAGTCATTATTTTACCCAAGTATTAAAGGGGAACGCCACCAATTTTTCAATTCATGGTTGAGATTTAAACAAAATCATTCAGAGCGGTTTGGTGTTAAATGCTTCAGTCTACAGAAACTTGCTGTGTCAGAATAGTTCACAGTGGTGTTGACAGGAACCAGATGTCCACCTCTAAAAGCTCCCTCACATAAAGTTATTACACAAAATTGTTATCTATACACTCTCTGATGTCTGACACATTGGTTTATATTTAGAAAATGTATTATTTTCAGATTTATGACTATTTTACCATCGTCAACATTACAAACTCAGAAGACACGTGTAGGTTCACTGGTGGTTTTGGATAGTAAATGAAATGGCTATATTTGTGTTGTAGACATTGTGACCCCTGGTTTCATTCAGCACCACTGTAAAGAAATCACGTCAAGCCACTCCAAATGATATCTCACACACTAGATTACCCAGAAACTTCGGAAAATGGGTGGAATTCCCCTACTTGAGTATGTGCTTAGGCTACTCCGGCCTCCTCTGCACAACACAAATGTAGAACATGGGACCTTTAAAACGGCAACAGACTCGGTGTGAAATGTCGCCCCCTGCTGGTGCATTCTTTTACTCCCCAGTCTCAGCCTTCCACTCCCTCTAATGGAGCGGCTGCTGCAGCCTCTCCCTCTCTACGTAAGCCTTCGGGAACTCGGGGGGAAGTTTTCAGGAGAAACCGTTCGCCGGATGGATGAATATGCCCTTCAGTGAAGAAGAAAGAGAAAACTAGCGTAACTCGATGCCGACATGACGAGGAATCCCAGCAGAAACTAAAAGCAAGTGGAAGGCAGACAGAGCCCGCTGCGAACAGCCGCTGACCCCCATCCCGTTTTTTTCCTCTTTCGTTTACTGAAAGTTTTTTTTTCTTCCTTCTCACGAACCGGAGCAGCGAAGAGAATCGGAATTAACCGGTGGCAGAGTTTCTACAGGACAAAAAGCAGCTCTAAATGGACGATAAAGCGATCCGCTTCGGACGTGCAAAGTTTTGACTGCCTGCCTGTTTGGGGAGTGAAAGTGCTGCAGTGCTGAGTGGAGAAGAGAAACCTGACCAAGAAGTCTACAAAACATTAGCCAAAAAGAACTATGGCAAAGAAATACGACTTCCTCTTCAAGTTACTACTTATTGGAGACAGTGGAGTTGGCAAAACGTGCCTGATCATACGTTTCGCAGAAGATAATTTCAATTCCACCTACATATCCACTATTGGTAAGTCTAAAAAAAGTGATTCTGCTCCTCAGCCTGTAAACTGCCTGGACGGCGTTTTGTTGCTGCTCCCAGGATCTTATCTGGTTAAACAAGTCTAGGGGTGCTGCTGCTCTCCTATCCGGTTTACTCTTCATGTCAGCACTAGTCCACAGTTGTTTCATTCCAGCCTGAGAATCATCCTGCCTTGCTATTGTTTTGGTTCTCCTCTGCTCCTCTTATTAAATCCCCTTTTCATTTTTCCCCTTCACTTTCCCCAGCTCCAACTCAAACTCCTCCACCCCCACCCCCCCCAACTCACTTATCTCTATTGTAATCTCTCTCTCTCTGCATCAGATGATGGCTGCCCTCTCTGGCATTCAGTGCATTCAGTCAAATCTTCAAAGACCCCTCCTTTCCTTTCCTCTCCTCTTTAGTGCTTTCTCATTTGCTTCCCGTCCCACAGGAAGCCTCCTTGGAAAAAAAGATGAGTAAATTAAGACCCCTGAGCCTCTGAAAGGATATGGTGGGGTTTTTTTTTTTTTAAAGGTAAAAATCAGGTGAGCATCAGATACTGTGAGGTGAGTGCCAGATATGATCATGTGCTCACTTGAATATGTCAGCAGAGTACCTGATAGTATGTGGTGCTCACCTGATGGTATCTGGTGCACACCTAATAGTGACTCAACAAATGGTGTATTTTCCAGCAGTCGTTATTACCTTTATGTAATTTGGCGGACGCTCTTATCCAAAACTTTGATAATTTTTACACAGATTAGCACCAGATATGTGGTGCTCACCTGATAGTATCTCGTGCACACGTAATAGTGACTCAACCAATGGTGAATTTTTTAAGTAGCGTTTTGCAAGCTGTAGCAGTTGTTATTACATTTGTGTGATTTGGCAGACACTCTTATCCAAAGCGACTTAGAATATGAGCATTTTTACACAGTTAAGCACCAGGTATGTGGTGCTCTCCTGATAGTATCTGGTGCACACCAAATAGTGACTAAACAAATCGAAAGTGACTTACAATTTGATCATTTTTACACAGGTAGGCCTCTTATTGGTGTAGGGCGCTCGCACAGATGGGGGACCAAACCCCAGTCTAAAGCATGGCAGGCAGAAGTGTTACTCACTACACTATACCACCATGTAAGCTAGAATTAAGCATCGGTTTTATGAGTTTTGGAGTCACATCCACTCCTGATTTGCTGTCATATCTTACCAATGAAAATGCTGACAGGCCTACACTGAAACACTTCTCAGTGTAGGCCTGTTAATTAATTTCACTTTTGTTGCCAGGCTCTGCTACTTTGGGTTTTAATCCACAGCACAGCCTTCCTTCCTCCTAAGCCCTCTCCATCTCTCATTCTCCTGCTCTCTTCCTTTCCACATAGGTATTGACTTCAAAGTGAAGACCATCGAGGTTGATGGGAAGAAAGTCAAACTGCAAGTCTGGTAAAATGAACTTTGCCTGTTTATTTCAGTGTGCACTTATATCCTTAAGCTCACCAGTCAGTGTGAAACACAGTTTCCTTGTGTACCATGACGTGTTTCTGAGTAAAACACAGTATCAGGGAGGTGTCTTTGATTAGCGGCGTTTCCTCTTAGTAGCAGGCGAGGGTGGTGAAAGGGGGTAAACATGAAGATGTTTTAGATGCAAGGAAAAGGCTTTATATTTACATATGTACATATTACAGAAAAACAAGAATTTTGTCTTTTAAATGATAAGATGAATCATGTTTAATATAATCAAGAACGAATTTAAAAAGATCAACGTTACTTTCAGGTTTACTTTAGCAGTAATAAGTAGAGTTGGCCTGAGTTTATTGTTCAGAGCAGTACGAAGAACTGCTGTAGCTTTGGCACATAGGAAGATTTAGAAAATGCAAATTCTCTAAAGTAGCACTAAGACATTTTATCAAAAGCAACAAAGACTCCATGCTATGGTGGTTTGGATCTCTGGCATGCAGGGCCAGATTTTACCAGTCTGCTCTGAATTAATCAGCTGTACACAGGACAGCAGTGGTGGAATGCATCTGGAAGCATTTCTACATGTTTTTTTATTCCTTAATATTATCTTCTTTTGTAAGCTGGAAAGGCAAAGATATGCGTCAGCATAGCACAACAAGGCAGGGGGGGAAGTTTGACAGTGAGGACATTAGCAGGCCTGGAGCCAACGCCATAAAGTCAGCTGTATCCTGTGAGCCAGTCACACGGAAGTACAGAGTCCATTTGTCACACCTAATCGCTGAAGGAGCTGAAACATAGGCCAAATGACTCCTTATGATGCAATACTTTCTGAGTAACTCCATGTTTATAACTTTTCAACTGTTCTGTTTCCCAGGGACACAGCAGGACAAGAGAGGTTTAAGACCATCACCACTGCTTACTACAGAGGAGCTATGGTAACACACATACATGAATCCTTTCAAGGCCTGCTCTTCAGCTAATGTTCTTGCAAATCAAGACTAACCTGAGTTTTTATAAACTGTACAGTTAATGTGTTTGTGAACATAGCATATTTATGTTCTTGATACTCCAAATCCCATACCAAACACTCCCATACCAAAAAAAACTGTCCAAGCCCAAAATACTAATGGTGTTTACTGATGGTTTTGGCCTGGTCAGAGCCCAGATGTAAACCCTATAGAGAATATTGGGTCTCACATTAAGCCCAAACTAGCTTGGCAGTGTTTTTTAACTGTTTGAAGCCGTCAATGCTGAGTGGAACAATATTAATTCTTCTTTCTGAAAAAGACTGCCTGCACATTTACGTACAAAAAATTTCAATATGTAAAGAAATCAAAGAGAAAAGCTCTCCCATACTAACTTATCATATATATTATTTTAATTCTTGCTAATTTACTGGCTTATGATTTGTTGTTAAGACCATTAAAATCTTAATGTTTTGCCATTTTGGGCTTGGCGCATTTTTTTGCACAGAATATATAACGTATATGCGACTGAAATTGATATTTATGTCCAATACTATATACATGTATCATATCATATGTAACTGTATATATTTATAATGTAGGGTTACTTAGGGTAAGAAGTACCTTGGGTTAATATGCCCCCTTTTTATTTTCTCTCCTAAAAAAATGATGTGGCCAAATCTAATCTGGGCACATTTACTGTTCGGTCAAATTAATTCTGAAATTTCATCTGCATTCCTAGGATTTACTGTCCTGGGGTCAGTTAGGGTCAGATGATCTATTTTTTGTCACTGGATAGTGATTTATGTGTTTATATTGAGTTGTAAAAGAAAAGTTGTAATAATATGTGTTTGGGAAGGGAAAGGGGGTGTGGAGAGAGCAGTTTCATCATAAAGACCCAAATTGGACACTACAGTTTCCAGCTAGCTAGCTTTAGCGTTACATATTAGCTATAGAAATTGTTAGCTAGAATTAGGCAACATTTTGCTTAGCTTGCTGGAGATGAGTCTGTATGCATGTTACATCCACACCTAATTTGTGTTATATCTTACCAATGAAATGTTGAATGCTATTTCTTTATTTAAACTGTTCTTGTTATTATTGCTACTATAATAATAATATACAACATTAAATGGATTTACAGAGTATCATTATGTTGTCAGTATACAAATTGCCATCTAAATTATACATTCTGTAAAACTCAAACAAATTTATCCAGGATCCACCAGGGGATCTTCTTGCCCCAGGATGGGGAACCTCTAGCCCCGATAGTTGACTGCTGTTTTAGTTCATCATCCTTTACATGCTAAATTCAGGCACAGATATGGTTTATAGTAAACAGACATTGTTCTTAAGTGGGGTGGCAGTTTGGATCTTCTGTACCTTTATCGGAATATCTGTTCCAGGGCATCATCCTTGTGTATGACATCACTGACGAGAAGTCCTTTGAGAATATACAGAACTGGATGAAGAGTATCAAAGAGGTAAGACAGGATAATGTGTTGTTATGGGGAAAAATAAATCTGTGGCAATGCCAGAAGAAGACTTACCAGAGTTGACTGGTTGTGTCACAGTGACTGATTCCATCTGTAAAATACAATTACGCTTTATTGTTGTGAGAGTAGTTTCACTTCTCGTTAGGATGGCAGAGGAACTCAAGGCTGACAATGTGAACACATAGGGCCTGATTGTTTGAACCTACCTCACTCCTGAGGTACTGGGGAACTAAGCATGTCTTTCTCTCCCTCTTTTTGCAGAATGCCTCGGCTGGAGTGAGCCGGATGTTGCTGGGCAACAAGTGTGACATAGAAGCCAAGAGAAAGGTGTCGAAGGAGATGGGTGAGAAGGTGAGTCAAGCTTGGGTGTGCAGTGAACAATTGTCCACAATGTGCTGCCAAAGTTTTTTAACATCCTGTGCTCAAACTCTTGTTTTCATGAAAGCTCGCAAAGGATCATGGGATCAGATTCTTTGAAACAAGTGCAAAGTCAAGCATCAATGTTGAAGAGGTAGGAAAGTGCATACACACACATTAGATTATTCTACACACATTTCAGATGTTTAGACGCTGCAGGATTTATATGAACAGAAATTTCGGTTTAAAAAGGCTGGTGTTGCATACAGTAAATGAAGCCACCAATTAGCCTTATGCACAAGCCATCACACAAATCAGTGGCTGCTAGTCTCCATTCATATAGTCAAGATATTCTATTAAAGAGTAACTACAGACCTTTTTTTCATTAACAGCTGAAATGCACTGCTCTGTAGTAATCAAATCTACCAGACTTGCTTAAAATGTGAACGCATCTTTCCAAACTGTAAAAATATCATTTATATCATGGTCATTTCCACCTCTGCAGTGCCCCTCTGGTTCAATTCTGCTATAGGCGCGGATAATGTGTGTTTGTACCAAAGCATGATGACACGTCACATTATGCAAATCAGTCAACCAACGTTACCACCCCCTGATGATGCCCTACTCGTGCAACACTCATAAATATGAAAGCACAGGAGCCTAGAGCGAGGAGACAACCACACTCACACGCTGAGCTAAATACCCCCAGCACCACCTCACAACGCTCCAATATGGCAGATGTCTGTAACAACTGTAAATAACCCAGTTAATCTAAGATTAGTTTATAATAAAGATTGAGAATGTTCAATGAATGACTAGGTAAGCTGAAGGACCTATTAAGTGAGGATTCTTGCAAGCCTCCATAAAGCTGCCGGTGTTACATCTGATTCACGTTTCCCTTCGCAAATTAAACCCTGGGGGGCCACACTCACTGATCAGAAATTAGTGGCAAGCAACACTGGAACTAGAGAAAGCGAAATGGTTCAGGAAAGGTTAACATTAAAAAGCCATTGTTACTGAGTGTCTTAATCTTTCATCCAAACAGCCATTCTCGAACTTTTCTCCCGCTTTCCGTAGTTCCAGTGTTGCTTGCGAATGATTTTGTTCGATTTATGAAGGGGAATGTGAATTTGAGGGGGAACTGAATCGGATGTAACACTGGTAAGTGCCATGAACAGCTTGCAGAATGTAAGAATTTAGGGCCACTGCAGCAAACCCTGGCTGACCGGTGATGCAGTCTGCAACCTTAATGTCAGACTAAATGAAACTCAGTGAAAGACAGTGTTCAAAGAAATCCACTTTATTCATTTGGAATTCAGTGCTTCTAAGAATTCAGGACTCTGGTTATATCGAATATGGACCTGCTGAACAGACAATTAGAAAGCGAGTTGTCACTGTTTTATGGAACGTTCTACCGTTCGGCACCTCTGCCGCTCGCAGCTAATCATTTTCTGGTACTATGCTAACTCTTCGGCGGCTTGAGTCAGTGGCTCATACTGTTAAGGCTCAAGACGCACTGCCTGATCAGACCTTCCCTAATGATATGGATAGTAGTGTAGAAAAATTGTCAACCTCTTCAGACCTCTCAGTAGCAAAAGTGCCGTTTGATTGTCACTCTCCATGTTTTCTGGTAGCTAACGTTTACGATAAAAATACAGCAGCCCCTCCTCCAAACCCAAAATCACTGCGGTGCCCCTCCCATTTTTGAGCAATTTTCAAATGGAGCCAGGGGTATAGTCAGCTGAAAATAGTGGGGTGTAGTTACTCTTTAAGTAGAACAACAGAAAGTTATCACTGAATTTGAACTTGACCTCCCCTTGAGCAGGTTAGGCATGCAGCATATGTTGCTATAGTGTTGCTGCCCACTGTCATTAGAAAATCCAGGCTTAGATTGAACTAGCAGGCTAACCCATAATCTTGCTTTATGAGACACATATTATGAGTATTATGTTAAGACATAGGTGAAAAATAAAATGTATAATATTCAGTCCAATTCAATGACTATTAGTGAGATAACCTTACTGAGTTAACTGGAACACAGTTACTCCTAAAATGGCTTGCTCAAAGACCAATAAACAGCATTTACAGTATAAACAATTGAAGTACTAGTGTTTTCATGCACAATTCCACAGTACTATTTGCTGTCCTCTCTCTCTCTGCAGTCCTTTGCTGCTCTGGCTCGCGACATTTTGCTGAAATCAAGCAAGAAGCCGGTGAGTTTGCTGTGTGTTTATAAAGAGGTTTTTGCTTACCACATGTGTAAACCCAGACTACGTTTCATGTCAACAATGTCTTGATTTTATTCAGACCTTTGAAAAGGGACATAACACAAACTCAAATACATTTAAAAGGGAATTTACCATTTTGTTTTATTTCTGCTTTATTAAATCATTATTCATTAAAGAGATTGACAGTCAGCACATAATTAAAGGTAATTAAAAAAATAGAAAATTGTTATATGGATCATCCTACTGAATTAGTTGGAAGCCAGACTTCCAAACTCATTCTGTACTTTTAACTGACTTAAAAAGGATTTTAGACTAAAATCCTTTTGCTTTGAGTGACCCTGTACCTTTATTATGCTTAATTTATTGAAACAAATGATTCAACATTCTGTTTTGTCACTACCAAAGCAATTATAACACTACTGTTAGCTAATTTAGCTAAATTTTAGCTAATTTTGAGCAGAACTCAAAAACACTATCCAGTACATGACTAGCAAACACAGCTTTGAACAGCTGTACACACAGAAAAATGCAATATTTTTTACTAAAACACACAAAGTTTACTTAATTGCTGAAAATATCTGTTTTGGTAGTAACAGTTCTTAAGGTTACACACTGATTTTCAGACTTGGGGACACATTTACTTCAAAACAATGGAATCTAACTGCTTAGCACAGGGATGCAGTCTCGCTTCCTGCTCTAAAATGCAGGGGCGTGGCTAAAATAAAGCTCCGCCTACAGACTAAAACTCTGTGTTTCGGTAGTGACATGCAAACGTGGGACAGCATTTTTTGAATCATCAATCATGATCAAAAACTAAACCCATGATAAATCTAAATCATTCAACTTCACCAGAAAGATCCAAAACGTCTTGAAGAAAAATGTTGAAATTTGGGGGTTAGGGTTTGGGACAACAACTTCCCAATATGTTTACCTGTGACCTATAAATGATGATTTTGTATATATTTATTATCTCAATTAATACCTTGGGTTTAAATAGACCATAGCATGTAATGCTTGTAAATAACTAACGTCTGAATACATAATTGTTTTTTTAAATGAACTAATTCAGTGGAATGTTCCAAGTGTCTTAGAATACTACAGAAATTGTTATTTACAGTATTATTAATCCATAAAGGAATGAGGACAAGAAGTTTTTTTGCAAATAGAAGTGATGTAAACAAAGTCATTCAGAGCGGTTTGATGTGAAATGCTCCTTTCTGTGATGCCTGTAAAAGCTACCTCACATGAAGTTATTACACAGAATATGTATGTGCTGCCTGATGTCCAAGACATTGTTGTACAATAATTTTGTGATATTTTTTTAAAATGTACTTTTTAAAAAGCCAGTCGTGGCACATGCGGCATGTTGTAAGGCAAAATGAGCGAAAACTTATTTTTTCAGATTTACTATTTTATCATTATCAACATTACATATGAAAACTCAGGAGACACATTCAGGTTCACTGGTTGTTTTTGATTGCCAAAAAAAGGCTGCTATGGACTATGTTTGCATTGTATTTCTACTGTTGTGTTATATTGTATAAATCTGAATGACTTTGATTACATCCTAGTAACTGAATTATACAGAAATTTTTAAAAATCTGTAAAATACCCGTTTATGCGTTCTCATTCTTACAGGGCCCAACAGGCCGTGAGGTCAAACTTACCACCCCAACCACAGAGAAAAAGGCCTCCAAGTGTCTTCTGCTTTAGATACGTCACCAGCCGGAGGAGACTCCTGAACTAGCGTGCACGCACATACACATACACTCTTATGACACAGCAGTATTACACATGGAGGAATTTAAAACGTAAGCATAGGACATATGAGGAAGTGGCCAAAACACATGAAATAACCAAAATGCCAAAAGATAAAAAGATACAGTTATTGTATATGTGAAAAAACAGAACTCCTTAAAAAATGTAAAGTTTTTACTTTAAAATTTTGTATTACATTCCTTAGTTGGGTTTAAGTGGAACGCTAGTCAGGCTATGTTTACACGTCACATTTTTATATTTCAGCTGGAGTTCATGTGGCAATATACACAAGACGCTTTTTTTTTTTTTAAACTGCAGCCTTTCAGTTAAAATGCAGTTGCCAATATACACGCATGGCATTCACCGTTTAGGGATTTGGGTCAATCATTGATTTCGGTTATTCTCCTTGATAAAAATTGGCCACTTTCTGACCTATTAGAACACTTAATTGACAGAGATGACAGATGACAAAGATTAGGATTGTCTTGGTAGGTGATTAGATGGTGAGGAAAGTTTGGTGTTGAATGTGCACAATTAGATATGAAAGTACTGGATACAGAAGGTGAATATCGCCTTATAGAAAGTTTATGAGGATGTTTATCAGGTAGTGCCAAACTGCCTCTGGGAGAAAGAACTGTACCTTTTTGTTTTTAAGTAATGTAAGCAATTGTATGTCTTCCCCTCTTCTCTCGCACACCACTCTCTACTCTCCATCATCGGAATCTCCTCTTTCCGTCTGTCCTTTCGGAAAGCATATGAAACATTCTGTCAGAACCTGTATGTATTTTAAGCTGCTTTGAATAAACCAGAAAATGAGCAAAGTTGGACGTATCTTATTTTTGTCAGCATGTGGCTAGATCTCTCCAAATTATACCCTTGAGCCTGAGTGAAATAGGCCTGCTCTGTGTCATGGTTAGGCTGTATGAATCACTGTGTACAGAGACAAGAAGTAGATAGTAACTAGTTGCACTTCCTCATTTCCATGTTTCAAATTATAATACTTGAATCTGGAAGGAAAGGGTTCTACTAGTTACCAATTTACATCTTAGTCCTTCATATTTAGTTCCTGATTGTACTTTTGTGTTTAACATCCTGCCTCTCACTTCCAACCTTTTATCATTTTATTTTTAAAATCAGAAACTTTATTTTCCAAAAACAATTCCAAGTATTTTGTGGTGGTGCAAATATCAACATAAACTCCAGTAAAAATACAGAACAAACTAGGAGTGTAACAGTACAACATACCATATTGTTTAATACAGAGTCCTCAAACAATACATTGACTTGAGCAAATAAACTACTACATTTACCGATTATATTGCATTAAGTATAATAAAAAATTAAGCGAGCCCACAATAAGAGCAGACCCTCCTCTGAAAGTATCGCTTCCTCTCTACCTCAACAGTGAGAACAGGCAGGAAAAGCACAGTCCTTGTACGTGTATGCGAACTATATTATATAATATTGTATTGAACCGAATGATTCAGAATTTTTGGAATCGCTACGCCCCTAGAAAACATTTATGTGTGTGTGTGATGTTTACATTAACTATCGTACATCAGAATAGGTTTTCTGATGTATGATAGTTACATGTATGATTGACCACGGTCTGATTGTTGGTGCCAGACGGGCTGAACTGAGTAGTTCTATAACTGCTGGTCTCCTGATATTTTCACACACAGTAGTATAGAGTTTACTCAGAATGGGGCAATGAAGAAAAAGCATTCAGTGTATGGCAGTTCTGCAGAAAGAAACGCCTTGTTGATGAGAGAGGTCAACTGATTCTGATGAGAGAATGGCCAGACTGGTACAAGCTGACACAAAGGCTACATTAACTCACATAACTATTCTGTACAATTGTGGTGAGCAGAAAAGAATCTCAGAATGCACAACGGGTTGAACCTTGCGGCGGATGGGCTACAGTAGCAGATCATGTTGGGTTCCACTTTTGTCAGCCAAGAACAGAAAGCTGAGACTGCAGTGGGCACAGACTGAATAGTTAAAGACTCAAGGTGCATTCCAGTTGCCCTCGTAGTTCCCTGCAAAGTGTACTGCACAGGGTATTCAGACGTTTTAAGGGGATTCCAAACCACAGGGAGTGAAAAAGTTCAGATGGAAGGGAACACATCTTGTGGAGTCCACGCCATGAAGAACTGAAGCTTTTTTAAGAGCAAAGTGAGGCCCTAACCAGTAGTAGTACAGTGTTCCTGATAAAGTGCTCAGTGACTGTATATACAGACAATACACTGCAAATACATTATAATAATATACAAGAAATATAAAACATGTTCAATGAGTGTTATATACAGCCAAAGGCATGAGCAGTGGACATACATATACACAGAACTGTGCAAAAACCAGAAACAACACTTAATTAGTCAAAATGGCCATTAAGTACAAGTTATTTATTTTTGAGCACTAGGGAAAAAAACCTATTTAACAAAAAAATTACAAAGACGTCTCGACATTTAAATATATCACATTTTTTCCAGCATTTAGTGTGTCCACCCTTTGCCTTTATTACACCTTCCATTCTTTTCAGGAGACTTGCTTCAAAGAAATCTGAGGGAATGTTGTTCCACACCTCCAAAGTTCAGTCTTAGATGTTTGCTGCACTTTGGTCTTGTCATCCCAAACACATTCAGTAATATTTAGTTCTGGACTCACTACATCGTTCTGAGAACACCAGCAGCTTTTTGGTGATCTACGAATTTAATTTACTCAGTAGTGGCTTCTTGACTAGGCCTTGTATTGAAATTAAGTACTCTTATGGTACTGACTTATTCAATACCAAATTTCAGTACCTAAGTTGTTGGGCTTAGCATCTGTGAACCAATAGGCATGCTTGTTTCAGAATCTTGACTGCTGATTGGCTGTCTAAATTACATTTTTAATGCAGGTTTTAACATCAATGCTTCTTGATTAGTCTGCAGTCCTTTGCGATCAGTAAACAGACTTTTGGCACCTAACACTGATTTCTGGTTTAAGCCACACCCACTTTAGGTTTGTAATCAAAAAGAAGGTATCAAAAAATTGCTAAGGAGTCAGTATTGAATTTGAGGTAATGGTACTAATATAAAAAAGTTACAGTATCAGCTATACATGGTTTCAGACCCATAGCTTTGAGTTGTCTTCATACAGTGGAAAGATGGACAGAAACATTTGTGGATTTTTTTCAGATCTGAAGCAACAGTGGGGCTTGATTTTCTCAAAGATGAAAGCTTTCAGTTCTGTTTATCTGATGGGAACAGTTTCAGTTGTCTAGCCAGTCTTGCAGGTGGCTGTTAGTGGTCCCGTTTTTTCTACATCTTTTAGCACATTTTTTTTACTCCTACTGAAAAGTCACTTTCCATTGACTATCCTCTTTCTTATGCAATTTGATTATCTTCTATGTAATCTTCTTAGAAACATCTCCTGAAAAATCAAATGTTGTATTTAATGGCCATTTTGAGTGGAAATTAAATAAATTAAGGGTGGTCTCTGACTTTTGCAGTTTTGTATTATGTAGCTTTGCAGTATGTTAACATGCATATGTGCAACTAATTATAAAAGAGGAAAGTAAAAGGGGTCCTTATCTAAGAGGAGTATGGTCTTGTACATATGGAATGCATACATCACACACATTGCAATGTGTGCATTAGAGTACATGTTCAACTAGCAGAAGGACTTCAGAAGGGGTCCTTAGATCAAGAGCATCCCAAAAGAAGAGAAGTAACACCCAACAAACCTCAGTTCCTATGCTGATGAATGCGGGATTTAGAAGCTCCCCTACAGCTCTATAGGAACTCAGAAATTGAGGAGTTTTGGGCTTTTTTTTTTAACCCCTACTCGAGTATATTTAATTATTAATATTTCATTGAAGTAGCAATTGTTTTACTTGATTACAGTCTTAGGATGCTCTGCTTCTAAGCTTAAATTAAGTTAAATATTTACCAGCAATACACAGTGGTGGACAGTAACGAAGTAAATGTAATTCGTTACTGTACTTAAGTATTTTTTTTTGTGTATCTGTACTTTACTGAAGTATTTCCATTTTTGGTGACTTTTTACTTTCACTCCACTACATTTCAAAATATCTCACTTTTTACTCCACTACATTATGCAAAATCTGTTGTTCCTTTTGGTTTATGTGTGCATAAAAACGTAACGTCAAAATGAAAGAAGCGTGAAGCAAGAACACCAATCAGGGTACAGCGCGCACTTTGTTTTGAGCTTGTTTTGACCTGTTGGACATAACGACCCAGTGCAAGCATACGGTTCAACGACAATGTAACAGCAAGTTTGGGAGTGCCTATTCCTACATAAACGATGGAGGAAACTCCTGACTCTAACCAAACTTTGTGTAAATAGACCACAATATAGAAATATGTCCACATATGCAGTTGTGACTGACGTGTCTTTTTTCTGAATTTATACAAACACTATTTCATTTTATAGTAAATTCATTTTGGCTAGTTTATGTTTATGAACAGAGGCCTACAGATGCAGTATAGTAAAGGAAAACTCATTTGTGAACCTGTGTTTAAAACAAATTTTAATTAAATTTATCATTTTTATTTAAACTAAGTTGCAATTAAATCTTAAACCGAAACTTTGCTTGTTCGCAAAAGGTTATTTCACAGCCACTTGGTTCTACCTAATGGAAATTGTTTGCCTTCAGTGTTTTGTGCTTATGGTAATATTAATAAACATCAGCATCAGACTAATTAATGACATTCTATTAAAAGATTTGTGTTACAAGAGCGAGATTGGAATATTGTCACCTAAAATGAGTTGATAAAGCAGAGTCTTGTTACAAAAATAATAACAGGACATTAGAGCCATAATAAATCTGTTAGTACTTTCACTTTTGATACTTTGGTACATCTGAAGGCAAATACTTCTGTACTTTTACTCAAGTGGAGGTCTAAAGGGAGGGCTTTACTTTTACTGGAGTAATTTCTTACCTTGGGTATCTCTACTTTAACTCAAGTACATGGTTTGTGTACTTCGTCCACCGCTGGCAATACATGCCAAGAACAAGCGAATGTAGGCAGGCCTGAGACAGTGAGCTTTGTCGCGCATGCGCAGTTCCAGCGCTTTGGCGCTTGCCTGACGACGGCGGCGGGGCAGTGCGTCGCTAAGCAACGCTCCCTTGTGCAGCATCCGCGGTGCAGCATCGAGCGCGCGAGCTGCACAGCGTACAGACCTGTTTATTTACAATACAGGTAGTTTCTGCGGGCAGCGCCGTTAGAGACCGTTAGTGACGAGGCGGAGGAGCAGGAGGAGGAGGGGCGCTGAGAGGAAGAATAACAGCGCGTGTGAGTAACGGGAGCGCGCGCTCACGTTCGGCAATGACGTAGCAAGCGCGCACCGCGGATGCTCACGTTAACGGGACGGTACGGGACGGGACGGCAGTCCGCGTGACTGCGGGGAGGAGAGGAGGGGAGGGGGTGGCCGCCGAGAAGAGAAGAGAAAAGAAAAGAAAAGAAAAAAACTCCTGGAAAAAAAGAAAAACGGTAGTTAAACAGCAACGCGCTGAGGAAAAACGGCCGTTATCAATGTTTTAAACGGCGCGACTGTCATTTAAAAAATAACGGTCGGTTAGCAGTTGCGCTAGCCGGAGCGAAAGCGCTGATTTCATTTTTCCACACTTGGGGACGCTTTTTTGTGTTTTCTTGTGTCTTTTTAATGATGTATTTAATTTATGAGGTGTCTTCACGTCACGAAGAGGACAAGCAGCGCGTCTCGTAGCACCGAGAAGACACGCGGTTCGTCACGCTGGCCCCGGGAGCGGGGCAGAGCCGCCAGGCTTGGCCGCCTCCCTGCTCTTCCACACTGGAGTAGCCGAAAGGCCCGGAGGGGGAGGGGGCGCTGCAGCTCCGGCTACTGCAGTGGCTCAGGGATGGGGAGGGAGGAACGGCTCCGGCCGGTGGGAGACGGAGCGAAACACGGAGAAGTGCAGTTACAGCTCTGGAACGACGGAAGAATAGAAAACAACTAAGACGGGAGGTGTTTATGTTCGGAGGGATTAGCATTAGCATTCTTTTGCCCCAAGTGTAAAAACAGCGGCGTTTCCTTCAGCTTCGCGTTCAAGTAACTGTCAGTTCATCCAGCGTTCACCGTTAACTCGTGAGTAGAATTAACAGCCTACCTGACCAAACAGTTTACGGAGCATTTAACAGAAAAAAGGAAACCTGACTCACTTTTTTGTTTCCTCAGCAAAAGAAGCTGAAACAAAGCCAGCACAAAATGCCCTCCCCGTCGGACTCCAGCAGCGTCGTGTCGGTGTCCGGCTCCCGGGGCTTCTCCGGTAGTCGCCGCGGGCTCTCCGGGAGGTCGAGCGCGCGCGTGCTGCTCTACCTCGGCCTGTGTCACCTCGCGCTCGGCGGCATGGTCCTCGTGTTCAGCTTCATGAGCCAGGCGTTCACCTCCTCGCCTCGAGTCAGGCAGGCCTGTCCGTTCTGGACCGGGTTTATCGTAAGTTTCCTCCTAGTCTCCTTCTTCTCTCACTGTGTATCTCACAAACTCACTCTGAGCGACCTGAACAAAACTCAGCACACCTCACTCGAAAACCGTTAACTCAGCCCCGCCCACTCTAGTTACCTTTTCATCTCTCTCTCTCTCTCTCTCTCTCTCTCTCTCTCTCTCTCTCTCTCTCTCTCTCTGTTTCTGTCTCACCCTCTCTCTCTCTTAGTAAAGGGAAAAAAGGTGGAATACTAAAATGAAGTTATTTCCTGGATCGTTGGTAATCAGTATAGAAAAGAAGGAAAAGAGTGATGTAAACAAAGTAACTTAGAGGCTTTTAATATGATATTTGCTGTCCTGAGGAAACCAGCTGTAGTGATAATAGGAACCAAACGTCCGAATAGTTTAAAGGGGACTTCCGCCAAGTTTTCAAAATTTCCGAATAATTCAGTCCTTGAGATGTAAACAGAGTCATTCAGAGTGGTTTGATGTGGAATGGTTCAGTGTAGAGTTTTTCTCTGATTTTCTTTACAGTGGTGGTGAATGGGACCAGGGGTCATGTTGTCTGCAACACACATGCAGCCATTTTATTTACTATCCAAAACCATCAGTGAACCTGCATTTGTCTTCTGAGTTTCTATATGTAATGTTGATGATGATAAAATAGTGTTAAAACTGTTAAATAAAGTTCTTTGGGGACTATTTTGCCTTACAGGATTCTGCATGTGCCCCTCCTCTATAAATGGATTAAAATGCATTTTATGCCAAAACGTCATCACAAAACAATGTGTCAGACATCAGGCCGCATATTCATAACCATTTCATGTAATAACTTTCCTATCACCACCGCTGTGAGCAGCTCTGGCTCGGTAAGTTTGTCTAGAACAGAGCATTTCACACCAAACCACTCTGATGATTTTGTTTGCATCTCAACCATTTAATTATGCAGAATTTTTGAAAAATGGGTGGCGTTCCCCTTCAATGCCCCTAAAAGCCACCTCACAGAAAATTATGACATGAAATAGTGACGAATATGCCACATGATGCTTAAAACATTATTTTACAATTGTTTTATAATTTTAAGCTTCATGGCAGAGAGGTACATATATGGTGTAAGGCAGGTAAATAAGAACATGTATTTTTCAGATTTACCATTATTTTTTGGCTATTTTTGCATTGCAGACATCATGTCACAAATTTTGGTGGAATTTACCGTTAAATGAGAGTTCACAAATCCCGCACCCCTTGGTCACCCTTGCTAATTTTCCTAAGGTTTCAGACAGACACAGAGAGAGAAACACAAAGTGCTTGCATCCTGTAAAGATTTTCCTCATTAAATAGATTGCATAGAAAACTTTATGCAATCAAACTTTAGGCAATCAAGACGCATTTTGCTTCTGTTATCAGGGAGGGTCTCAGAGCTAGCGGAGGGTTTCCGCTTGATGATAGGTGGTGGTAGTGAACCTAGATATTACTGGTTAAAGTTATTTTTCCCTGCTTTCTGGTGCATGACAACATAATGAAAAACTAGAAGGTGTCACTATACAGGGTCATTCAAAAAGATTAATCCGATTTCAAAGCGCCAATAAGAATGAATCCATCATAACTGTGCAGTGTGATTTTTGTCTGCACTGAACCTCCAACAGCTCAGAGCGTTCGTTGTTGGTTCCACAACACTGGATGATCTCTGAAATCGCACTGAAAGAGCCGTGAGTACAGTCATACTCGACATGCTCAATCGAGTACGGGATGAATTTGACTATGGCGTTGATGTTGTCCGTACAGCTGGAGGAGGTTCATACTGAGCACTTTTAAAATTACATAATAAACTTTATGTTCACTTAAACCATTTACAATATGCTGCATTGTTCTGTAATGGTTTACAAGTGAAATAAATCATTTTGAAATCGGATTAATCTTTTTGAATCACCCTGTATTTTGATAGAAGAATGTAGGATAAGAATATTTTTCATCAGCAGTATTCATCCTCTGGTATGACCTAACAAGGTAAATAAGGTCAAGTTTCAGGTTGATATTCAAAACCAAAGTATTTCGACATATCCGCCTATTCGGCCTACAGCAGTTTAGCTCCGCCCATTTGTGTTAAAGTTATAAGGTGTGTTTCAGCCTGGACTGTGTTTTGAATGAAGCACAATACAGGGCAGCCTCAATCAGAACAGATGTGATTTAGATGGTCTTAAAGGCACTGTAATAAATCAGTCTGTTTAATTCTAAGACATATAGAGAAGTTAGAAAATGATCATTCTGTTGTTTTTGGCTCGTAAACCCACAAAAACGTTCTAAGTAGATCTCGAGGAAAAAATAAAAAACAAGAAAAAATGTCGGAAACGGGCCCTTTTAAGTAAAGTGTTTCTAAATCAGACCAGGTTACCATCAGCTTTCTGAGCTGTAGCATCAAACAGCTGAGCTACATGTAGCCTAAGCAGTGGAGAAACTAGAACCGCCTGTGTCCATTAGAGTATAAGAGGCTAGACTTACCTCTCACATTACAACCAAATGCCTCACAGTTCTGTCTGATATGCTAAACCTAGTTATATATGGCACCTATAGGGACTTTTTTGCAGTTTAGACTGTGAACAGTAAAATATAGGAAACGTGTGTATCTGTATGTGAAGGAGGTGTAGATGGTACTACTTAATAACACATTTAATATCTTAAGCTCCAAAACTCGTTGTTGAAAAAGTCCCCTTTGCTGTTGTAGCAGAGGCCTAAGAGGGGCAGGTTGGACATAATAGGAATTGCATTTAGATTGAGTGGTCACATAGATAAAAACAAATTTATTCAACAAACAATGACGATGAAACTTAAAAAGCGTATATCCTATGTATGTTTCCTTTACTTTTGACATTTGCATGGTTTTACATACCAACCACAACCGTAACTCATTTTACATGATTATTTTCCAGCCTCTCTTTATTCCTTAGACTTCAACAAGTTGTTTTTGTTGCTGTACCTGTAAGACTGATATACAGACTTATGCAAAAGTTTGGGCACACCCAATCAGATGACATGTTTTGTTGATTTTTTTAAACCCCTTAAATGGCCAGGGCCCACTTGCAGGCCTGAAGTTTTATTACTTTTAATAGCTCAGGTAGTTTGCATTGAAGTCCCCATAGTTACTGAGTAATAAGCCATAGTATGTGAGAAGCCTGGTATTTTAAGTGGTAAAGTGAAAATAAGTTAACATGTCCCAATCCTGGTCCTGGAGATCTACCACACTGGAGAGTTCAGATCCAACTGGCTCTAATATTCAGATGCTCCTGAAGGCCTTCATTACCTGGATCAGGTGTTAGATTAGGGTTGCAGGGTGGTAGATCTCCAGCACCAGGATTGGGCACCCCTGTTCTATAGGGAGTAAACTTAAATGTGACATTTTCTGCCAATTTTAGTGCATAATTTCAATTCACTTGCTTAATGGGGAAAAAAATAAAATGTAAAATGTGGCATGTGCCCAAACCTTTGCACGTGCCACATTTTGTGTTTTAGTTGTTTCCAAAACATTAAATTCAGCAAATAAATCGCATTGTAAATTAAATTTTGCATTAAATTTTGTAAAAGTGTGTTCCCTAAAGAGGATGCCTATGTGTATGTCCTGATTGTCTGTCCTGTTTTGTGCCTCATTCAAGAAGCAGGCCGGGCTGAAACACTTCTTGTAACTTCAGTGTGAATGGGTGAGGCTAAACCGCTGTAGGCTGAATAGACAGCTAGATATAAATGCATAGTTTTTTGTGATGTCACAAAAACAATCAGTGCTCGAAATGCTGAACTGCGGATCATCTGTGGCCTGTATGCGTTTGACTGTCTGTGCTGTTTTGCAGGTTGTGGCCTCAGGAATAGTAGGAGTGGTATCTTGGAGGAGACCCTTCACTCTGGTGGTATGTCTGTCTACCTTACGTAAAGAACAGTCTTGTGTGAGTTTATGTTGAGTGAGATAAAGGTGTGTTCTGTGCAGGTATCGCTCTTCATGCTGCTGTCTGCGGTGTGTGTGATTCTCAGTCTGGCTGGCTCCATGCTGTCCTGTCAGAATGCCCAGATGGTCAAATCTTACCTCACCTGCCAGGTAACCTCTTGTCTTTTCTTCCCCCCTTTCCTCTTGTACTTTCCCAGAGGAAAATTATATTACTGACCTTTCATGCATTAGGAGGCCAAAATTATGATTACGATGCGCCAACAAGAGCAGCCTTTAACACGCTCATGAGAGATAAGCTTGAGGCGACATTGGCGGCTTGTCTCCTAAAATGTGAACATAGTCTTGGATGAGAAGTGGTTGAGTTTATATTGCAATTCCTGTCTTTAGTTCAGTTGCAGACAAACATATAAGTGATATTATCTTGGCAAACATGAGCACAATGTGTGATTTTATTGAGATCTCTATGAAAAGAAAAGAAATATGTGAGGTTACTGGCCTTACAAGAAAGATCTAAGCAGCTGGAGACTTAAGCAGAAGTCTCCTTTGTCTTTCCATCTGATCTCATTGTTGTATAAGAAACCATAGAGAAATTAAGGAAATCTCTTTTTTGATTTTTTTTCCTTTGGGCTTCTCTTCACTTCTCTCATTTTCTGTGGTCACTTTTCATCATTTCTTCTCTTTTTTTTCCCCTCATATCTGCTCTTTTTCTTCTTCTCCGTGCTCTTTGCTTTTCCTGACATCATGTTACTGATTTCTTTTCTATTCTTCTCACTTCTTTTCTTCTTTGCTCTGTTCTCATTTCCTCTCGTCTTTTGTCCTCTCCTCTCATCTACTCCTTACCCTTCCTGCCTCTGCCGTATACCTCTTCTCTTCTGTTCTCTTCTGTTCTCTTCTCTTCTCCTACTTTTCCTTCTGCCCTCCTGTCTTCTCTTTCCTCCTCTCCTTTTCTGTTGTCATTTCTTTTTATTTCTTCTTTCCCCTCACCTCACCTCTCCTCTCATCTGCTAATTTCTTTTCTTCCTTTCTCCTTTTTCTTTCCTTTTCTTACATGTTCCCGTGTTTCTTTTGTCTTCCTCAAATCTTCTGTCCCCTGCTCCTTTCTCTTTTCTGTCATTTACTCATTTATCCTATTGTCCTCTCTTCTCCTTCTTCTTTTCTCTTCTCTTTCTGTCCTCACTTTCTCATGTTTCTTCTGTCCTCTGTCTTTCTACCTCTCTTTTTGTGCTCTAATTTCCATCCTCTAATATCATCTCCTAATTTTTCTCATCTATGCTTTTTTTTCTCTCCATCCTGCTCCCCACCTCTCCTTCTTGCTCCTCTCTTTCTTCCTCTCTTTCTCTTTCCCTCTCCTCTACTCTCCTCTCCTCTCCACCTTTCTCCTGTTCTCTCTGTCTTGTTCCGCATCTCTGCTTCTTTCTCTTCTCCTTTGTTCACCTCTCATCTCTTTTTTCCACTCTCTTCTCTGTTCTCATTTTCATCTTATCTTCTTTCCTCTGTTGTCCTCTCCTCTCCTCTCATCTCTTTTCCTTCCCTCTTCTCTGTTACAGGTGGAGAATGGTCTGTGTTTGTGTTGTGACCCAAAGCAGACATGTTCTTTGTTAGATGATGAAACTTTAGTGCTGTACCTGCATGCGGACTGCCATTCTGTACGGCACCAGCTTAAGGTAGGCATTTTCATTTAATGCGAATAGTCTTTTCTAACTATCATGTCCTCTTCCAGTTTTTTTGTCTGCTCTAACACACCTGTTTTAAACTCATGAAGGGCTTATTAATCAGCTGATGATTCAGGTGTTATGGGGTAGGGAAAAAGCTACGTGCAGTGCTGGGAGACTCGAGAAACCAGTTTGGGAAACACTGGTATAATGTGTTGGGACATTGCGTACAAATGCCCTGTTAATGTTCTGAATGCATCTCTATGTATGTGTCTTGGTGTGTGTATGTATAGGACCTGCTGTTTAGTGCCTGTGGGCTCAGTATACTATCCACCATCATTTGCACTCTGTCAACTGTTACCTGCAGCATCCATATTTTCTCACTGGATCTTCTGCATCTGGTGAGTGTTAGTCATGTGTGCACGGAAAGCCAATGTCCTGACCTACTCAAAACTCAACGTGTTTACAAAGAAAACATCAATTTCCTCAAAACTTATTACTGTTGTGTGTAGAAATCTCTCCCTCCTCTGTCTCTTTGTAGTTGGCTCCTCACCGCACTCGCTCAGTTAACCCAGAATGCACCACTCCTCAGGATGCCTTTCTCACTAACATGATGGACTTTGAAGAGTTTGTCCCCCCCATCCCTCCGCCTCCCTACTACCCCCCCGAATACACCTGCAGCTCTGAAACTGATGCTCAGAGGTGAGAACCACACACACACAGCACACTGAAGCAATTAATTCCCCTAAACCAGGATTGTCAAAATAGTAATGAGCTGATCTGATCCAGGCATATTTCAAATGGCTCTGTTAACGCCACTTTTGTAGAATTGCCATAAACAGACATTATCCACAGCTTTCAGCTGGGTGCCATGTTTTCCGAAGGTAAAGGGTAGTTTTAAAAGTGGAAAAACTTGTAATATCTGCAGTGCCGGTGTTTTGACTGTGCGCAAGAAAGCTATCTTTGGTCAAAACATTGACATAATAAATGTGAACGAAGGGCTACTACAGTTCCAAGTCTAATTCCTGCCACTTGGCAAGCAGCAATAAATTTTACGTTTTTCATTTGCAAGTCACGACTGGTTAAAAATGAAAGTGTCATAATCAGTATTAGACACAGTATAAAGTGTTAGGGCAAAAAAAACATCAGATCTATATTGTTTGGCTTTATTAATGAAAATACCAATTTTGAATCAGATTGCCTTCAGTACCCTGCACCAAGGGGGGATGGACGCGGTAGTTCCAGCTACTTTTGCTTTTCTGTAATCCGTAGTTATCAGACAGGAGCCAATTAAAACTCTGCCCACACCACTACTCTGGTAATGAGTAACCACAAATTCTTCCCTCTGAAAGAACAGATTTTACAGATGTATAGCTTAATGTACAAATATTTCTGACCAAAGATTTCAGCTTTCAGTGACAAGGTTTTCAGTTCCTTTCTTAACACAGATGACACTGATTGGCGAACAAGTGTCAGGTTCATATCAGAAGAAAATTCTAGATTGGATAATGAAAAAAGAATGAATGTTATCCAATCCTTCTGTAACAAATCTGTCATGTAATAGTATACATTTTTTTCTGCGGAGGTAACAGAGTGATTGAGTAGTTTGAACATAATAATGTTTTTTGAGAAGCTAATCTTAAGTGAAGTGCTGCAACTCATTTTTGAAGCTAAGTATTTAAAAAATTATTTTAAAAGTATTTTAAACATGGGTTTAGATCAGCTCTAACCTAAGCCCCTGTTTCCTGTGATTGATTATGCAAATGCATTTGCTTGTTTGTTTTGTGTGTACATGTGTTTGTAGTATCACATATAATGGATCGATGGAGAGTCCAGTCCCTCTGTATCCTACAGACTGTCCTCCTCCATATGAGGCAGTGATGGGGCAAAGGGCTCCCAGCCAAGTAAGTTCGCAAGGGAATAGGCCTGCACATGGTGATGGTTAACCAAGTTACCACAGTAACAGTCCTGAATGATTATAAAAACTCATTTATTCATTCATATGGCAGAAAGATTTTCATATGTGAACTTAATTAAAGGGTGATGTAGGCTGATGTAATGCACTACACTGATATCACAGAATTGTTGTGGAAATGCAGCTGTTGAGTTGTGCTGGTTGAATTTGCTCAGTGCCGCAAGCAGATATCATGATATTGCCATTGGCTGCCTCACACAAAGGTGTTATTTTCTTGAAATGCTTCTCCTTTTTTTTCTCCAACCATATCTTTGGTGATTGTGGTCAAAGAGTTTGATTTTTATTTCACTAGACCACAGCACTTGAGCCCAAAATGCCTGTGGTCGATCTATGTTATCTATGTTGTTTTGCATACTTCAGACATTGACTTTTGCAACGAGATCACAGTTAAGGTTTCCATCTGATTACTTTTCCATGTAGTGCAAGGTGGGCCACTGCATTACTATTCTCGTGACAGCCAAATCTTCCTGTAGGTCATTGGCATTGATGTGGGGGTTTTGCTTTGCATACTTGCTTTGCATACTATGAACAAGTCTATTTGAGAATTTTCTTCATCTTCCAAATCTTGTTTTGACTTCACCAGTTTTCCTTAGAGCTATTTCTTAATGACAATTTGGACAGAGAAAACTGTAAGTAGGAGTTGCTTAGATATCTTTTTATGGTGTTTTTAAGAGTCAGTCATCTTTATTTTTAGTTTCTCAGTCAGCTGATTTGATTAACACATAGCTGTTGAGTGCAAGCACAACATCTCGAGAAGTTTGAAGGTTACATAATTTATTACACTCTGTAATTGTCTACGCCTGATTTTTATTAGGGCTTAATGGGTTAAATAAGTTCGGAAAAAAAACACAAGTGAAGCAACTAAAAAAGTGTCCACATTTCTGTGCATGTCACCTTTTGTGTTTTATATTTTTTTCAGTATATTTAGTTAAATAAATAACAATTGTGCATTAAAATCTGCAGAAATACATCATATTTAAGTTTGTTCAGTTCAGAGGGGTGTTCAGTTCTTTTTACTTAGAAAATCAACCAAATGGCCAAGGGTGTCCAGACATTCCCACACAACTGTTTATCTGTAACCAAACTGGTTTTATGTCATTGAGAATGGTTCTCTCAAACTTGTGTATGAGCGTAGGCATATGACGTTCTGTGTGTGCAGGCCACAGTGTTTGACACTCATGCTGGCGAGCTGTCTGCTGAGAGAGGAACCTCAACAGCTTTCAGTGGTGAAGGTGTGTCTCTCATTACTACTGCTGCTCAGTCTAATGTCTGCTCCGTCTCTGTAATGCGTCCTCTGTGTGTGCACTCTGTCTTTCGTTCTCAGTGTCGATGGATAGTGGCTCTCTGTTGATGTCTGAGATTGTGGATATTCCAGATGACAGTTCACCCTCAGAGGACTCTTGCCTGCTGGAGGTGAGGGTAGGGGTGCGTTCTCGAGTGCGAGGGGCCAGTGAGGGCGGGGAGGGGGGAGAGTATGTCAGCTTCCGCTGCCGCACCCCACAACCCGAGGGGACAGCTGTTCCCCCTCCGGCTCACCGCTGCTTCAGAGGAGAGAGGTCCAACTCCTGCTCCTCTCCCAGCACCTACACTACCTCCACCTATAGGTAAGGACAAGTTATTGAAGTGAGAACAAAGTGAGAAATCAAATTTACACAGTTGTCAACTAATCCTAGACATAGTTAATCAGGCAAGATTTGCTTGTTAATTCTTTATATTCCACTGTACTGAAAAATATATTCATGTATGTAGTATAAAACCATGAAATCAGACGTCTTGAAGGCTGAATTTTGTCTATACTTTAGTCCATTTTTATGGGTAACTCTGAGTACGGGCCTGTGGACCACTCTCTTGTGTTTCAGTTGAGGGGGTTGACCACACTAACAAGATGGACTGCAGGTTCTAAAGTGAAGTTGCTTCCATAGCATCACAGTTCAAAATGCCTTGAAAAGCTAGCCACATGACTTAAGTGTACAGAGGATTAGGTGAAAACCTCACCAGAAAGATCTTAAAAACCCTACAGAAAACTTTAAGCAAGTTGATGTACCTAGACCTTAGACTGAATCCTGCATTAATGTTTTTTCTTGTCCTCTCCACAGGTCTCCAGTAATGCGACGCCAAGCTCTGTTGGCCAGTAGTTGTTCTCAGTTAGAGATGCTGGGTAGTGCTGCCTCACAGCGATCCTCAGTCCCAGAAATCAGAGTATGTCCCTGCACCCTGTCCCGACGAGGCTCCTCTGCAGACACCACCAGTCCTCGCGCTTCTGCCTCCTCAACTGCCACTCAAGATCAGCAAGGAAATACAGTTCCTGTGCTCCACTCAGGACCATGTGTCCATCAGCGAGTGGCCAGGGAGAGAAGGGACAGCGATGCTCTCCCCCTACTTGTGCGGTCCCACAGTGAACCAGGACTGAGCTCCTCCACTGACACAGGTGCCTAACATAGCAAATATGACAGCAACACAATGTAGTCTACTTACTTACTTTTAGCACCTTATTAGCCCAAGTTAACGAACATATGTGGCCTGACCAGAAAACAACACAGACCAGCAAAAACAGCATATGTGGTGTTTTGAATGCTGGTATGCTTGTCAACCAGCAAGCCCATGCTGGGTGACCAGCTAAACCAGCACCAGGCCAGCAGTAGATAGAATGCATGCTGGTCTGTGCTGTTTTTTTTCAGCAGGTCATATGCATAGTTTAAACAACAATCAACATAAAGTCGGTAGCTAGCTGCTTTTAAGCTTTGCTGTCAAGGGTGTAACAAGTTAGACTCAACAGAAACAACATGACATGATGATGAAAATTGTCAGAAACGGCCAACAGATCCTGAGTCTGCTTGCGGATGTTTGCTGCTAATAGGGTACATTGATCTGGCTAAATTTTAATACAGTGTTCCATAATTTACATTTCGCACATAGCTTTCTTTTTAGATGCATGCTTCTTGAATTGTATTTTTGAAAAATACATGGCCATTTTGAATTTGATGCCATGTTCCAAAAAAGTTGGGATGAGGGTATGTTTACTACTGTGTTTCATCACCTCTTCTCTTAACAACACTCTGTTTGGAAACTGAGGAGACCAACTGCTGTAGTTTTGAAAGTGAAATGTTTTCCCATTCCTGCTCAACAGTTCAGGGGCTCATTTGTCACATTTTTCATTTCATAATGTGCCAAATGTTATCTTGACAGTCTGGACTGCAGGCCAGTTTAGCCCCCAGACTCTTTTAATACAAAGCAATTCTGTTGTAATACATGCAAAATGTGGTTTGATGTTGTCTTGCTGAAACAATTAAGGCCTTCCCTAAAAAAGACGGCATCTGAATGGCAGCATGTGTTGCTTAAACATGTATATATCGTTCAGCATTAATGGTGCCTTCACAGATGAGCACGTCACCCATGCCATGTGCGCTAATGTACCATCATGTACCGTCCCAACTTTTTTGGAACATGTTGTTGGCATCAAATTCAAAATGTGCATACATTTTTCAAAAAATCTCAGTTGCAACATTTGATATGTTGTCTTTGTACTATTTTTGATTAAATATAGGGTTTAAATGATTTGCACATTATTGCATTTTGGGTTTTTTTACATTTTGCACAGCATGCCAACTTTTTTGGAAATGGGGTTGTACATTTGAGATGGTTTAGTCTCTGCCATATCGCTCTATCAAGTGCTCTAGTACTACAGATTAAAATTGAGTCAGAGTCGACTCTTAATCTACTTAGTGATACGCAACCTTAGTTGTGTATCACTAAGTAGATCTACTGAAACAGGTTGCGCTCTTGCACCTTCGTATGTACAATTCAAAAACGTCTGAGAAAAGTTTCAGCTTTTTAAACGAATGCATTAATGTGCATGTTTGTCTTTTTAATTTAAGATGCCCTATACACGGCTGTGATTTTCTCTTTAGGTGATTTCATTGGCTCGGTGGGCAGCAAAGGAATGGGTCAGGGTGGCTCTCATACCTCATCAGACACTGGTAAGACTTCACATCTCAAACTCAGACACATCTAAGACGCACCTCCGCTAGGGCATGTTATTGTAAATGATCTAACTATGTTGACTGATGTTTATAAATATTATAAATGCAATGTAATTGTTTTAACTTGTTTAGAACTTGATCTGTCTCCAAATATTCCTTTGTTTATTTTGCTGCAGGCCGATCAGAGGCTTGCCTGCTGCAGCGTTCTCCTCTGGCAACCCCTAATACTCTGCCCAGAAAGAGCAGCCTGAAGGCTGGCACTGAACAGCTGCCCTCAAAACCGCCCCCAACCAGTCCTCTGCGTGTCCCTAAAGACTGTGCTCGATCTTTGGGAGACCTCAAAGTAAGTTTACCTCAAGTATATCTTAAGCCTAAACTGTGGTCCTGAAAAGGTGTAGTTTTATTCCCCTTTTGTGAATACATAATATTTCATCATAATCTAGCTGTTTGTGCAGAAAATCTTATCCCTAGGCTTCGTGGCCTTTTCAAATTATAAAGGTCCCACAAACACGTTATCAAACATGTAGTTATAATGTTACATTGTTCACGATCACCACAGAGTAGCTATAAAAAATGCAAAACAACTGACCTATGCTGTGGCCACAAATGCATTCTATTGCTGCAACTGTTACTAGGTTGAACAAGTTTTACAGAATGTTGGCAAAAATCCTGTTCACCATAATGACAGATTGTAGCATGCAGTGTTTAGAGTCTCCACATAATGTTGAGCAGTACCAATGTAATTGTGGTATTTTGAGTTGTGCACTGCAGTTTTGCATTGATCTGAAAAAGATTTTTGTGATTGTTTCCACAGCTAATGAGAGCCACATGTTTATAAATAGCAATATTTTAAGGAGCTGTACTCACCTTGTATCAACATGCGTTTTCACAAGTGTAAACATAATGACTTTCATTATCCATATACAATTGCATAAGTGGAAATGCATCTGCCAAGCACTGACGGGTGCGAGAAGATGTAGGCTGAAATTCCCTTAACCAAGAGGCTTCTTGCACCCCAGGCTGATGACAGTGTCCAGTCTGAGCTTGTCGACTCATACTGTAACAGGGAAAGAAGTAAACAAAAGTAAAATGGAATGATGTATGTATTGATGTGCTTTGAACAGTAAAATCGAATCTCATTGCCACCTGGGGAATGGTTTTTGTGTAAATGGAATCCAGCCAAGGCATTTCAAGATACAATCTGGACTCGAAACACGTGTTAATGCAAATTGTGAATAAATCTGTAGGCTCTAGAAAATATAGAGCAATGTGAAACATGAGGTTTGTAATGTAGTTACCTTACATGCTGATAAATGTCTACATTGAAAAAAAAACCTGGTTGAACAATTTTCTGTTGAGCCTTTCAAGATTTTAACCTTTTTGTTTCCAACCAAAACATAGAAATTAAATATTACTATTACTACAATACTTGAGAATTGTAGAATACAAAATGTGGAAGTAATTGTTTTGCCCTATGCATAAATTCATTCATGTTATTTCAGCACATAAGCTCTGACTCAAAAGCAAGTGCTGACTTAGTCCTTGCTCTGCAGGTGACTAGAGTGTTGGTGCAGCGTTTCCTGCAGAGGTCCAAACGAAATCTAGCCCCTGCTTCAGAGCACGCTGTGAACTGTAGTCAGGGACCTAAAAGGAGGGCAGGAGGAGAGGGGAACCTGCCGCTTGATCAGGTGAGAACATTACATCAATACATCATTACAGCTAACTGTGTACTCTGTAACTACTACAGCACTGTCCTCTAGCAGATGTACCTGTGAATTAAGAATGAGCAGATTGATAGTAATTTCTGTTTGAGTTTTGGTGCTGACCATGTCCATTCATTCATGGCTGTAATATATCCATCTTCTGGCTACTTCCAACATAATAATACACCATGTCTCAAAGGCAACAGGCGTCCCAAGCTGATTTCATTCATAGTAGAACGGGAGATTTGCAGCATGAAAGTGTACCTGAAAAATCTGCAGGAACTGCGTGATGCAGTCATGTTAACATGGACCAGAATCTCAGAATCTTCCACATCTTGTGGAATCCATGCCACAAAGAATTTGAGCTGCTTTGAGAGCACCGGGAGGCCCTACCCAGTACCAGTATAGTGTTTCTTATGAAGTGCTTGGTAAGTGTATGCATTGATAGGCCTGTCATCATCATCAGTCCCCATCGCAAATTGATGTTAATTCAAACAACCACTGAAACGTTTACAAGAGCTTGGAATTTTGACAGTGGCTTTGTTTCTGTACTAAGTACAGAATTGCAAGTATTGTAAGCATGAATCTTTTGTGCTCCATGCCGGGAAGCCACAGATTATGCAGAGATTATCACATTTGCCAATGAATATTTCAGATAAAGACAAGGCAAACCAATTCCTGAATGTTTTGTGAATGCAGGGTGGAAACTGTTTTGTATTCTGTATGCTTTCATGGATTATTTTATAGTCATTTCTGCAAAAAACATTGTGCTATTTATTTAGATATTGGCCAGGTTTAGTAAAGAGTCACTTAGTGCTACTGCATGTTCTAGCAAAGTGAGTTTGAGAGCACTTTACCTGACTTTTTTTTCTCATCTTTTCTGAGTATTTGACTGTAGACAAATAGTTCTTATTTTGTGTAAGTAGTCTCATTACAGAAGTAAAATACATACATATAAAACATAGAAGATGCTTTTTTTTGAGAATGTACTCCAATTCACTCCAAAATAATTCATTATCAACACTCATTTAGTTATTGAAGTATTGCTACTTTGTGAGCAGGGGTGGATTTAGTGCATTTGGAGGTCTAGGCATCTTAAATCTAGTCAGTATATCCAATAGTTCTCATTTTAGGATTGCTGTAAGAGTAACTATAAGATAATTTACCTTATTTCTAGACGTGTTTTACTTAAGTTACTATATTATCTCACTATACTGGCAGTGGGTAGGGCTATCGCCTCACAGCAAGAAGGGCCTGGGTTTGATTGCCTGGCTGGGCGACCAGGTTCCTTTCCGTGTGGAGTTTGCATGTTCTCCCTGTGTCTACATGGGTTTCCTCTGGGTGCTCCGGTTTCCTCCCACAGTCTGAAGACATGAAATCAGGCCAATTGGAGATACAAAACTGTCTCTAGGTGTGAGTGTGTGTGTGTTAATGTGTATGTCTGTGACCTGTCCAGGGTGTTTCCTGCTTTCCACCCACAGGCTCCAGCACCTCCTGTTTTTCTGAGAAAATAAATGCTTAAAGCCCAGATAAATAGCTTCTTTAATTCTAATTTTCTCAGGTGCCTGTAATTTTTCACAGTCTTGTAGCTTCTATGTGTTTTTGCTTGTACGTTTGTAGGTATTGCGTGGCTCTTGGGGAGCCAGCAGAGGGCAGCAGCCTCAGCACCACCATCGGCGCGGGCACCACCACTCCCATAGCGACAGCCAACACAACGCCCGTCGCCACGATTACGACCCAGTCAGGGCAGAAGGCATACACTTGCGCAGCTGCGGTGACTTGAGCTCCACGTCTGCAATATCGCTGCGTAGGCTCCACCCACCTCCACATGGATCATCCGGAGCCCTCCATTCAGAGTCCACCCTCTGAGTGGGGGAGGGTCTTAGAGGAGGAGCACAGTGGAGAGAACAGAAAGAGGAGAGGAGAGGTTGTTGACTGAGTTCAGAGGTAAATAACTGTGCTGTGGGACTTAGATCAGGTAGGACTTGCCATCAAAAGAACTATTCTAACCTCAGTCATCTAACAGTCCACAGAAAGACTGAAGACTGGATCATTTCACGATAAGAGGCTTCTCAAATTAGCCCGTACAGAAGGAGACGAGGTAAGGAACATCCCTGCCGGACAGTCTGGACCTCTGGCTTAAATAATCCTGCTAACTGAGAAATCATATCTTTGTGAAGCACCTCTCTGGACTGTGCCTGACTAACACACTGGTGCTGTCTTTCAGCCTTACTCAGCCTCTTCCTCTTCCTCTTTGTCTGTCTGTCTGTCTGTCCGTCCAGACTATCTTTCCTCTCCACATATTCACTGTGTCTCTGAAGAACTGGCAACAAAAAGTATGAAGACACCTCTCACACAGTGCTTCCACTCACAACACTCACACTGAAACCTACACATTTTCATGGAGTTATTTGCAAAAGTCAGAGACCACCATTTGTTTTTTTCCGTCAGAACGGCAATAACATACAAATCATTGTCAGAAAAAAACAGAAAACATTTACCAGAAATTACACAGAAGCCTTAACAATTTGATTCAATATCAGTTCTTCACATTTATTACAGCTTCTTTCAAGGAGACTCACTTTCAGTTTTTCAAAGAAATCTGCATGGATATTTTTCTATACCCCCAAAGTTCAGTCTTAGATGTTGGTTGCATTCTCTGTTTTTCACGATCTAAGTAATTCCAATTACAAATTTAGACTCATCAGTCCATTAAACCTTACTCCACACCTCAGATGTCCAGGTTCAGTGTTCTAGTGCAAATTGTCTTTTTTTATGTCTGTTCGTTTTGACAGTTTCTTGACAGCTGCACATCCTTTCAGACCCAAAGTGTTGAGTCATGTTTCCAAAATCCACAAGAAACATTTAAGGATTTTTTTCAGATCTGAATCAAGAGAGGAGGTTGATTTTCTCCTCTCTCACAAAGAAGAAAGCTTTCAGTACTGTTAATCTGAGGGGGGCAGTGCTGGTGGTCTGCCAGGTCTTGCGCAGTTCTTTGGAATCCCATTTTCTTTGTATCTTTTAACAATTTTAGATCCCCTTTCCTTATGCAGGTGGATTATATTTTATCTAATCTCCTCAGAAATCTCTCCCATAGTCAGTTTTGATTTGCATGGGAAAGAAATTTGTGAGGCAGCTAGGGTCTGTTGCTTGTGTGAGTGTTAGGCTGGTTTTACATGGTGAAACTCTTTATGTTGTCAGTTGCCTGCACCCAGTTTCTTTGCAACTTAACAGTTACACAAAGCAATTTGAAAAAAAATCAAAGTTGCATGCAACAATTTCAGTTGCTCCTTTGGATCACCACATTAAAAGTTCATATTTTTAGATGCACCATATCGTTCTTGCTATAAATTCAACTGTGAGGTTTGATTTTCATATTTGCAGCATTTTTTATCATCTTTATATGTTTTCTTCAGTTGTCATTGCTGTTCTTTTTCCTGATATCTATATTTGCCTTTTATTTATCCATCTAGAGTTCTTTACTATATATTTTTATCTCTTGTTTATATACTAAGCCTTTGATAATTAATCCTTAAGTAGCTTCATGTCTCTTCCTGTCCTAGATGCACAACAAATTCATCACGGACCACATCTTTGTTTTCCCCTTTGTAAAGAATGTCATTGTTGGGATCCCAAATGAATCTGAGCTCTGTGTAAAAACTAGAGCGGGTCAAGAGAAGAGAAAATGAATTCAGCTACATAGATCACGATGACAGCAGGTTAACAATGAAGAAAAAACAATGGCATTCCATTTCAGGATGTTGTTTGTTGTGATCGCGTGACGCGTTAGTTTCCATAATTTTGAGATGTTTGCCAATGTTGCAGCCGAGTTCCTGAAGTTGCATGAAAGTTTCACCGTGTAAAGCCAGCCTTAGCGTCTCCTTGAAGAAGAACATAATATCAGTGACTCCTTTGGGAACAGTGTTTTGTTTGGGAACACAAAGCTGTTACTGGTTGGTTTTAAGGTGGGAAGCATGGAAGAGTTAAAGAGCCATAGAGTGCAGAAAAGTAAAAAGTAGACAAATGAAATACTGATAGATTTGATATTATGCTTTTCTGTTATAATTTTCTGTTAAACAGCCTATGTTTCCTGCTTTTTTCTGATGCTGAAGAATGAATAACTTGTACTTAATGGCTGTTTTGAGTGGAAATTGAATACATGAAAGAGTGGTCGCTGACTTTTGCACAGTGCTGTATCTTGATATTTGTTTTTGTTAACAGCGCTGGACTCTTTTAACAGGTTTTATAGGCAGTGATGGATCTTTATAGATGTGTGCATTTCCTGCTGAAAGACTGAATATGAAAGGGCCATCACACTGTATGAAACAAAGCTGCTGCGTCCCCACCCATGCTTCTACACTCTACAAAGCCATTAACAGTACATGAAACTTTTTGGTTTGGAATTCTTAGGCCCTGTTCACACTTGGTATTAACATCTGTTTCGAGTGATCTGATTATAAGTGGACAGTGAGATGAATCGCTATTTTCCCTGGCGTTTCCATGCGCATTTGGAATTTCATGTCTTGAGGAATGGTACCTTACACATTTACTACACCAGTTTTTTGTTGTCAATGTCCCATTGATTTTTGTTTGTGTACATGTACAGGATTAGAACACCTGGGTTGCTAATGCTACTTATGAAGACCCAGGAGAGGAGACAAGGATATAAGCTGTCTTAAACTAGGGAATATATAAAATATTTTCCATGTTGAGATTGTTTTAAGCTTATTATAAGATTATTGAACTTATTTCTTAACATTTTTGACTTGTTTTAACTCATTTTGTCAAGTAAAATTATCTCACCATGTTGGCAGATAATTTTGCCTGTTTTAGAAATTTGCTTTATAGCAAGGAACATCTGTCAATATGGTGAGATCATTTTACTTGATAAAATAATTGAAAACAAGTCAAACATTTCTACATGTCTAAACTTATAAGTTTACTGCATTCCCAACATGAGAAATATTAGATATATGCATTAGATTTAAGATAATTTCACTTGCCACGGTACCATTTTTTGCAGTGTACGTGGGCATATGCGTTCCTGACCGCCTCCGAAGCTGAATTGGTCAGATTATAATGTATCTCTCACCCTTGATCACTCCTGTGCAGTGCTATGCCAAAGTCAGACCCCCCTTCATTTATTTCATTTCCAGTCAAAACGACCATTAACTACAACTCAGTAAAAAAGCAGAAGACATATATCTAGCAAAAAAAGTACACACAAGCCTTAACAACTACACATAATATGAAAATTTTCAATATTTAGTGTGTCCACTCTTTACCTTTATTACAGCGTCCATTCTTTTCAGGAGACTTGCTTTCAGTTTTCCAAAGAAATCTACAGGGATATTTTTCACACCTCCAAAGTTCGGTCTTAGACGTTGGTTGCATTTTCTGTTTTTTTGTGATCCAAATAATCCCAAACATAGTTAGTGATGTTGAGGTCTGGAGTCTGGGGTGGTCTGTCCATTGTTCTGAGAACACCAGCAGCTTCTTTGTTTGAATTCTTCTTTCCTTTTCTCAGTGAGGGCTTCTTGACAGCTACACATCCTTTCAGACCTGTAGCATTAAGTTGTCATTTTACAGTGGAAGCATGGACAAAAACACTTGTGTTTTTGCGTCAAGCTCGATTTTCTCCAGTTTGTCAAAGCTTTAAGTGCTGTTTATCTGATGGGGCCAATTTTGGCGGTCTAACAGGTCATTTTTTGAACTCCAGTTTTGGAACTGATTTTTCACGTAGTTGTCTCAGGCTTTTCTCTTCATTATGGAAGTAGTTTATATCTAACATCTAATCTAAAAAAGAAATAACTTGAACTTGCTTTGACTGGAAATTAAATTAACAAAAGGTGGTTTCTGACTTATACGGAGCCCTTAAAAGGTTATTGCAAGGTTATTCTAAGGTTAAAAAAAAAAAGTCAATGACATTGCGTTCCCTCGCAAATGTTTTGCATTCCCTTGCAAAAAATGCATTTCCTCACAACATATATACTCGTCAGACAGAAAGCAAACATATGACCAGAGGTGCCCAACAACATTGCCTACATTAGAGCTTTGTTTTTAGCATAGCTAACGCTAAAAGCAGTTTTCCCAGTTTCGCCAGTATATGCTGAGTTTATTCAGCAATTGTTCTCTGTGAATGTAGCCTTTACTGTACGAGGACGCTCAATCTCAGTTTCAGTGTGCACTAATAGCATAATCATGTTTGATTTTGAGAAGCGACACAATGTCTTTATATTTCAATCCAAGATCAACGTAAAATTCAATGAGCTGCTCAATGTCTGAGCTTAAGCAAAAGCTTTTACAAGTGAATGCAAACTGTTTGCATCGTAATGCAAAACATTTGTGAAGGAACGTATATTTTTTTTAGAGGGAACGCAATATCATTAACTTTTATTTTACCACAGCCCCTTAGGGGCTCCGTAGACTTATGCACAGTACTAAACTGATTATTGACTACTTATGATTAGATCGCCAGGTGTGAACAAGACCTCAGGCACTCTTTTTATCATTAATCTACAAACTATTATAATGTAGACCTCTGACATTTGCAACTGTCAGTCATTTCTGTCTCAGAGTCACTCAGCACCGCAGTGTAAAGCAAAAGTCTCTCCAACCACGCGCCCTTATTTATCTCTCCGATTCTGTAGCTCATTCCACATTATTAGAGATGAATAGGGAGAACTTAAATTGAAAGGCATTAGCTTTATTCGTGCAAGTGCATGTTTTTTCTAAAGCCTTTTCCTGACCCTAAATAACACAGTGCAAAATTAATGTTGATTTGCATCTCTCTGTTCCTTTTTATTCAACTTTTGATTCTTGGGCTCCAAACGATGCCTTTGCATGCACTGAAAAAGGCTTGTGCTCCTTCTTTGTGTTTTACTTGTGCACACGCTACACAAATTTGTGACCTTCTTGTCAGCATGAAAGAGGAACTCTGCTGATACTTAAAAATGTCTCGAGTGTAGAACGACATTAATACATGATGAAGAAGCTCTGGCAATAAATATGTAAAACTCAATGCATTGTACAGCTATAACTAATCTATGGGAAGGACAAACAGGCCCTCATGGTAAAGGTATGTTTTAAAGGTTGCAATATTCAACCGAGGGTGAGTTTAAAGGAGCTCTGGTGTTTTTTAACTTATTGTCTATCGGATTGATCTGTAGCGTATGAATGATTACCATGAATAATAATTTGAATGTTTTTTCTCTTTAGTTAGAAAAGAACAGCAAACCTGTTGATTCAAAATATACTTATAATGGAACCCAATGGACAGGCGCTGAGTTTTCTGAGAAACGGAAACGTGCTGAAATTATTGTGTGTGGTAATCTATGGTACGAAATAGATGCAATAGATGGAGATTCGTTGAAAAATGCTGGAGTATTTCTTTAAGAAACTCAGGGTTAGATTTCCTAACAAAACCCAGTCACAAGAGTCAACTCAGTTTATGTTGGGAAAAATGCAAAAAATCAGTGTACTAACTAAATCCAGTCTTCTTTCACATAGAACTGTTCAAGGACCCTAGCTCAAAGGCCTTTGCTACCAATGAGCACAATGCTTATTGATGTAAATAATATAAACATTAAATTCACTGACACACATAATGAAAAAGATGAAAATTGTATGAATTTCTCTGTGAAGCACTGAAACCAACTTGAAAAGGCGCTTCAGACTCTACCTCCTGCATTGCGCTCTTATGTGGCATAATGGGAGAATCAACGTTTAAGAAAATCATTGTTGTATTATAATGTTGGGAATATGATGCCTAAATAAAAATAGAAGCAATTCAAACACAATAAACTTTTATTGCAAGCCTGTATTAAAAAAAAACATGAATAAATGTATAGTCTCTGCGTTATTTTTTGTGAAATGTACTGTACTTTTGCATGGTGTCTTAAATTGAATCTTTTTGTTTATTTTTCAGGTCCTTTCTTTAAAATCGTTGGTGCCATTTGTTGTATGCTGCATTTACAGTCACATACAGTCAGGTCCATAAGTATAAGGCTGCAGACAACATTCTTGTTATTTTAGCTGTCTACTACAACATATTAGATCACGAATATGAGCCTTTAGCTTTAATTTCAGCTGTTTAAAGTGTCAATGCTGAAATACTCTTTACAGTGGTGGTGAATGGAACCAGGGGTCACAATGCCTACAACACAGATATAACTGTTTTATTTACTGTCCAAAATGGCCAGTGAAGATACACAAACCTACATGTCTTCTGATCTTTAGTATGTTATGTTGATATTGGTAAAATAGCGTTAAATCCGAAAACAAATTTTCTTACAACACCCTACACCCAGAATCTTCTCAAAACTACTGTAAAACAAGTTCTCAGATATCAGGCAGCGTATTCGTAACCATTTCCATGTAGTAAACTTTCTGTGGGGGAGCTTTTAGAGGCTTTAAACTCTTCAGACGTCTGGTTCCTATCACCACCACTGTGAACAATTTTCTATAGAATGGAGTACCTCACATCAAATCATTCAAAATGACTTTGTTTACATCTTAACCATTTAATTATGGAGTATTCAGGAATTTTGAAAAATCTGTGGAATTCCCTTTCAGGACAGGAGATATGCAAGGTTTGACCAAGTCTCAATGCCAGTTCAGATATTTGAACACTTCTCTCACTTTGAGCTCGCTTTTTACATTTAAAATTAATTAAATTTTTAATGTAAAATTACATTTACAGAATTTTCCATTGCCTTAAATGTAGTTCATCAGCCATGGCATGTTTGGTGTCAGAAGTGCTTTCGCTTTGTACTGTGGATGTGAGTCTAGTTAAGCTAACAGGTAATGGTAGCTTATTGAACATAAATCAGTTTTCAAGATGGCTGCACTGGTTTTAGTTATGTTATGTACCTTTGGCCATTTTTATAGACAACAGGATGTCATACTGTAAGGATGTCTATTTAAGATTACTTAACAACATTGAGGCAGTGACTGAGGTCAAGTATGCGGGTAGTACTAATTGGTGGGGTTTGACTTTTCATTTCTTGTTGGCTACGTTAGCCTCGTAGCTACAGTGTAAAGCCAAAGAAGCAAACTTCAGAAACCAAACATGTCTTGGCTAATTGACATTACATTATAAAGTCAAAATTTGTAAAAAAAAAAAAAATAAAATATTGTTTTGCCAGACTATGTCTTTAATGTCATATACATGACACTATGGAGTTTAGTTTAAGACTGACAAGCTGAGGTGAAGTGAAATGAGGAAAGCCTTCATTATTGAGGTATCCATGAGATTGGTGCCAAATTTTGTCCTCTATCCTTCCATTACAAATTGCTCTTCCAATAAAGCACATGGATACCTGTCAGCTGAATTTACTGATCGAGTGTCCAGGAATTTTACAGGGTTGAGGTGGCAACCATGTCTGTCAAGAGAAACAAAAAATGTGAAAACAAAAATGATCAATGATGAAACTTACATTGTTCACCAGCCTTTAAACATAAACTCTTAAACGATGCCACTTATGCTTAATCATGACAGTTAATATTACAGTACGTTATTTTATGGCTAAATATGTTGGTGTGCCATGGAGGGGAGCAAAACTCAAGGACAGATGAATTATTATTTTTATATTAAACATGTGTGTAGTATTGGAAAGAGACATTACAAATGGCCCTCTCTTCATGTGACGACCAGGACTTTTGTTATGAAACTGAAGCGTCACTCGTGAAACAGGAAGGTGCAAAGTTGGCGCGTGTGTACAGACAGTGCAGCAGTAGTTATTTACGAAAGATTAGTCCGTGTTTAGTCTTGGCCTTTACTTTTGTAGCTCGTTTGTCACTTTGGTTGGTATCATGACGAGGAACAAAACTGCGTAAATAAGCTGTCAGTCGTCGAGAAACAGCGTCATGTGGAAACTCCAGCCTGCAGAGTCTGAATCAGGTAGCTGAGCTGAGAGTTTAAGGGCTAGACTGGCTGTGCGTTGCTAGAGCTGTTGTACTGCTTGGTTGGCATGCAAATATGGTGTAATGTACTGTCAAACCGTACACTACTAAAAAGATGGTTCTTTAAGGGCTCTTTGGTAAAGAAAATGGTTCTATCTAGAACCATGAGCTCTATACAGAACCAGTTCATGCTAAAATGGTTGTTTACATGGTAAAATTGTACCTCAGATGGAGAATGTGTCATTGTTCTAGATAGAACCATTTTCTTTAGCAAAGAACCCTAAAAGAACCATCTTTTTTAGAAGGGAACTGTATGCCTTGAAACATTTAACAAACTTAAAAAAAATTTTATCACAAGGATTGTCAGTAAAGGATCATATAGACTAAGCTCACTGATTCCTCTCTGCTATAATAGCTGTTGTTGTGTATGTATGTTTTACAAATACTATCCTGTTCTGAAACCTAGGGACGTTCTACCTGCTCCCCGGTAAAGAGTATGTAGTGGGTCGTAAAAACTGTGACATCCTCCTGGCCAATGACCAGTCCATCAGCCGTGTGCACGCCAAACTTACAGTCACTGAGCAGGTGAGGAATAACAGCTTGAAGGCCATGCAATCCTTGGAAACTGTAAATGAGTCAGATACAAGCTTTCCTTTTCACCTCCCAAAATGTTTCACTCATTACTTCTTGCAGGGTACAGTGTCATTTCAGGTTGAGTAAAATGGGGAACATGTCCACCTATTAATAACAGTGTCTGTTTTCTGTAAAATGAAGGCTTAATTATGAAAGTGTTAAGCGTGTATATGATTACATGAGGATGATTCACAAACCAGCATACTTGGGTGATTAACTGTAATAGCAGTCAATTGAAAATCTTGCGTAGAGGCATTTATCACTGTTGGGACAGAAAGAGCTGCTACATGAAGAAAGAAATGTCCAGGTGATTTTGCATCAGTTATCTGATTTTTGTGGAATAATTTAGTGTAATAACAGTTAAAAGTGCAAAGGATTCAGACACATGATAGACAAAATTAGATGTGATTAGGTATCATGCTGTTATATTGTTGCAGTATCGTCCCCAACTATATTACCTGTACCTACCTGCAAAATTAATCTCCAGCAAGATCGCTGATGGGAGGAGTTGTCTCTCTACAATCATTATCAGTGTCCACTTTATTAGGAACATCTGCACAGTCATGTAATTATCCAGTCAGCCAGTTACTATGTCAGCAGTAGTGCATGTAGTCATCCAGACACAGGCTAAGAGCTTCAGTTCATGTTTATATCAAATGTTAGAATGGGGGGAAAATGTGATCTAACATCTAATCGTTGTTGATGCCAGGTGGAGTAGCTTGAGTGTTTCGGAAACTGCTGATCTCCTGGGGTCTTCACATACAAAGAGCTTACACGGAACGGGGCAGAAAAAAGTCAGCAACAGTTTTGTGGCCGGACACGCCTTGTTAATGAGAGGTCAGAGGAGAACAGCTAGACTTCTTCAAGTTGACAGGAAGCCTACAGATATTTGAATAATGGCTCTTTACAGCTGTGATGATCAGAAAACCATCACCACATTAAACTTTGAGGTGGATGGGCTACAACAGCAGAAGTTCACTCCTGTCAACCAAGAGCAGGAATCTGAGGCTAGAATAAACACAGGCTCACCCAAACCAGACAGCTGAAGATTGGGAAAACGTTGGCTAGTCTGATGAACTTGAAGATCGAAGGAATGTTTCCAGCACCTTGTTGAACTCATGCCATGAAGAATTTAGGCTGTTCTGAGAGCAAGGGTGTCCTAATAAAGTGGCCAGTGAATATAAAAAAAAATAATAATTACAATGCATAGACTGTTATCAAACATCAAAAGTTGAGACAGTTTTAGGTACTCCTTACAGTGGTTACTGCAGTAGTTACTCCTTGGACCTCACATTAAAGTTCAGACTTATGTAACACACTGTATCATTTTATTACTAAAAATACCATCCACAAAAATTCTGACCCCATGGTTTAGTTGTTAGGTGATGTGGACTTGTTTCCCATTTTAAGAAGTATTTTGTGTTGCTAGCTGGTACATGTGCCCAGAAATGTATATTAATGACAATAATAATAACTATAATTAATTGGAAATCTGAATATCACCTTCAAGAAGGCAGTGACTAAATGAGCTTAACAGAATATGGGGGGCTTTTATATATCTTGTACCATTACTTAAAGTAGAATAACTTCAAATAAGCCACCTTTTCTCTTATTTCTTTATTCATGTATTTTTGCGTGTCTGTTTAGAAACAGTGTGTAATTATGACCTGGGAAATTTGTGAGGTGAAGAAATGTTGTGTTAAGTAGTGATATATATATATATATATATATATACAAAATATGACATGATCACTGTGGATATATGTGAAATATAACATGCCTTTTTATTTTCTGTATTACTGCGTACAGTGGAGTCTGAAAGTCTGAGACAACATTGAAAATCTGTAATCTTTTTCCTTTAAACCTATAAATAAACAACTGAAAGTTTTAGAATCCTGAACATTTGAAAAAAAAGAAAAGTCCTGACAATTAAAATAAAGAATAAATATTCAAATTTCCGCACTCTGTCTAGGCCACTGTTCAAATTGAAGTCAGTTTGTGACATTGACCCTGTTAAGGCCTTTTAACAAAAAGGACAGATTTTTAGTCGTATCTTTTCCATTGAAAGTGGATTTGATCAACTGATCAGAGGCTTTTGTGTGAATATACGGAGTCCATGCCAGCTTGAGTGCATGCTGTAATTAATTCCCCACAAGGGGGAAAATACTAAGAACTGAAATTTGTGTGAACATTCAGAGATTCTACTTTTCCATCAATTTTTATGTGGACAATAATGTTTATAATGAAAAACTGTATTAAATTAGAAAAGAACTATTATGACTGTGCTTCCAAGTTGTTTGCAGCAGATGGCACAGTTTCCCTTTTTGGAGCTTTTGATCACTGAGAGAGGAAAGTGTTGACTAGCTTTTGTGTTTGTGCTGTTGCAGACTGTCACACTGAAGGACAGCTCCAAGTACGGCACTTTTATTAACGATGAGCAGCTGGCAGCTGGCTCCACCAAGACCCTGCGTGCTGGTGACAGAATCACATTTGGGGTCTTTCAAAGCAAGTTTAGGTGTGTATCCCCTACACTGATGCAGAAGTATACACACACACACACATACATAAATATACATATAGTATGTAGATATTGACCTTTGTACCAAATTAGTTTAAACTGTAAAAAACTGATAAAAAAAAAAAAACAATATTCAGACCTTAGATATTTGCAAGGATCTATTTAAACCTAAGGCAATAATTGAATTAGCCAAATTTAAATATAATAAGCTAAGTATATGCTTATTAAATTTAGCTTATATTTATGTTTGGCTTCTTAAGTAGAGTATATACTTCAACTACCATATACTTATACTTACAATTGGAAGGTAATACTTATATTTTTTGCCATTTTTTTCAATGTTTTCTTTAAAAAGTTTTCTAAAGTAAAGTTTAAAGTTTAATTCTTAAATGTATCCCTGTCCCCCATGACCATCATGGTTGGTATAGTGTAGTGGATAACACTGCTGCCTTCTACGCTGTAGACTGGGGTTTGATCCACGCCTGGTTCAAGACCCTACACTATACCAATAAGTGTCTTTGGGCAAGACTCCTAACACTGCCTTTGCCTACCTGTGTAAAAAATGATTAAAATCGTAAGTCGCTCTGGATAAGAGCGTCTGCCAAATGCCATAAATGTAAATGACACATGGTGAGCAGTTAGATCCTATTGTTTTGTAGTAAATGTGTCCCAAAGTCTGAAAATCAGTGTGGGACATTAAGAATTGTCACTAACGAAACAAAGATTTTCAGCAACTAAGTAAACTTTTTTTGTGTTTTATTGAAAATGTTATGATTTTGTGTGTGTACAGCTGTTCAAAGCTATGTTTGCCAGTCATGTACGTTTGGTGACAATTTGGAGGTTTTATTGTTGTGTTGTTAGTGACTATGTAGAAATGTTAAATCATAAATTTTAATAAAATATGGTGCCTTCCCTGATGTGCAAGGTACCCACTAATACTCCCTCCATACCATGAAAAAACTTGTTTTTTGAACTTTACATTGGTAACGATCTGGATGGCCCTTTTCTTCTTTGACCCTGATGACACAGCTGCTATTATTTCCATGATTCTTTTATACCCAAGCATGATTGCATCACCTGCTTAGAATGGTTTTTGAACGTTTCACAATGTTCCTACTCTTAAATTGCCCCTGTCCCAACTATTTTGGAACACGCTTCGAGCATCAATTTCAGAATGAGTGAATGTTTACAAAAGGACAATGAAGTTGATAAGGTGAAACATTACATATCTTGTCTTTGTACTGTTTTCTTTCAAATACAGTTCAACTTAGATTTATAAATCACTGTTTGCTGTTTTTATCTGCGTTTCTCATAATGTCCCAATTTTTCTTTGAATTGAGTTACACATACAGTTGTACATGTGTGTCTTTTTTAAATCAAGCCTTCTGTCTTTCATTCTGTCGCTCTCTTTTGCTTTCTCAGGCTGGAACTGAACTCTGTGGTGGTCTGCTCATCCTGTGTCGATAATGAGGGGAAGGTGGCTCTTTCACAGGCCGTGCAGTCGGTTGGAGGCCGCATGGTCAACTCTTGGTCACAGGACTGCACTCACCTTGTCATGCCCACTGTAAAGGTCACAATTAAGGTCAGTATTACAATGACTTTAAAACCCTCTGTGTTCTGTGAAGATTTCTGGGTAATTAATCAAGATGTAAACAAAGTCGTTCAAAATGACTCATGCTTTGTGAAATGCTCCATTCTACAGAGATGTACTGAGTCAGAATTGTTCACAGTGGTGGTGATAGGAACCAGACATCTGAAAAACAAAACCCTACTTCTCAAAGTTATTACATGAAGTGGTTGTCTAAGACATTGTTTTAAGATACATATAAGAGAATTTTTTTCTTCAGGTTTTTTATTTTTTAAATTAAATCCTACTTTTTTATGTTGAAGAGGTACATGTCGGGCATTGTAAGGCAAAATAGTCCCCAAAGACCACTTTCTACCACTATTTTACCATTATCAACAGTACATGTCAAAACTCAGAAGACATGTTTAGGTTCATCGGTCGTTTTGGATAGAAAAAGAAATGGCTATATTCTTGTTGGAGACATTGTGACTCCAGGGGCCATATTACAGAAAATTCTTAAGTCTGAGATCACATCTGCTTTGTTGTCATGGTGACTTCAGAAGTTAGGACAGAAGCCATTACAGAACAACAGTCTATAATCTTATCTTATTTCCAGATAAGAAAACGGTATTACAGAAACATCCTAAGTTGCCAAAATAGCCTGAATATTTTCTGAACTTTAAGACAACCTCTGAGCGTCTTCTGTTTTAATCGTCTGTTTCAATTGTTTTATGCAGTGATAGGCAGCACAGTTCACTATAAGTAGCATAGTGACGCTATTTTTATCTACATTGAAAACGGTGCTTTGTGCGTTAAACAGCGGTTATTTAAGAACTCAGATGCTGCACACATGATCTCCACCGTCCCCTCTTGTTACCTTTGGGTGTTAATGTTTGATAAAAACTCCTTAGATTCAATATTACAGCTGGTGAATAATGAGGAGACAGAGCTGAACGGGTGTCTGTTTATTAGGAGGAATAACGTTAGCGTGCTCGGCTAAAATGTTTGGGAAATGAAACTGAAACTGTGGAGCAGCGACGCTCTGGAAAAACAGCACGAAGCGCTGAAACAATATTCTTAACTTTTGGTTTATCATGCTTTAGTTTATTTGACCTTTTTTACATCAGTAACGGTAGCTAACGTTAGCTGTCTGGCTAACTAACTTGATTACGTGTTTACGTTTCAGCTGTGCGCGTGTGGTCGGTTGCTAGGTAACAGGCACGACAGTTGATTGTCAACTTCAATCGAGAAAATTCAGATTTCCTAACTTGAGATAAGATGCTGTAAGATAAGATAAGGTTCTTAAGGTTCTGATTTGCTTCTGTAATACGAATTTGTGAAAAATCTTATCTTGACCTGTCAGATCTTAAGTTAAGACAAAAAGGTAGGAATTTTCTGTAATACGGCCCCAGGTTCCGATTAACATCACTGTAAAGAATTCTGACTCAGTATGTTTCTGCGCAATGAATCATTTCACATCAAACCACTCTGAATGATGTTTACATCTCAACTATTGAATTGTGCAGAAAATTTTTTTTTGATTTCTCCGTTAACCATTTCAGCTATTCCGATAGCCGCATAGGCACCTGCTTTGGTGAAATCCATTGTGCGGTTGAAACTCTTGTGATTTTGTGTGCAGACGATCTGTGCGCTGCTGTGCTGTCGGCCAATAGTGAAACCAGAGTTCTTCACCGAGCTCTTTCAAGCTGTGCAGCGGAAGGGAACCCTTCCCAAATGTGAAAAGTAAGGCCTTGGTTTGAAGCTCTGCGTAGGTGTTATTGAAATAACTGATTTGTGTAGGACCTTTTCATGCCGTGGTTCTTATTGGTTAAAAAAACTTGAACATGGGTTGTACTCGAGTCAGTGAGCAGCGTCAACGTAGTCTAATAGCAATTATAAACCCCTTCTATTATTTTATTGAATCATCAGGGCTCAGGTCTTGTTTATGTTTGTTTTGTATAATCCTGACCCTAATCCAGATTAATAATGTAAAAACAAACCCTTCCTCTCGCAACTCGTCACGTTCTCTATTGTCAGGGCCATCAGTCTCAGATTGCTCACCTCAGTTGCTGACCTCAAATACTGAGCTACAGCTCAGTGTTCCCAGATCCAGAACACCTGATTCAACGCATTTAGTAAAGACTGGAGTTTGAGTCAGCTGAGTTAGATGCATTGGAGAAGGGAAAGCATGACTCAGGGGTTTCACAGGACTTGGATTGAGAACAACTGACATAAATCACTGTTCTTTCTCACACATCGCTGTGAAACAGGAATGCGCTCATATAACGTTTGTGGACCAAAAAGAATAACTGATAATTAACAGTGACCTTGTTTTGGCCAGTGTGTGATTTGTTTTTAACCTTTTTCACATTGTAAACATTTATAATACATTGAAAAAGTCAGGGGATTTATTTATCATGTATTCTGCAGTCAAAATTGCCACGTTATTCATTTTTCAGCATCAAGAAGAAAGCTGAAAATGTATAGCCATCAGAAAAATAAACAAAAGCCCCAACAACTTAATATTATATCAAAAATATAATATCAGACGTTGCAGTGTTTAGTGTATCCACACTCTGTCTTTATAACAGCTTCCATTCTTTTCAGTTTTGAATTTGTTCTGAATTTGCAGGGATATGTTTCGAAGGTTAGTCTTAGAAGCTGGTTAGATTTTCTGCTTCTCATGCTCCAAACACATTAAATGATTTTGAGGTCTGGACTCTGGAATGGTCAGTCCATTTCTCTAAGAACACCAACAACAGCAAATTTCCCTCTTTTTTTGTCTGTTTTATTTTCTGAGTAAGGACTTTTGACAGCTACACATCCTTTCAGAGCCATCACATTGACTTCTCACAGCGGAAGGAACAGACAGAAACACCTGTGGATTTTTTCAGATCTGAAACAAGAGTGGAGCTTAATTTTCTCCTCTCTCTCAAAGATGAAGCCTGAAGAAATCTGTTGAACACAGAAATGGTCCAGAAAGTTTTGTCTTCCAGATATCAATATAGATATTATTACATGTAGGCGAGCTCTGCCACACATTGAAATGGCATTGAATTAAAGTAAGAAATCTGCCATGCTTTAACATGATCATATAACAAAATCAGCTATTTGCACTATAGGCTGTTACCGCTAAAGCAGCTTCAGCAAAGCTTGCTGATTTGTGTTGGGTATTTTAGCCAAGTGGCTGGTCTTAAGCAGTGTCAGCTTGCATGGCAATATGAATATTTTCACTTCATAACAACCTCATACATTCGTACAAATGTTAACAGGCTAAACACGTTTTTGTCTAATACAGGGTGTGATGACTTTAGATTTTTGAGAATGGCCTTCGTTTTCCCTTAGATAAAATGGCTTAAGGCTTATGTGGCAATGATGCTGACTACAAATGACAATACATCCTTAAAGGTCTATAGAAGTTGTGTTTCTGCCTGGATGAGCAATAAAAACTTTAAATCTTTTCATTGAGCTTATAAACAATGAAAATGGCTACAATTAGTATCTGTACATGAACCAGAGCATGCATAAGTAAATGTTATATTGGCTGGATTTATGGGCTGTAATTACAGTGGAATAATTAAATTTCCTCATTTATGTTAAATTTGTAAGTGAAAATATTTTAACACATCCTCTGCAGAGAACACACTTCTGCTCACTTTTATGCACAATTACTGTTTGTTTACTGATTTTTTTTTTAAATATTAAAAAAATATAGCGTGAAATGTGGACTTTGTAAAGGTTGTGGCGTTTTATATTTCAATATTTTCAATATGTTAAACTCAGCAAATAGATTGTGCCCTTAATTTTGTAGAGAATGGCATATTTAAGTTTGTTCTCTGTAGAGCAGAGGTGTCAAACTCAACCAGTAAAAGGGCCATATTAAAAATCTCATTACGTCTGTGGGCCAGAGGAAAGAATTTATTTATTTTTTTTCCCCAATTAATGTTGTGCTATAACCTGTACTGGCCAATTTTTAATTTAAAATATGCATAAACTACAACAGTAAAATACAGGCACTTGTAGTAGACTTTGAAATATTACATGGACACTTGAAATATTAAAAATTTAAATGTCCCCAGGTGCTCAGTCTTTCAGACCTACCTGTTTGCTCAAACTAGACACTGGCATCCTCTCTTTGCTGCAAGTTTGTTAAGACTTGGGCTCAGTTTCTGAGCTGCTGAGCTGACGTTAAGTGTTTAAATTGGCTGAACTGCAGCTGAAATGCATTTTGGTGGTATGAGTGGTGTGGAATTGTGCAGAATTGTGTAGAATTGAGGTGTAACTGCTGTCCAATCAGTTGTTGTTGAGGGTAGGAGAGTCTGAGCACATTACATTGCAGTGCATGCTGTAGTGCAGCACACTGCGAAACGGGCTAATATTAATAGAAAATTTAAATACTTTTTCGGGCCTGATAGGATTGTGTAGCGGGCCAGATCCGGCCCGCGGGCTTTCTGTTTGATGGGCTGTAGAGAATGTGTTAACTTACTTCTTGCCGGAAAATCAGCAAAATGTGTCATTTGACCAGGCGTATCAAAACTTTTGCATAATGCTGCTGTCAGAACAAAACCTCTCCAAAATGCTTTCATTTTAATGCAAGTGAATGGAACCAGACTCTTTGTCCAAGTAATTTTGGGCCATTTCTTTTGGTCCATTCATCATGAAATTTGCACACAATGAAAAGTGCAACAGGCACTTTCGAATTACGTCAAAACTGAAAAACGAAGAAAATGGAAATACGAGGTTTTGTTCGGACAGCAGCGAGAAACTTGTGCACCTGTGTAGTGAATGGCGTAATGTTCACACCTCTGGTTTGTTTTACTTGGAGGACATTTGAACACAGCTGGATGTCATCCCAGAAATAGTTTTGAGTTTTAATCACTGCTATGACTTATTGTGTTGTCCAGCTTCAAGCCGGAGATAGATGAACCCAGTCTGGCTAAGCAAGAGGTGGACCTGGGTCCCAGGCCCGAGAGAAAGTCTCTCTTCAAGGATAAAACATTTGTCTTCTTCAACGCCAAACAGGCAAGAACTTCCTTTTACTCGTTTTACTAAATGTTTTTTCCCAAAAATGATGACTAATGGTGCATGACAAACTGCTAAAAGAGCTCTAATAGCTCACAGCAGGCATCACTGTTTCAGGAGTCATCTGCTGTGCATGTTGTATCACCATGGATCTGACCATTACTTCAAACACTGTGCAGTATTGTATTGTGAGTCATGGAGACGTTAGTAAATAGTCCATCATCGTTTCCGCTTCTATGGACCATTTGGGCTGGTGTCTGCATGAACTAAACTTACTAATGGCAAGGCAAGTTTATTCATACAGCACATTTCATACTCGAAAGCGATTCACTGTGCCTTGCAATGTAAAAGGAAAAACAACATTAAAAGGCAAATAGCTTAAGAATGACAAACAAGAAAAATAAAAAGTAATATAGACTGCGATACTCAAGTCTTTTCCAGCACCCTGAGGGTGGGTTGCACCAGCAAGGATTCAATTAAACAGGGTTTAGAGCTAATCAAAGGTTTTTTTTATTATGAGTTACACTACTGAATTTTAAACAAGAACCACAAATCTGTGAGTAAAGCCTTAACCTACAATTAAAACCTTAATCTTCCATTAGTTTTGACTGTCCACCATGGGTCTGGCAGTATAAACAAACAGCAACATCGTTACTCCCAGCAATACTCTTTATCTATACTTTATCCCTTCCCTTTTGGGTGAAAACTAGCATAGGGCTCCAGCAAAAACAGCTCTCTTAAGCAAAAAGCGAATTTATACACTCGCATGTAAAAAGAAAAACTTAGCTTAGCCATTTAGCCAACACTAAGCTGGTTAGCCAACACTAAGAGTTTGTTATCTATAACATCTGTTGGTAATTTAGATAAAAAAATAAATAAATTACAAACGCTCTGTTACTTTGTATGTTGCAGTTTTGCAGTCAATGCCCTGTAATTACTAAAATCTAAAGCCTAACTCGAAATTTTATTAGAGAAGCCTGTTAGCTCTCTGCCAAGCTGTTTATTATCGATCAGCTAGTTCAACAAAACCATAGATATACATTCCTAGATGCCGCGTTGTCTGTTGTTGTATCTGAGGTGATACGTCTGTGTGTCCGCCATGTTGAAGCGGTCAAGATCCACTTATGAACAAATCCACTTGTATTGAGAGATGAAGAGTCTCAAGATTAAATCAGCCACAACTTCTTATTACTCAACCGATTTTCACCAAATTTGTTTTGTTATAATTCTCAGACAGACTAATCTAGGCTGCATGGACTGCTCTCGGTAGCTTTTATTTCTTTTATAACATTCCAGCATGAAAGTATTCAGTCTACACCTGATGTTAAAAACCGAGTTTAGCGCTCCAGTAGAAACACAATCTCACACACTTCAGCAAATCCATGAACGTGTGAATCACTTCTGATCTTAATACACATAAAAATAAAATAAACCCCCTAAAACACAGTAAGAAGGACGAAGCTAAAGTTGGCTTTTTATTCGCCAGCTTCTTGTTCGAGTTTTCCCGTTCCACCTTAAATGGTGCAGCAGTCACTTTCTGGTGCCTGAAGCTGCACCATTTAAGGTGGAACGGGAAACTTCGAAACAAGGAGCTGGCAAATTAGAAGCTGACTTCAGGATCATGTAAGAAGGTGCTAACGTTAATCTACTATGAACATCTACGCAGATTAAGGAATGCTTTAACTTACCTAGCTACAACATTAACCATCATTGTAAATAAATAAATACTACATAATATGTGTGATATTCTTGAAATAATATATCTTTCTTAAACTGCCGCTCTGTAATGGTACTGAATGCAGTACCATTACAGAGCGGCAATAATAATGTCCAGCAGCAATGTTGACTGCCACAAAATGGCGGTGCCGTTGACGTGCCTGGCTGGACCCAACGCGGCATCTAGGAATGTATATCTATGAACAAAACCCTGTTCTTACCTGAGGTATATCTAGTCTTCAGTCTTTTATTTCATATACTTGCAGTGTCTAGCTGCATATTGTGCATTAGTGAGATCATATATGAGATCATACATGAGATCCTACACATTTATACACCCGATTCTCCGATGTATGTACCAGAGATGATAAGAGGCTTAATGCTATGTCAGGTAAGGAGACTGGGTTTTTGCTTACCCAGACAGCAGTGATAATACTGCTTTTAAAATCTGATGTGCTTTTATAGTCAGTTTAGCTGGGTTACTGAATGGATAGCCAAGTCCGTATTGCATTGCTAGGTTAACATAGTGCTTCACATTCCCTCACATGTGAAATAATTTAGACAAATGAACATATATGTCATTCAGGATGAGACGACTCCATGCCTATAGATTTACGGATGTGCGTGTGTTCTAGGAATCGGTTAAACCTAGCTGGCTATCACTGTCTCTGTCTCTCAGACTGAGGATGCTTGGATTCAACAGATAAAACTATAGGCCAGAGGTCACTAATAGGCGGACCGTGGTCCGAGTCCGGACCCAGACGCTGTCCTATGCCTGGGAAGCTCACAGGCGAATCACATGCGTTGTATGTATCACATGTGACGCTACTTAGCCAATCAGATCTGTGCATTACGATGAGCTCTGAGACTCGAGTGAGTGATGCACACAGAGGGGAGGGACGAGGTGAGAAACAGCAGTCAGAGAAGAAAGTGAGTCAGAGGGGAGTTATTTCACATGACATGCTCTAAAAAGAGAAACTGAGAATAAATGTTGTTGAAATATGACTGAATTGGACTTTATTCAATTTGACATTCAGTTGTTGACTGTATAAGATGTTGATATACCTACTAGGCTACTTCAGTTTACAGTATATGGCACTGAGTCTTAATGCAAGTTAGGCATTATGATGTTCCAGACCTTCGCTTGAGGAAATTTCCTCTAACTGGAATTGAATTTTAATTAAAAACCCCTGCTATAGGCAAACACATGGGTATTTCTCCCTATGTAAATTCTTTTTGTTCATTTTAGTGTCTTATTAACTTATCTTGCTACAGTCTCTCACAGAAAAGGGTTGACATTGCAGAATCGTAGAGGGAAGCTAACAATACCTGGGTGTGGCATAGTTAGCCTAATATCACATCCATTTTATAAAAGGACATATTCTTCTGTCCTTTTTTTTGTTTTTTGATGTGTGTGTGTTATTCTTTTGTGATGTCATGAAAAACAAAATCATTTAAGTATATCCGTCAATTCCACCTACATTAGCTCCACTAAAATAAAGAGAGGTGGAAGAATGGTTGTATAAAAATGAATTATGCCTCTTTTTTTGTACACAACTCCATATAAACATCATAAATAGGCTCAGAGGGCAAATAAAATGCAAAAACATGGTGGAATAGGATTTGGTAGGATTATTTATTTTAATTTTTTTTTATTTTAAAAAATATATATATATATTTTTTTTTTATCAAACTTGCATAGGAGTGGTGCTGGGGTTGCTTTGAGCTATTGCTAAAAGTAGCCGGTAGCAATTACAAACCCCTTCTGTTATTTCAGTGAGTCATCAGCACTCATGCTTACTTTTATTATTTCTTTGTATGGTCCTGATTCTAGTCCAAAATAGAAGAAAAGCAAACCCTTCCTTGCTTAGACCGTTATGTGATATGATAATACACAAGACCTATTTAACAGCTGCCACAGTGTGGCTGAAACACATGAACTCAATAATTTGGCAACATATTATATGAATAACAATGCTGATAGCTTGGCTTGTAATCTGTTTATTATTACAATGTATGTTGTCAAAAGAACTGAAACGTTAGTCATACTGATCAGATTGTAATGTGCTGAGCCCACATTCTCCACCACTCAAAAGACAAATGCTTCTCAATCTTTATATTCATGTGCACATGGACTTTGTCACTCATAAAAAGTCATTTTTTGAACAGTCTGCACTTGTTTATCTCCTCCTCTGTCCAGCTCTTGTTTTTTTCCATTTCACTGTGGACAGAAAACGAGAATGGGATCTGCGTCAGGTTAGAGTGAGTCAGTGGTGAAAGTGCTCGTGTGCACTATATTTACTGCACTGCGAATGGTGTGCCTCCCTGGGGCTCTCCTCAAACCCCGAGAGAGAAGAATACGGCTGATTAAGTGAGAAGGAGATGGCAAGTGTGTGAAAGGACTCCATTCTGAGGAAACACCCTTCAACACTTCTAGCCTAATACATTGTTTTCACACAGGGGCTAATCATAGCCTGAAGGCCTGCAATAATCAGTATGAATGTTTGCATTTGCAGTATTTCTGTAGGCCTATTTAAAAAAAATGAAGACTGTGTTCCTCCAAGTAGCTTTCCATCACTTTAATGCTGTCTAATGAAAAGCACATCTCTGAAGCATTTTTCAATCTGGCACTAGCTTCTTAACTACCGTGTGTCATCTTATGTTGAACTCTCCACAAAGTAAAATTCTAAAAATAGCAATCAGCACATGAACATACCGTCCTAGTTTACATTTTAGTGCTCTTTTTGGTCGTGTAATAGTGCTTGGCCACTTCACCTTGGTCTGGAGGATGATACAGCATCTCTAACTGCTTTTGAAAGCTGGAAAACAGAAAACAAAGAAGTAAAATCCATCACATCCTTGGCTACATTTGACATTACATCCCCAAACACAGTAAGATTTTGCCGCTATTGGCAATGTTTTGTCGGTTATGTTTAAAGTTATTGTAAAGTGTGCCATAAACTGAGCTGCCTCATGCTGATTGGATGTGAGTTATCCACCCAGAAGTACAGCCAGTCATTACATTTACAAACCTTCTGATCTGGCTAATAGAAGAGCTAATGTTACATACTATTCTAATTTGTGTGCACTGCTGCCTCAGAGTCTGTTTGAACACATCACAGCACATGGAGAATTGATTGTATATGATTGTGTAGGATTTCCGGCACGCCAGGTTACCAGAGGATGCTCATATATTATTTGTTATTGTTATTTGTCTTATATGTGTATTTTTTAGATGAAACGTTTAAGTCAGGCCATCAGTTCTGGAGGTGGGCGGAGCCAGCTCTTGGAGGAGGGGTCTCTGCCTGTGTCCCTTCTGGAATCCACAGGGACTTGTGTTATTGACGTTGGAACAGGATCCTCCCAAGCACTCATACCTTCCACCACCAAGAAATGGATGGATTCTGTAGGGCAGGTTTTGCACAGGTATTTTTCCAGACACTCCCCGATTAATCTAGGACTGTAGTTGAATTATTAAGGCTGGCTTTTACTTGGCAAAGCTACATACAACTTGAGTTAACTAAAACGTGCGTGAAAATGTATTTCATCTGCACGGATAATGTAAAGCCTCCTGCGTTTAAATCACCTGCTTTCATAAGCAACTATCAACTTTCATGAAACAGGCTTATAGAAAGCCAGTAATGTATCATGACATGAGTCCTGCTTGTTTGCTAATAACCAGTTAGCTTTGCTAGTTAGCAAGCTGGGTAATTTAAACATGACAGTGAATTTGGTTCTGCATTTTGCTATGTTGGTAGCCCACATAGCTTGGATCTGTGTTTCCTTGTTATTAATTATCTCTGCTCAACACCCCTAATAATGAACAGGAAAAGGGATGCATAGATGCAAATGTGAATAACACATTGCAGATTATTTTATATAAACAAAACTTTGTAAGATATATGAAAATTACTATCCACTAAATCTTGCTAACTACTGAAATCAGATGTGTTACATGCAACTTGGATTTTTTTTTTTTTAAGCTGCTTTGTGTAACTGTCAGATTGTTGAGATCTGCTTGCTTCAGATATAAGAAAAAAGAGACGCATCCACAAAAAAGGAAGAACATTTGCAAATCAAACCAAGAAGCTGCTGGTGTTCTCAGAACCATAGATTGACCATCCCAGAGTCCAGACCTCAGCATCACTGAATGTGCTTGGAATTACTTGGATCATGAAAAGCAGTTGCAACCAACGTCTAAGACTGAACTTTGGAGGAAATCCCTGCAGATTACTTTGCTAAACAGATAAGGGATAAAAGGAAGTTGGACATGGCTTTGTAAAAAAGAACGATGGTCATTTTTAGTACAAAAAATATTATAAGGTAATAAATAAATTGCAAGAAAAAATGCAGGAGTTTTTTTTAGTTGCTGTTTTGACTGGAAATTAACTAATTAAAGGCTAGTTTCTGATTCTGCAAAAGGCTGCTTGTTTCATGTTAGCCGTACATAGCTGAAAAGTTTGACCAGATAAAGGCCGTATAAGGATGTCAATTCTGTGGATAACGCAGCGCAAATCGGACAAAGAAGCCGCTGGTATTCTCAGAACAATGAACTGTCCAGACATCAACAACATGTTATATATTTGTGACTGGCAATTCAATAAATGTAGAGTGGCTTCTGACTTTTGCAAAGTGCTGTATGTTTCATGCCATACATAGAAAGTTTGACCAAGTAAAGCCAGTCTAAGGATGTCATCATTATGATCATTAATAAAACATATCATGAATGATATATAGCTGGATAGACATATTACATGAATGATGTGGTCTTTTGTGTGGGTGTGCTAGAGTGGTTTGGTGCTGTTTGATATCTGTGAGTGGGTTTGTAGTGCAGTGCTGGAACAGTTCTGTTTTTCTGTTGCCAGGATCTGTGTGTAATACTGCAAGCCTGCCTGAGTCAGCAAATCTATTTATTTTCTCTCTCCCTCACCCTCTCTCTCTCACTCTGTCTGTCTCTCTTTCTGTGTAATAGGAATGATTTACGCTTCATCACTGAATCTGAGATTGGATTGGCTACCATCTATGTCAATAATCAGACCTACTGCAATCCCTGTGCTTCTATGGATTCTGGTGGGCTAAAACGCATGCACACACAGAGTACTGTAAATTGGAATTTACTATTATGATGAGTTTTGGGATCACTTTGCCATGTTTTGATGATGATAAATGCTGTCTGTGGTCATTTTTCAATATCAACAGAAATGACTATGATTACTTGGGGAAAAAATATTATTATAATAAGTAGAATTATTATTATTATGAACAAACAGAAACATACTTAACAGAAGTCATTTTATCTTAAAGAATGCTACCATTTTTTGTTTTGTAGAGTCTGTTAGAATGAGGCCAGCAATCCCCGCGGCGACTCTTACACAGAATGCAACAGTGGATGAGACTGTGCTTCCTGCAGCCTCCCAGAACATCACTGCATATGTGGCCAACACTGAGACTTCTCAGAGTTTCAGCAGGTAGGAAAATTCAGTTGCTGTTCGTGAAGGCGACTGTCACATTTAGGTTCTTGACATTCTTAAACTGTTCAGGTCATAATATGCAGGGTAATTTAAAAAGATTAATCCGATTTCAAAATGATGTATTTAACTTGTAAATCATTACAGAACAATGAAGCATATTGTAAATGGTTTAAGTGAACATAAAGTTTATAATGTAATTTTAAAAGGCCTCAATCTGACCTCCTCCAGCTGTACGGACAACATCAACACCATAGTCAAATTCATCCCCTACTCGATTGAGCATGTCGGGTGTCACTGTACTCACGGCTCTTTCAATATGATTTCGGAGACGAACACTCTGAGCTGTTGGAGGTTCACTGCTGACGAAAATCACGTTGCACAGTTATGATGGATTCACTCTTATTGAAGTGGAGAACGCGAAGCGCTTTCTGCTCAGAGGTCGCATCTCCTCGCAGACTGAAGGGAGCCATCTTCCGGTGACAGTCAGAAACTCTGTAACCCCCTCTTTCAATTGGTATGTGATTGGTTCCTAGGAGCCTCATGGTTGTAAAAATATGGCACTTTGAAATCGGATGAATCTTTTTTTGAATCACCCTGTATTTTCATATTATTTGTTATCAGTAGTATCATTTATCATACATGCAAAATTCAAGCATTGACTCGACACATTTAACTTTTGTAGTCCAATCAGAACTAAAATATTGTCACCGAAAAGTGAAACGAAAGCCACGTTGTGTGAGCAATGAAGTTGGTCCCATTTTTGCGCATTCACATTTCTTTCTTCAGTATCAGATTTCTAACAATGGATGAAAAAAGGTTAACGTGTAAATTATTGCAACCAAAACAGTGAGCTTCTATTTAATTTATGTCTGAAAATCGTGTAGAACATGTTTACTGATGTGGACTGCTGCTTATCTACTGCAGGATGGATGGATGTGGTGCCACAGCTGTGGGTGAGACCCCAGAGAAACGCCCTGTACAGGCAAATCCACTGGGGTCAGCGAAGCCAGCATCAACATTATCCCGAAGACAGCCATCAACCATGGAGCCACCAACCACATCAGAGTCTGTGAAGTCATCATTGAGCACAAGTGAGAGGGTACAGGAAAAGAAGAAGGTAGAATCAGCTTCTTCTGACAGGAGGAATGACGACTGTGTGAAATTCCCAGACCCTCGCAACAGCAGTGCCACGCTTAAAAAATCCCCCCAGAAACAGTCAGCGCTCACAAGCTACTTCCAGCCTGTCAACAAAAAGAGGCAAGCCACAGTGCAACCAACACATATTTGTCTTTTGTGTTTTAATATGTGTTTATATTTATCACAGAGAGTGTAGAAATGTTTGGACACCCCCTGGTTTTTTTTACAAATTTTAGAATTTCTGTTCATTTGCTGAGTTTATTGGGGAAAAATACATAAACTATACAGTGTGTCTTAACTTCCACACAGGCCATATTTTATGTTTTACTTTCGCAATATGTTAAATTCAGCAAATAAACATGACTTCTGCATTGAAACGTGCAGAAGTATGTAGAGGATGTGAAAACTTATTTTTGCATACGACTGTATTTGCACAAATGCCAAATTTTGTAGATGGAACCATTTTTTCAGTCTAATTGTCAGTACTTTAGAATAGGACCCAACTGATACGTTGTTATTCTAATACATTAATAAGTTTCCCCTGATTTATTAGCATTGACTGAAACTCTCACATTTCATGTGACGTCACACTGAATAGTCGCCACCATTTCGACAATTTGCTGTGCTTTGTGAATGATTTACTTGCAAAACGCGAAAGAAGCCAAGAACGACGAGAGACTACACAACGTTTAATTCAGTGTTTTCGTACTCCAGGCTTGCAGCCCCTGCACTGTATAGTTTAGTGTTTCTCTCTGCTGTTCACACCTCGTTCAGCTCAAGAAGGGATTAATTAGATAATAATATCAGGTATTTTAACCAGGGAAACCACAGTTATGCAGTGCAGGGGTTGCAGGACTGGAGCTGGACTCTGCACTAACTGCACGAGCAAACTTACAAAATCACATCTGTCCAAACACTACGTAGTTTTCGGACCCACGACATTCAGCCTTATATTTAACATTTATGTTTCTCCATTCAAACATCATTTAAATCTCCAGAAACAGAGAGTAAAGTTATACCGGCTGTCTGCAGCTCCGTTAGGGGGCGACTGTTTATCTCTCGGCTGTTAACATTATCAGACGTTATCTAAAGGCTAGCATTGTTCACATCTGTGTTAATTAGCTGATGTCGTTATCCTCCTATGATGACAGAGTTTTTCTCCTCTTTATGCAACACTATGGGATCCTTTACCCACCCTGACATGAAGATCCGGTGGGCTTCTGTGGTTTTAAATGCTTTGAGAGACTCTCCAGAATAGGTAGAGGGGTTGTGTATGAGATAAATATAAATGTCAGGAAAAGACAAATTTGGTAGTTTTCTGTCAGTTTGGTTGAATGGGTTTGAATATCCTGGCCAAATTACATATTTTTTGATTTGGTGAAATAAAAAATATGTTAAGACATCCTCTACAAGGGACAAACTTAAATGACATTTTATGCTAATTTTAGTACAGTTTCTATTTATTTGCTAATTAATTTGTTCCCAATTCCCAATATGTTAAGTTGAGCAGATAAACACTAACTGTGCATTAAAATGTGCGGAAGTGCTCCCGAGTGGCGCAACCGTCTAGGCGTTGGCCGTATCATAAGGAGATCGTGAGTTTGATCCCTGGTGATGCTACAGCCATCCGTGGCCAGGAGTCCAAGAGAGCACAATTGGCCACGCTCTCTGGGTGGGTAGGATGGCCCCTCCTTCTCCCCCCATCACTCAGCGCGATGCTAGTCAGCACAGGCGTCTGTTAGATGATGTAACAGATCTGGAGGTTGGCGCTTTCCTCCGAGCGCGTTCGGCTGTCCAGTGACGTTGCGTGAGCGGCATTTCGAAAAAATGCTGTAGCTGGCTTCACAGGTCTCGGAGGAAGCCTGTGCTTGCCTTCGCCCTCCTAGCGTTGGTAGTATCGTGTGACTGGGGGAGTCCTAACTAGTGGGTGGAATTGGAGATGATTAAATTGGGGAGAAAATTGGGTTAAAAAAAAAGAAAATGTGTTCTTTGTTAACTTATTTTCACATAGAAAGTCAAAAACATGTCATTCATTCAGGGGTGCACAAACTCCTGCACTTATTTTCAGTATTAAATGTTCATCTTTCCTCAGGTTGCGTGAGGGCGGTGCTGATTCTGAGCTTTCGGAGGCCAAACTGTCTAGGCGAGAGTGCGAGGATCCAGCAGCATCCTTACAAAGCTCGCACATAAGCCAAAAGCGGCATGGCACGACCCCGCAGTCCAATTTCAGTGCCAGTCTGGGTTTGGGCTCTGCACTCGCCATTAACTCAGGTGCTAGTGGGGACCATAATGCCCAGAACTGTGACTCCAATCCAATCTCAGGCAGTAAAAAGAGGAAGGAGCCCATGCAGGACCAGCCATCTAACCTGGCGGTGCAAGAAGAGAGGGCTGATTTAGATGTTTCACTGGAGGAGCTCGAGTCCATCATGTCTGAAGACATGGATGAACCCATGCAACCTGCGGCCAGTAAGAAACAACGTTTGGGTCAAGGAGAGAGCAGCACTGTCAGTAAGGGGCGGAACCCAAAGCAGTACCATAACACTACATCCAGCATCCAGCAGAGGGTAGAGCAGCAAAGCATAGCCAGTAAGAGCCAGAACCTGGAACAGGACGTGCCTGGTAGAGCCAATAAACACCAGAACTCTGAGAGGAAGCCACCGGGATCCAGTAGAGCAGCAGATTTGGAGCAGGACCAGCACAGTTCAGCGCATAGGAAGGATAGATCTGAATCTGACGATGTTAAAGAAGAGGAAGTGTCCTTTGTTGTGGTGAGTTCAAACTTTTATTTACTATTTTTGACATTTTGAAGCTTGATGGGATGGATCAGGGCTCCAGACTAACTTTATTCCAGAATTGAGATTGGCATCTTAAGTAATTGCAATCATCTCAATAATTTTCCGCAGCCCATTAGATTTCACGGTCATGACGCTGCAGCAAGTAAAATGTGAATTGGGTGTGTTGGGCAAAATAGAGGCAAATAAATGTACATAAAAGCAAGCAGTAAAAGTGCTTGTTGTGTAGCTAAGGCTAATGTTTTTAGCATGGATGTATGCAGTTTTTGCTTGTATTTCTACTGTGAAGGAAAAAATGTAGGCTTTGCTCGACTCTACATAATTTTGTGTAACTGTAGACATTTGTGAGTGTGAGCAACAGCATCATGTATCATTTTCACAGTACAACCAGTTAGTTAATAAGTAAACCCAGCTAGTAAGCATGAAGGCTTATAAGCTAATTTTGCCACTTTAGGCAATAAAAGACAATTAAATCGTTAATCACAGTTATTTATATGACAGTCAAAGCAGTACCGCCATTGCCCACTGGGGGGTTATGACCCACAGGTTGAAAACCACTGGTGTAGAGAAATGACTACATATATGTGAATGCTATAGTGCAATTTTATTTTGTAAATTATACATTTTTCCTAAATCATTGTAATTGACAGTGAATTGCCTTGTACTAAAATTTGCCGTAATCTTTTCTGTACCTATGATCTTAATGTTAAGATGTCTGATTTACATTTAGGCATCTGAGGCCCTTAATGGCTTTGCCAAGCACAGTGAGGTGACTGCGGTCAAGCAGGAACCCAAGGTGGGTTTTTCTAATGCAGTAAGACAACACAGGAGTTAATATAATGAAGCAGTTAAAATGCCTCTGTACAGCATTTTCAATATGTATTCATTACTGCTTGTTATGTTGTAATATTATACTGAAGTCTGCTGTTTGTAGGGCTCAAGCTCAGTGTCTGCTTCAGAAAATGACTCCGAGCTTCCCCAGAGACTCTTGCAAGTTCAGTTTAAGTGTCTCACTGTGAACGCTCCGTCCAGAACGAGGCCCGACCCACTACAGAGCCGCGATCCCAATGGGAAGAACTTTAAGCGCTTCCGCAAGGTCAGGCATGGAATAATGGGTCAGATTATGGTTCATGTAATGAACTGATAAATCTTTTAAAAAAGATTTAAAGATAACTGTTTGTGTATATTTGTGTGTGTACATGTTGGTTAGGCACCTGTTCCTGGACTTCATGGTTTGCCCAACATCATCGGCGGCTCAGATCTGGTGGCTCATAATCGGAGCAAAAACACAGAACTTGAGGAGTGGCTGAGAGATGCAGCAGAGGTGAGAGAGTGCAGGAGGCAGAGAAGGAGCGGGAAATGGAGAATGTTGACTCCACTGAAATATTTCAGTGTGCCATTTAGGGCCCAAATGATACACATCGTGTCATTATTAGGGTGTCTCAAATTTATTGTCATATTTGCAAATATCATCAATAGAGCACAGAAAACGTCTCTTTAAATGTTCTGCAAGTTCGCGCACTTCTAGCAAAACAGTGACGTTTTGTTGATTTTCTAAGTGAAAATAAGTTAACATATACTCTACAGAGCCTAAACCTAAATATTTTTGCTGTCCAAAGAAAAACGTGTATCTTTAAAACAGCAGTTTCACAGGAGAAGGTAAAAACATTCTGACCTCTTAATGTATGTTGATGTAAAGAGGTTTTATTATAAGTAATTTTGGAGCGTTTCTATTGGTGTATTCTATTGCTGTGTTCAAATGATGTAGAAATACACATTCAGTAATGTGGTGCCAAAGTAATCTCCAATGAAATCACTTCCTTTCAGGAGGAGAAACGGCAAGAGCGAGAAGAGACTCTTGGGGATGATCTGTTCAGGTATGAATTCTTCCTTCATATACATTAATTGCAAATACTTCTTCTTTTTTTTTTTTTTTAAGTAAAAACAAATAAAGCTTCCTAAGTGGTTCTAATCTTGAGAAGTGGTACAGAACCTTTACTTTATATGGAGGGTTTTTTAACCCTTTAAACAGTCAGGTCCTATTGGCAGGTCCAAACTTTCATTATACACTTGTAACACGTTCCTGAGGGGTGGCATTCGTAATGCTTCATGACACCTACATAATTCTTTTGTGACAAGTGACATAAACTTACCTTCACGTTTACAAAGGCCTATTTTAAAAGATTATCATTTGCCATAAAGGCTGCTTTAATAAATTTCACCCCAGAGCGTTATGACAACTTGTTAGAAAAAGCCATTTTAAATGTTTATATAGGTTGTCATGAAAGGCTTATGTAGATGCCATGTAGTCTTATGAATGCTGCCAGACAGTGAAGAGTTACCTGTACTTTTGTAACTTAGACTATAATGCAAACTTTTCCTATGTTTTTACTGAATACTATTAGGAAGTAAGCTTGGGATTTGAAGGGGTTAATGTTCCAAAGGTTCTTCACACTCTTCAAAAACTCGTTGGCCCTTATTCTTCAAAGTTGTGTAAAAATAAGCACAAATTTGACCACCTTTAATGACATACAAACTGCTCTGCCTCTGATTGATGAAACCTTTGTACGGCGTGTAAGCGAGCAGAGATTTGACGAATCGGCTTCAGTGCGTGAAATCAAGCATCTATTCGTGTAGATGTTTCCGTAGGGAGCCAATAAACTGACAACATTTAGAGGCTCATGCGCCAGTGGCTTTGCTCATAGGTGGTCACTGGTCCCCCCACTGAACAAAGCGTATAGTTTTAAAATTACGACGAAATAAACAAAATGGTTTAGTTTTTTTATATGGTAGACTGATGTGTTTGTGTAGTGTGATTGTTTTTTCTAAAATAGCATTTAATTGTTGTATTATTGCAGTATAAGAGATGCTTCTGCACCAGCTATGTTTTGTATTGTTTATTTTCTGAGCAGTGTCAGTAGCATAAAACGAAAGCACAGCGTAACATGTCTTCAAGTGAAACAAAGAGCATTTGTTTATACCAGTGTGCATGTAAGTACATCCATTTTTGTACTGGATTTCCATGAGTGCAAATAATTACTATTATTGTTTATTTCATATCATTGGTATTATAGAGGGAGATTCACTCGAAAGAGGCCCTGAATATTCTGTTGTAACTCTCGTTATGATGAAGCAATCTGAACCAAAAAAATACGCTACATACCTTGACGTATGTGTAATCGATTGCATTATATGCGATGCTGGAAGTGATCTCCGTTTTCTGCCAGACACATCAAGGGGTACGGGGGTAGGCACCCGGAAGTTGCAAACAGAGGTTAAACCTCGCGACGGCTGTCCGGCGCCTACCTCATCGCTCCGACGCAGGGGCATCCCGTCTTGTTTGAAGCTCCATGTACTGAGGAGCACATTGCACGTTGTTTCGTCCAGATTGCTTCATCCTAGCGCGAGTTATTACAGAATATTTGGGGCCTCTTTCGAGTGAATCTCCCTGATGCTAATAGTTTGGGTTAGCTAACTGCAAGATAAGCATTTATTTCAGGTTGATTAAATTGATGGGTGAAATTTGCATTTGCTTATTTTACAGTCAGATTTGACTGTACGCAACTTTGATGAATAAGGGCCACAAACCCAAACATTGTTACAAATGGATATACAGCATTTTGGAATGAAATTCTTCATTTATAAAAGTGTTTTTGTTTTGTTCAAATGCTATTTTTACTGTGGCAGTTGCAGACAATTGATTGATGCTATGAAAAGTTGCAGTTGTGCTGTCCGTTTTATCTTAGCACGGCAATTATTGCTCGCTAGCAGCCCAACGCAGAGTCACAGAGAGCCAGCAGTGTTCCGGTTAATCCGAATTAGAAGGAAAAGTGTTTTATTTGATTATTTTAATTAGAAATATCCGAACCGGTCCTGCAGAGTAAGGCTACAGAGCCATTCATTTAAAGTGCTTCAGCAAACCAAAAGCGGTTGTTTTATGGCATTGATCCAAGGAACCCTTTTTGGCACCTTTATTTGCACACAGTCATGCATGCCAGCCCCAGCAGACTTAGCAAACACATTTGCGCCACTCGCTGCCCCTTGACCCCAGCAAATCAAGGTGGCTCACCCAGAGACAATAAGCTGTCACAGCACACTGAGGGCCAAAGCCTGGGAGACTGCTGCTTTTGTTAGGCTACAGTGCAGAAGCAAAGCCCGGCTCAGACACTAGGATGCTATGACGCACAGAGCCAGGGGACGGTGAAAAGCCCAGGGAAAGTTCAGCCGGAAATTGTATGTCAACACACAACCACCACTCATACCCTCTTAGCTTTTAGCTGCTGTTAAATAACTTTGTTTAAGTAGCATGAATTTCTGCTAGTGTCAGTTTTTCTGAATGTAAAACCATGTTGTGCTCTGAGAAACACATTCATTTTACTTGCATGCTGGATAGAAACATTCTTTTTACAGCGACCAGCCACTTCATGAAGTCTTCCTCCTTGTTTTTACACTCATTGTTAAGGGGTGGGAATCACTAGGCTCCTCACAATTCGATTCGATTACGATTCAGAGGCTGCGATGCAATTATAAAACGATTATTGATGCATCTTGATGCATCTTTTTTTTTATATACAGGATTTGTATTTTCTCTCTGTGTGAGGACTTGGTACTTTCAAAGCACAGTATTTGTAATGATCCATAATGCATTTCCTTCCAGTATCTTTTAGTAATAAAACAAATGGAAGTGATGAGGCAAGTGAACTGGAAGGCTCTCATTCACTGCTCTTGTTTGGAGGACATGAGACGCTGCTGCCACTCATCTGTGATAAAATGCAGTTACGGTGAAATAAGACTCTGTGGCAATGGATGTCCACGCAGCACATGTTTGGTTTTGGTCTCGTGGTAGAGAGTGGGGGGTCGCTGTGTCAGTAAAATATCTTCGAGACAGGGCGCTGTGCCTCGGCTCCAGAGTGTGCAACATAGCACGAAAGCCCTGGTTCTCAACGACTGAGAACGGACGCATATTCTTGGCAATAAAAGTTGTGATATTATAGTATTTTATATATATTTTTTAATATTTTAGTTTAGTGTGGCTCTGGTGTGCAGACTGCAGGTCACCTAGCAAAGCAGTCTTGCCTAGCTAGTAGCTAACGAAAAGGCAAAGAGAGAGATTTAAGACGAACATCTGGAGATGAATCGACTTATTTGCATTTATAAGCAACACAGTTGGTTTTCTGGTTAAATTAAACGTTAAATCTGCAATGAGAGACTGTCAAACACTAAAAAGTTGCGAGGCTGAAGTCAGCTTCTCTTTCGAATTGTCCTGGCCCACCTTAAATGGTGCCGCATTTACATTCTGGCGCCTCAGGCAGAATTTAATGTGGAACGGGAAAATTCAAACAAGAAGCTGGCGAATAAGAAGCAACTTCAGCCTCATAAAACAGACAAACGTTGGGAGACATTTTACAAGAAACTACTTTTGAGGAAAAGTTTTCTGGTGGAGATTGGAGGAAAGCGGCTATAGCTGAAGCTTAAAGCAGAGCAAAGTAAGTCCGTGTTTTCGTTTATATTTTTAGGACATTATCACATACTGAAACATATTGGACATTAAATGTTGTGGCTCCCAAGGTGGTTTAATTTTTGTTGAAAGGACAAAATGGCTCTTCTTAACATTTGTGTTGTGACTCCTGACCTAACCTGGCTTTTAATGCAGAGGGAGCTGGTCGGATTTCTCGCTCATCCAGTTGGTGTTTTTGTTATGTGCCGCCACAGACTGTCCGGGCGCTGCACTTCCGCAGTTCCAAGTTCTGCCTTTTACGTTCTGTCAACATTACGTTATAAATTAAAATGTAGAAAATCGATTTTTGACATTTGTGAATCGATTCAGAATCGTCCACGTCCGCATCACGATGCATCTAAGAAACCTATTTTTCCCCCACCCCTACTCGTTGTCCATTTTATCAGCTTCACTTACCATATAGGAGCACTTAGTTCTACAATTACAGACTGTAGTCCATCCGCATACTTTGTTAGCCCCCTTTAACCCTGTTCTTTCATGGTCAGGACCCCACAGGACCACCACAGAGCAGGTATCATTTGGGTGGTGGATCATTCTCAGCACAGCAGTTTAGTGTGTGTTGTGCTGGCACGAGTGGATCAGACACAGAAGCGCTCCTGGAGTTTTTAAACACCTCAGTGTCTCTACTGGACTGAGTACCAAAAATATCCAGCTAAGAGCGTCCTGTGGGCAGCGTCCTGTGGGCAACGTCCTGTGACCACTGATGAAGTATGACCAACACAAACTGTGCAGTAACAGAGGAGCTACTGTCTCTGACTTCACATCTACAAGGTGGACCAACAAGTTAGGTGTTTCTAATAGAGTGGACAGTGAGTGGACGATTGTGTTTAAAAACTCCAGCAGCACTGCTGTCTGATCCACTCGTACCAGCACAACACACACTAACACCCCATCATCACGTCAGTGTCACTGCAGTGTGGAGTATGATTCACCACCTAAATAACACCTGCTCTGTGGTGGTCCTCTGGGGGTCCTGACTACTGCTCCTATATGGGAAGTGGAGCTGATAGAATGGACAAAGAGTGTAGATGTTTCTTAATGAAGTGCCTGGTCAGTGTATAATTAGTGAACAACAGAGAGGGAGTAGTGCACTGATACAGGGCTCTATTCTGAACAGTGCTCGAGTTTGTATGTGTAATGATTAGACTGCAGGTGCGCACAACTCCGGTCCCGGCTGTTTCCCTACTAAAACACACCCACCTAACCTGCCAATTAAAAGACCAGAGTAATCGGGTGTTTTTGAGGATTCAGTGCTTCCCAGGAGGTGTAGGAAATCATCATCGCATACAAAACTATTTGCTAGCAGGTACTAAAAAAATCTTTTTTTTTTTCTTCTCCATCCTCTTAGTTTCAGGCAGCAAGATTTAAAAATTTTGACTTAGTAGCTCAAAACAATGACTTATTTCCTCAAAACATTGAGGAAGGCTCTCAAATTCTTTACGTATTTTTTTCAAAATATTGACTTAATGTCTCTTGTCTCTGTACCTACAGATCAGATACTAAGTCAATATTTTGAGAAAACAACTCATTACTTTGAGATGCTAAGTTAATATTTTGAGAAGTCTGTACTAAGATACTAAGTCAGTTTAATGACGTACTAGAGTTTAATTGGCTGTTTTTTTCCTTCTTATACCTGGCGGAAATTAGCATTTATTTTGCTTGAATTTTATTCAACAGCTGGATGAATAGACAATGAAAGCAAAGTGCCAAACTTTTTTGGATTTTTGTGTTTGAAATTAGACCAGTGATTTTATTTTGGTTATGAAAACGAGTGCTTTATTAAATATTATTAAAGTCGATTGTAAATCAGTTGTTCACTGTACCACAATGTGTGCAGTTCACTCACCTCGCCATCATTTTACTTTTTTAGATATTTTTCTCACACATTTTTCGACTTTGAGCAGACGTTATGTAAGTAGTGTTTGAGCAAGGGACTGATGATGCTGCTGTTTTCACGAAGGCCACACTGAGGTCTTGCGTCACAGGCTGTCTGCTGGGAGAGAGAGGCAGAGCGTTAGACAGGGCGAGTGGAGGGAGCGAGTATGTTAAAGGGTGAGAGTTGTTGCCTGGAGACGGAATCCAGCTGAAGTGTAAGAGCTGCTTTAAAGTGCTGCCATTTCTCCTCACACACACAAACACGGCTCAGCCTGGCCATCAGCCTCTACAGACTGTTTGAACTCTGAATCTGGACACTTAGCCAATCAAGCATAGAGCGAGAGAGCATCACATGGAGAGAGGGACAAAAGTACATTCAAAATGACTTTCCCTCTCTCTCTCTCTCTCTCTCTCTCTCTCTCTCGCTTTTCACTCACTCTTTCTTTCTCTAACTATCTCTCCCTTCTTGCTTACCTCACACTCCCCCTTTCTCTCTTTTCTCTCCATCTGTCTTTGTCTTGCTTTCCACTCCCTCACTTTTTCCCTACATACTCTCTCTCTCTGTCTTCCGTCTTTTTCTCTCTCTTGTGCTGTCTTCTGCTCTTTCTTGCGCTCTCTCTTTTTCGCTCTCGCTCTTCCTTTTGCTCTTGCATTCGCTCTTTCTTGCTCTCTGTTTAGGGCTCTCACTTTCTTTCTCTCTTGCGCTGTCTTTCTATTTCTCTTAATTTCTCTTAATAATGTTTCTCTTCTTCCTCTCTCAGTTTCTCTCTCTCTGTCTTTTTCTCTTTTTCTCTCTCTTTTTCTTTCTTTCTTTCTCTCTCTCTCTCTCTTTCTCTCTTTCTCTCTCTCTGTCTTTTTCTCTTTTTCTCTCTCTCTCTCTCTCTCTCTCTCTGTCTGCTCCCTCTTGGTGTCCCAGACGTGTTTTATTGAAGGGAAGTTTGGTTTGATGAGTTTTAAACAATGCCTAACATTTACGGCTAATAGTTCGTATCAGTTCAGATTTCCACATTGGTAACGAAACGTCGTCATAAAGCTGGAATGTTTACAGCTTGATTGCTGAGCTTGGTTTGAGCTTTTTAACTCTAAACCTCAGGATGTCTTTCCCTTTTTGTCTATAGGTACAATCCAAAGCCTTCTAAAAGAAGATGAGAGGTAACTCATGGACCTGGACTCTTTATGGTATTCTTAATGATCTGCACGTTCAAGAAGATTTCACAGTTTTCTACAGGTTTTGCTTGTTCTTGTAAGTTTTGAGCAACTCACCAAATTTCCGTCCCGCACTTGTTCTGGATTATTGCAGCGTTCCAAAAGTAGGCCTCAAGTATGTTGTCTGTTTATGTTCAGTTATAAACTTAAAGGTAGAATAAGTGCCATTTTCATTTGAAGTCACTCATTACTGCTGGTCACATGGCTCACTAAATCATGAACTGCGACAAGACTTTAATTTTTATCTGGCATCTTTTTACAAATACTACTTTTACAACAACTACTTTTTCACTATGTTTAAAAAAAGAATTGGATATCTTTTGTCATCAGTTTTGTCATCATTACATGCTGTTGGAAATGTCTTTGTTGGATACAGTAGTTCTTCCCTGATGTTTTCTTAAATGTGAGATGTGTCAGAGAAGAATATACATTAGTTTTTTAAACATAACAAGCACCTGAATACATACACTCATGTTCAAGTTTTTGGAATCTTTGCTGTATTAACAATTTTTGTGCTTTAATATACAATAATATATGATGAGAGTTTAAATATTACAGACAAAAAATTACAAAATTGAATTTTTTGATGTTGCATTCATTATTTCAAGAATTTGGTGAACAAGAATAAGTGATAATGTACTGTAGTGATTGTTTGCATTAATTTTTGTCAAGTAAACTGCCTTTAGATTTGATCTCCACGTTTGAAATATGATGAATTCTGGATTCATGATGTTACCTTCTTTCTCGGTTCTTCTACAATCTTCCACAGCTACGTTCATCATTCTGATCATCTGAAATGTCTTGATTTTCATTGACAGCTTCCAACTAATTTTGTTAAACTGTGGTTGTACAGGTCTAACATATTACAATCAAATTATACACTTTGATTCCAAACTTTTGGACAGCCGTGTACGTTTCAGTGCAGTCTGTTAAAGGGGAATTCAACCAATTTTAAATAATGTCCGTGTAATTCAATCATTGGGATGCAAACAGTGTCGTTCAGAAAGGTTTGGACTCTGAACTATTTTGTCCCATATAAATTTATTTAAAAACATACAATTTAGGCCAAAAGCTAATCAAAACCTCATCTCAGACATAAGACAGCATGTTCATAACCATTTCATGTAATAGCTGTCTGGTAGGTAGTTTTTAAAAAACTTTAATTTTTTTTGTGCTTTTGCCCTAGAACACCCAGTATGAACCTCTCTGACATGATTACATTAAAAAGAAAGCAAAAATGGCAAATGGCATCTAGAGAAACTTAGCAGTCAAATGTAAACCACTGTAAATATTTGATGGCTAAGTTTCTCTAGAACAGAGCATTTCCCATCAAACATTACATTTTAACTAATTATGTAGACAAGTTTTGAAAAATGGGTTGATTTACTCTTTAAACATGTATGAAATATTCATAAAGTGCATAAGTAACAAAATAAAGCCTTAACATATCTCTTAGAGGCCAAGCTAGTAGCTAGTCATGTTTTCAAATGACCAGGTGGAGGCCTATCATCCTGGATTTCATGGAAAAGCTACTTATTGTACCTTTTAAGTTTATGGTGTTTACAAGGTTCACTGATGGCAAACAATGTAACAGAGTATTTTAAAAAGTTTTATTTGTCCATAATAAAAAATACTGTGTACAAAACACGTATTAAAACCTCATTTTCATTTTACAAGGTCGAGTAGTCACATTCACCAGCTTGCAACTTCAGAATGCAGTCAAGTTTAGAAGAGCCATCAAGCGGGGAAGCTGCATCATGCTCATTTCCTTGGTTCACTCACTAACCTGTTCCTGTATAACTTTCTTACAAGTCTACTAGAATGTGTTTGATTTATGGGTTATTATTTTGGCAAGAATACCACTGTACCTATGAATTCTCTGGTGCTACATACCTTACCTACTATTAGTACAGACATAAGTAAGATAACTTACAGTACAGAATAGAATTCAAAGTTAACATTTAAGTAAAATCAAAAATGTTATTCTTTCAGAACTTTTTTCACAGCTTTGTTAAAATTTGGCAAACAAAGAAGCTTGAGGTGAATAGGTTTTCTGAGTTAATGGATTTGCTCAGGCATAACAATTATTGGCATCAAAAACTAGAGTCACTGGAGCACTTCTATGGAAGAGCTATCATGCAAGGTACGTGTCCACTCATGTCCAGTGGTGAAGATTAACATTCAATTGGGGATTATAAGGATTTTCTGGGTTATGTTCCTCTGTTAAGGCCCACATTTCCCTACACTTTGCATAGAAATCTCTGTAAACGCCCATAAAAAGCAAGGACCTCATAAAGGAAGGCTGCAGACAACCATGGTTTCAATTTGCTGCATCCATTTTAGTTAATCAATCTTCTTTCTCTGCTCTTGCCTTAGTAGTAGTTACTTTAAAGATAAGTACTTATAAGAGGTCGACACCTCTGTAAGTGCAAGAATTTATTACCTTATCAAACCACAATTGCCAGTTTGTTATCTACCTTGTACACCACATGTGTCAGGCTCCAGTCCTTGTGGGACAAAGCACTGCAGACTTCAGCAGACTGATTCAGCTCATCAGCTAATGCATTAACGGAATTCGGAATAAACGCTGATCTCCGCAGCACTTTGACCCAGAAGGTCCCCGGTTTGACATACCTGTTAAACACTCATTGACCATTTCATCAGGTATACCTACCGTATCCAGTACTGTTCATTGGCAGTCAACAGGACCATTAAGTACATGCATTCAGTTTTCAGTGTCAAGATTATGTATTTGACAGAAAATCAAATGGCCAATGGGTGTAGGTGCAAGGTAGGTTTACTTAATAAACAGACAACTCACTAATCTGAAGACATTAAAGTCTGCTGTTCAGACCGATTGAAACTGAGTGAAATGGCTGTGAGTGGAGAAGAGTTGTGCATTGCTCATTCAAAATGCTACCTTTTTCACCATTGTCCCCTTTTATATTGAGGTTGGCTCTTCTTAAAAGCAGGGATCCAAGAAGAGGAAGATGTTTAAAACGTTTTGTAGTGGGGCGCTAGCTGTTCAAAATGCGCATTAGTTGCTACCTAATTTCTTTGAGAAAATGTTTATCTTCACTATGCAGACCCTCCTGATTGTGCGTTTTGTTTTAGTTCTTGAATCTTCTCCAGGCTGAGTCTAGACAAAAGTAACAATAATAATTCTGTGCAATTTCTTACAACCTCCAGACAAGACAAGGGATTTGGCCATAAAGCTTTGTACATCAGCCATGCCATCTTATCACTAGTGCTTTGTAAGTTTTGCTCTTTTGCACAGCTTAGTGCACTTATTCACAGCGAAAATGGAATGGGTCGGGAGTGTCGCTGTCTGCCCAGTCATGTCAGAGAAAGAAAAACATCACAATGTAAAAATAAGGCAATTTACAGTATGTGCAGCATCACAAAAGAAAAAAAAACCCAACCTGAACAATCTACTCGTTTGTAGATGAAATACAAATTATGAAATATTGGCACATTACTCCTGTATCCTGCACTGTCATTTTTTCAAGACAGTAGAAAAGGACATGGTTTATATTTTCCTATCTTATACTCATTTGTATACTTTTAAAAATAGTAAGAAAGCTGAAGAGTTAAAAAATATATGTATCCACTGCATACATGTAAAAATAATTTGCCCATTCCATTCTGCAGAATTTTCTCAGACAAATCCCCCTCCTCCTCTATCACCTCGCCCAACCCTTCCACACCCTCCTTTGTCAGCAATCAATTTCCCTTTCTTTTTCATTTGTTTTAGTCTTTTGAGCAGGCAGCTGGCAATTCCCAGAGCACCCCCCTTCAGGAAGCGCACAAAATTGTCCCCTACTAGGGGACCCATGGCAAACAGTCCTGGCTCAGCACTGCACTCAAATGTGTAAGGGTTTATGTCCACAGGGTTCTGCCTGCAGGAGATGGGCCTGCTGGGGTCCAAGCCCAAGTACTGACCTTGCTCCTTTAAGAAGAACAGGTTGGGATAGGTTCCGATCAGAACCAACACCATCGAGACTTTGAAGGCTCTCAGAACGCCGTTGGATCCTCTCAGTATACAGCGCATGTCAGGCTGGAAAGAAAGTACGCAGTGCTCAGGAAAGCTGGTGTAGTCTGGGAACAGTGCTGAGGAAGCACTTGGGACTGCGGGATTGACGCCACAGTTGGCAATGTGGGGTGCTGAGTGGGTCTGAGAACACATCATGTGGTAGACCTTGTGATACTCAGGGTACAGCGTCTTTGGTAGCTGTTTGAAGATGAGGCTGGGGTCATCGGCTCGCTTGCGAAAGGCATGCAGCACTGAGATGCTGTGGTTGTAGGCACACAGCACTGCATCAGCGGCACTAAGGCCTGCCCCCACCACCAACACTGGGTCAGACGCAGGGCCCAAGTTGCCATTGCGGTTGACTGCTACTCCAAGGTCACGCACACTGTGGAACACGTAAGGAAGATCCTCCCCTTCCACACCCAGACGAGCTGGCGAGTCATACGCCCCTGTCGCCAAGACAATGTTCTCAGCAAACAAACAGAAAGGGATATGTGTATCGTCCTGGAGCTGCTGGTAGCCCCTGACCTCCCACAGTCCCTGCAAGAGCCCCTGAGGTATGCCATTCTCTCTCACACCCTCAATGCCCCTCTTCCTCCTGTTCTCCTCTTCTCCTGTGTTACCTCTTCCACAACCGTTTTCTGTGCCGTTCTGGAAGCCATTACTGAACCCATTTTCCCTTCCATTGTGGCTGTCTTCTGTTCCATCAAACCCATTTTCTGTTCCATTCATCTGACCATTCTTGCTGCCATTTTCAGTCCCATTCTCTTTCCCAAGGTTGCTGTCTTGACCACGGTGGAGTTTCTGAACGGAGGTGACATAGGTGTTGTCTATGAAGTTCTTCTGGAGACCCATGAGCTTCACGTAATTCTTATAATAGGAAGAGATCTCCTCGGGAGTGGCCCGGTCATTGGTCATGCTCCTACGGGAAACACCACATCAGCAAGTCCTTCTGAATACTGTCACTCTGAAATTAGATCACATTTACTATCTCTATTCTTGGAAAATACATCACCACAACCCTAACATATCAACCCAACAGCTTATTGACTAAGAAAAAACACTCCAGTATGAACTCTCAAGTTAGCGATGAAGTCATTTGCTTTTCTTTAGATGTTAAAAATCTAGAATCATACCAGTTTGTAATTAGTAAATTTGTTCTTCTGGCCCAAGTGCATACCTCCTCTTGCCAGGAGTAATGTCCCTGTAGTTGACTCCTGGAAGCTCCATCCAAGTGCCCAGACTAATGGTCAGCATAGATCCTTCCATTGCCTTGATCAAAAAGGGAGGCAGAAAGTACAAGTATGAATGTAACCCAGCTCTTCCTGGATCAACTGCTAAACTTCTAACCTCAACAACCACAAAAGATAAAACTGTAAGTAGAAGTAAGAAATATTTTTTGGTGAATCAGATATGGCTGTTAGAACTCATCACTGATGTTGGCACAACAAGCTTGGACGAAGAAGAAGACACTCACATGCCAGGCGCCACCTGGTGTGGCTTTGCCCAGGACCAGGTGCGGGATGTGATGATGCTTCTCCAGCCTCCACAGCAACACCGGTGGGAACTCAAAGCCCAAGTCTGCATTTGGGTGAAGAAGCGTATCGAAGAGTACTGCCACTGGGTTCCCTGAACGGCCCTCTAAACCCTCACACAGGTACTCCAAGTTCTGCACACCCAACACAAACACACACGTTTAAATGACAATCTCATTCCACCTATTCCAACTACATCTCTTAAGCTTCCACACGTGGTAGTATCCCGGTTGATACCTGTTGGTAAATTCATAAAGGATCCAGAGTTTATTAATGACTAACTTACCTGCTCGGTAATGGGCAAATGCTTGGCCTCCTGTAGCTTGTGGTAAAGGATGGGGTTCGGATGCATGGCTGCCGGATCTAAATAGGGCGTGTACCCGCTTAGGAGATATGACAGGCAGATACCTGAGGGACCGTTACCTGAGGATGCATAATCATTCTGGGTCATTCCTGAATCCAAGTTTGGGGAAAGAGTTTTATGGTAAGGCTAGTATGGAATGTATTTGTATAACATATTGATGGAACTCACCAATGATGACCACTGGGACAGTTGGAGGACAGTCTCTGGGCAGAGCACTTTCATCCAGAAGAGGCATGGTGACAGCCAGAGCTGGCACTGTAAGAACAAGATCTCTATTACAGTTTTATCTTTTATAATCCAATTCAAACTTAATTCTGAAGTTTGCTTTTATGTGTGTAGCATGCAGTGGTCAACAGAAAGTGGTGTACACATGATCCCGAGACTAGTTTCGTAATTCAAGGGTGAAAAAGCTGTTGGACATTTGTCTATGTTATGTACTTTATTGGTCCTACAAGTGAAATTTGTCATTTTGCTGCGTAGCTAGGCCCAATCTGGGAGCTGCACAGCATCGCCAGCAGAGCAGCGCCACCTGGGGCAGTGGGGGGGTTAAGTGCCTTGGCCAAGGGCACAACCAGGTATACCTAGACAGTTGCGGGATTTGAACCTGCAACCTTCCGGTTGATGGTTCTCCTCACCTACCACCAGGCTACCGGTCACTCTGCTGCTCAGTTGTTTTTCACCATCTGCATAGTTATTTCATATAGGGATGGAATTTACTGTTTCTAACCAACTCACATGGGATACAAAATCGCTGTATGAATCCACTCAATTTATGTATTGTGGTCACACCAAAAAGGTTCCAAGCACAGAACTTGGGCTGTTCACAGCTTTTTCTGGAATGTGTTGCAGGCCTCACATTTGGAATTAGCATGTATTTACAAAAATCAATAAAGTTGATAAGATAGAATATCAAATGTCTCTTATTTATGCTGCTCTTCATTCAATGCTATAAATATACTAAGTGCATAAATTACTTTTCTGTTTTTATTTGCATTTTGCCTACTTTCCCTCTGTTGTCTGTAGATCAACCAGAGGGGACCATCAAAATAAAGTGTGACCAAAGCCCCTGTAATCTTTACAGACACGAAAATGCTCAGTCTGCAAAAAGTGGTGGGAATAATTACATTACTGCCTCTCCTCTACTAGTCCTGTCTGGTAATTAAGATTGTAAACAATTGTAATTCATTAATTTATCTAATTACTAAATACCCTCAAATATTAAAGTTGTTACTCTGCACTAAAACCTCACAGTCAGTTTCTTTTCAGCTCTCCATGACCATGACAGCAAAACTGTGTCACAGGCACCATGGGAAGATACTATTCTTAGAATAGGATGTTCTACTATTTTATTTCTTTTTTGCCCCAGCTTTTGCATTGACAAAACAGTGTTTTGCGATCTATTGCACCGCCGTAAAAAGCAGATGAATCAGGTGGAGTTAACACTGACCTGCCGCAAATTCGCAGAAGACATTTACATGGAAGAACCTGGAGAAACATGTTTTTGAAGCTCAAATTGATTTGTTTAGACTTGACATGCTCTACAGTTAGTAAACAATGACATAACCCCTAACCTAGACCTCATATGTCAAAGGAATCTGACTCGTATAACATTCTTATTGAGAAGAAGTGTTTTAGAGTGAAGTTGATGTAAAGACAAAAAATGGTACCCAGTAAAGATAGGCCAAAACCACTGGGTACATTTGGTACTGGGTGGTATTGATGCAATCCAGTATCATTCAGTAACCCTAACCTTAACCTTTTCAACTCCTTGAGACCACCGGTGGTTCCAAAACGCACTTCGTCTTATTCTTCATAACTTTCATATTTCATAAGCTACAAAAGGTGGGTGTCATATGAGAGCTGTAACTGTCTTCTTTCCAGTCAAATAGATGGGTGATGTCATTTTAAACCCTTATAATAAAAGAAGCTGAACTACTGAAAGTCGACCCATTTTTCCACAAATCTGGGCTATAAACTATAAACAGATGGCGTCTCTTCAGTGATCTGCTCTGTAAAAATTATTTTTATAAAATAATACAAAGAGCGTTTTTGGCTTTCAGCAGTAAATTGTAAGCATATAGCAATATGTGTGATCATAAAACACATGTTCTGTTAATTTGAGGGAAACTTGTACCAAAAAATAAATCAAATAAAAATGTACATTTATTTCATGCAGTTACTGAATAATTTGCCTTATGATTTGGTCGTGTAAATTCAGATGGAAAAGCCAAAATATACCCTGGTGGACCTAACCTAACACTGTTTTCCAATAAATAATGCATGGTACTGCCACTCAGCAGAACATGGATGAAGGAGCTTGAAAAGATCTTCAGATGTAATGATTTGTCTCTGCAAACAAAGATCAGAAATGTCCAGGCTGTGGTCTTCCCTGTGGTTCTTTATGGATATGAAAGCTGGACAACAAAAAAGGGAGACAGAAAAAAACAGATGCCTTTGAACTCTGGTGTTGGTGAAGACTTTTGAGAGCGCCTTGGGCAACAAGGTAAACAAACAAATGGATCTTGGACAAATGGACCAAATCAACCCTCACCTCTCACTTGAAGCCCAGAAAAAAGAGGAAGAGGACGAGCAGCTATAAAATGGATAGACATAATCAGAGGAATCATGAACCAGCCATTCAGAAGCCAGTGACATTCTGAAGGAACACTATCCATACAGCTGCCAGGAGTCAGAAACAACTTGATGGCACTTTCATTAGCTTAGAATGAGCCCTTCATATCTGTAACCAAACACTGGTTCTAGAGCCCCCTAGTGGTCCACGGGCCTGTACTCAGAGGGAGGCAGTAATTCGATTTGGTAGCGTCACTGTAAGTCATAAAAACGTAAGTGGAAAAATTATTCATTTCCTTATTAAAAATGTAAGAATTAAACGTTTTCACAGTATAACCAATGTAAATATTAATAGAGACATACAAATAAAAACATTGCAGTAGTGGCTAATTAAACACCATCAGTCTGAGGCAGCGCAGAGGTGGGCGCGCAATACAGACAGCAAGTCAGAGATGGAGTTTCTCAGTGCGCTTTGTTTGGTGAGGACTTATCACGCCTTTTTCTTTAGTTCGCTCTGTTTTGACACGTGTCAACACTACACCGGTATTCGGGTCTGCAACAAATGGCTGTACCGGTCTGGCATAAACTGCAGGTCTCGGTCCGCTTCAAACCGATCCCTGTTCAGTTCACTGCTGATGGAAACGTGCTCTGTGGTCTAACGATGGAATTCATCAGTAGATCTGGCTTTCTTTCTCCTCTAGCGGCACGACAGCGCCGTACAGTCAGCATAACGACTATTTTAACGACTGACTGTTTAGACATTGAGCACAATCTGCTGTTAAAAACAATAGACGAGCCATAAAATATTAGAGAAGAGAGGCGTTTGATTTCATCTAATGGATTACAGAGTGTATATTTGGTCGAGCATCAGCAACCTGAGTGGTTAAACTCAAACTGATAAACCAGTGACAAAGAAGCAGATATCAAGTAAGATTTATCATTATTGTTAATGGTGACAACGCTAATCCAAAAGCCCAGAGAGTGGAGTGAGGTTCATTTCAAATAATCACAAAAACCCTCAAAACTAGAGACCAAACAATTAGTCCTTTGGAAAAGCCAGTGGAGGATTTTCAGTGAAAAAGCGATGGACTGCAGCTCCAAATCACATCTAACATGTACAATTTGATTTTTTTCTATTTCTTCTTCTTTTTCTTTTTTTCCCCCTTTTTGACATCACTACAACCATGTGGTTTATAAACGTTTCATGATTTTAACATAGCTGCAAATTTATAAACCTACTGACAACCAGAATGGCCAATCTGATCTTTTTCAGAACCCAATTTTCAGGTTTTCAGTGTCAGTACTTAAGAAAAGAAAAATAAAGTTGTATTTTAAAAAGTTTTTCTGTGGGCCGCTATGCTTTGTACTTAAACACAGGTGGGCCTTGGGGTGGAAAAGGTTGAGAACCTCTGCTCTAGAGAGTGCCTTTTGCGTTTTTACGTTGAAGCAGCAGTTTGAATTTGGTGGCACTATAGCACCGGTTACAAGACGCAGAAAGAAGACGTATCAGTGGTTGCTGCTGGTGCTGCGTTGTGAGAACTGAAATCTTGACCAATGGAGGATCATACTTATTATTTGGCACAAGAAAAAGCAAGGGAGGGTGAATGCTCATCGTCAAAGAAGCGAAAACATTCTACTAGGCGCTTGGAAAGGGAGGGGTATTTAGTTGGTTGCAATCTCCAACCTCACCACTAGATGCCACTAAATCTTACAGTGTATCTTTTAAAATTACACCAAAGGGTCGTTTACACAGCATTCTAAACATTAAACCAGGAAAAAAAGGTTTTAGCTAGTGATGCTGTGAATTTGTTTATTGCAGAAGTACGCCGGGCTTAAGGTACCATTTCTGAGCCATAGACACGTCAATAGCAGTAATATAAATATGCATTTAGCAGACTATGCTGGACGGGGCTCAAGGTGAACAACGAGCGATAAATGTTGGGTTCTTTCGAGATGAGACTTTACGTAGCAGTATGAGAGTAAGATGTTACATTTGCAGAGGAACCACTGACTGTATGCCAAGTTCAAAACACACTTTGCACTTTTGTATTCAGTGACCCTCTATACCTTAATTATGTTTATTTTATTCAAATAAATGACTGAACATTCAATTTTGTCACTAACAAAACAATCATAACACTACCGAAACTGTAGCGACTGTTTCAATAGTGACAACTTTAACTCCTTTTGAGCAGAACTTAAAAAACGTTAGCCACAAACGCAGATTTGAACAGTTGTACAAATTTGTCACACAGGACACTGCAGAACGTGTGTTTCGGTAGTGACAGTCCTTATTGTAATGCAATTATTTTCAGATTATGTTTTTGTTGGCTGGTTCCTGTTGGCTGCCCTATATTGTGCCTCCTTCACGAAGCATTCCGGGCTGGAACATCCCTTATAACTTCAGCATGAATGGGTGGAGCTAAACTGCTGTATGTAAATGTATTGGTTGTGGTGACATCTTAGAAACAGTGAATGGAAAACAGGCTGTTTTTGCAGCTTGTTTTCCATTTCTGAACTGTATGGACTGGAGAACAAATAGTATATTTTGAAACTTCAGTGTTTGTTTTATATGGAAGTTTTATATATATATATATATATATATATATATATATATATATATATATATATAAATCACCCAGCACTAACTACAGTCCTCCCAAGCCTTTTTGCTTGGACCTACTGTGTTGCTGTGCACTACAACACTAGCGCCATTACAGTTCCCTGACAAAAAGCTAACTATTTATTTTTATTATCTATTTATCAGTTTTGATGGAGCAAGGCACCCCGTTATCTGAGCGTGCTCATTGTCCCGCCCTGTCGGCCACAAATCCCCCCTGATCACACCTCGGGTTGACTCGTAATCCGGGCCGCCCATGTTTATGTCTTTCTCTCCACGCTCAAAAGTGCGCTTGGCATGCTGACACTCGACACATAGTACCGCCCGTCCCGCCCTGTTTTTCTTTGACCCTGGCTGTTTACTCTTTTCAAAGAGAGGGCGCGGGATTCCAGGCATATTCAGGGGGTGAGTGCAGCGGGGCAGGGGTGTAGGGGGAGTGTTGGCAGATTTTGGAACTGGCATTTCCAGCCCACTGCCCCATTTTAACAGTCTCCTGACCACATTCAGAGGGGTTACTCACATGGGTGGGCCTGTCCTGTGTTTTTCACGGTCCTTTCTCTCAGACTCTTTTTTTTTTTTTATCTCCTCTCAAAAGAAAATGTAGAACAGGTCACCAAAACAACGTGCAGCCTCATAGTCTGTTATAACTTGTTTGTGCCACGCTGATGAACATCAGACATCGCTACTGTCGCAGTCATAACAAAAAGTCGCTCAAAAATATAAACGGAAATGAAAGCAGTCATTTCTATTGGCCCATTTGTTGCACAATATAAAGGGACTGCTGGCTTTTTTCAAATGGGCTATAAAAATAAAAATGTAAAAATGAGGCTTTGATTTGACAGCCAAGCACTGCATTTCCTAAAGTGTATACGATCTTTTAGTGCTTTTCTCCATCTGAGACCACCCTTGTTTCATCATTATCATTTACCTTTTGCCATAAAGTGTTATTCACTTTTCAAGAGATATTTCTGAGGAGATTAGATATAAGATAATCCACTAGCATGAGGAAAAATTATGAAAAGATACAAAGAAAATGGGACTCCTAACAACCATGCAAGACCTTGTAGACCACAAAACTGTCCCCAACAGATAAGCAGTACTTCTATCTTTGAGAAAGAGGAGAACGTCAAGCTCCACTCTTGCTTCAAATCTGAAAAAATCCACAGCCATCCTTCTACTGTGAGAAGACAGCGCTATGGGTCTGAAAGGATGTGTTGCTGTCAATTTCTCAGGCCCAAAAACAAGCCTGTCTAATAGGAGAAGAGCTAAGTGGTGGAACTCCCTGGTGTTCTCAGAACAACGGGCTGACCACCCCAGAGTCCAGACCTCAGCATCATTGAATATGTTTGCCGTTACGCAAAGCGTCAGAAGCAGAAAATGCTAAACCAGCTTCTGAGACTGAATTTTGGAGGTGTGGAAAAATAACCCTGCAGATTTCTTTGAGGAACTGAGAATGGAAGCTGTAATAAAGACACAGTAAATACTGAAAAAATGTTATTATATTTAGTTGTTGACCCTGAAAAATGAATAAACTGCCCTTAATGGCCATTTTAACTGGATAATAAGTGCATAAATAAATGAAGGGTCGCGTATGAAGAGACTTGTTTAGCTTCTTTTTTCATTCTGTCTGTATTGTTACAGCGCCAGACAGGCCTTTGTAGTTTTGGGGTGTGGATGGCTTGTATGTGAGGGAGACGGAGCGAGAGAGCTTTGTTTGCTTACGAGATTCACTGCTGGCAAGACTGTGTGTTTAATGACGGTGGGACGTTTGGCTGGATGGACTGTGTATGTATACACGCGTACACGTGTCTGTCTGGTGTGCTACAGGGGGCTACGTAACCCCTGAGTCGGGCAGTTTCACACAGACACCTTCAACATATGCATGAAAAAAGCTTTTCTAGTCTTTTAATAACAGTTACATAATGTAATGTTGACACGCTGTGAGTAGTTTTGGTGCTTGTAGTTCTCAAAAGTTAATAATGGCCTCTACAATCATAATTCAGGCCATATATAAAGTGCTCACTCCAAGAGTTTCACTGTATATAAGCATCAGCTCTCCAGCTAGCTTACATAATGCTTTGCTGTACCCATGAGCCGTGCAGTGCACATCTATGTTAAAGGGGAACTCCACCGATTTTTAAAAAATTCATAATTAAACGGCTGAGATGTAAACAAAGTCATTCAGAGTGGTTTGGTGTTCTGCTCTGCTGTAGAGAAACTTACAGAGTCAGAACTGTTCAGTGGTGGTGATAGGAACCAGACGTCCACCTCTAAAATCTCCCTCACATGAAGTTATTATATGAAGTTAGTTATATGCTGCCTGATATCTGACACATTGCTTTATGATAGTTTTGGTCAAGTTGGTCAAGTTTTGGCTTAAACTGTATTTTAATATTTTTGTGGCGGAGGGTTACATGCAGTTTTATGTTTTTAAGGCAAAACAGTCCCCAAAGGAAACTTAATTTTGTATGTGAACAGATTTTTGACTGTTTTCCCATCGTCAACATAAAAAAATCAGAACAGTTCACTGGTGGATTTGCATAGTAAATAAAATGGCTATATTTGTGTTATGGACATCATGACCCCTGGTTCCATTCACCACCACTGTGAAGAAAATCTGTAAGTTTCTCTTTAATGAGTCATTTCACACCAAACCACTCTGAGTGACTTTGTTTGCATCTCCACAACTGAATTAGGCCTAAATTTTGAAAAATGGGTGGAATTCCCCTTTAAATGCATGAGCAAAAGTTTGATGCTAATTCTGTACCCCCAGCCTTCAGATCGGATTTGTGCTGAGATGCACCTGACGTCCTCGCGCCCCCCAAGTCCCTCTATCGCCTCACGTTGCAATGGGAGCACCGTGCACGAGCGACTGCAACTTCAGTGTGCATAAAAAGCGGTGCAAGGCGACGGGCAGCGTGCTGGAGGAGGAAGAGGAGGAGGAGAAGGAGAAGGAGGGAGGGGGTATCAGAACGGCGCCCTACATCGCCCACGTCACGCGAAATCCACCGTCCACCTTTTTTAGGCGTGCGATTTAGGCCACAGCGCGCGTGCTCGTGCGTGGAGCGCCAACGGAGCTGCAAAAAAGCTGCGATCTGAGGGGCTGAAGAGGGTCTTACCTCCGCAGGAGAGGGCTTCAGGTTTGGCGAGCCGCGCGCGTCCAGGTTCCTTGGTCTCCTCGGCAGAGGCTGCAGGCTGCATAAATAGTCTCGTGTCACCGGTGGGAGGATCCCGGATGATGCTCTCGGCGCGCGCTAATGGTTTCACCCACCGTCCGGGGGTGGGGGTGGGGGGGTTAAGGAGGTTGGGGCTGATTTACGGGCACATAAGCTCGAGACAGTGACGAGAGCCGGACGGCATCGCACGCGCTCCACTGCCAGTCGCGCGCGCGCGCTCACACGCACGCATACGCACGCAAGAGGCGAAGGCGCGCACCCGAGCCCCGGATGCGCGGATGTGGGCCGCAAGTGCGAGACAGTAGTGGAGCAGGTCACTGAATGCTGACCATACAGGGTCATTTACAGTCTGTACAGTAGAGCTACAGTATGTAAGCCTGTTTCCGTCAATGGAGAAAAATATATAGACATTTAATCACAGTAATGAGAGTTTCTCATAATTATGACTTAATATCTCATAATTATGACTTGCAATCTTATAGTAATAACTTAATGTCTCATAATAAGGAATGTTTCTCATAATCCTGATTTACTGTCTCATAATATTTGCTTACTGTCTCATAATTATGACGTAATCTCATAATAATTACTAATTATCTTATAATAATGAAAACATTGTCTGTTATGAGAGTCATTAGAAAATTCTCATAACTATGAGATACTAAGTCATAATTATGACAGTCATAATTATGAGATATAAAGTCAGAATTATGAGATACTAAGCCATAATTGAGATGATAAATCGTAATTACGAGATTATAAATTATTATCATGACATATTAAGGGAATATTATGAGATTCTAATAATGATGAAATGCTAAGTTATAATTATGAAATGCAGAGTCATACTTATGAGATATTAAAGCTTAATTATGAGATTGAATCTCATTATTATGGGATACTAAGTCATAGTTCTGAGAAAATAAGTCAGTTATGACATGCCATGTCATATTTATGAGATATAAGGTCATGATAATGAAATTTTATCTCGTTATGATAAGAAAGTAAGACATAATTATGATATACTGCGTCATAATTATGAGATAGAAACATTATTATGAGATAGCAAGTAACAATTATGAGATGCTATGTAATAATAATAAGATACTAAGTCATAATTATAGAAAACCTTGTTATTATTATGACTTACTTAATGGCTATATGTCTTTTTTTCCCAGTGGCAGAAATGGGCTTCCATACTACAGTTAACTGATTTCTTTAAGTTGTTTTTTTTTTTTTTAAATAAATACTTCAAAAGGGGAATTCCACCAATTTTTCCAAAGTTTCTGCATATTAAATTGGATATGATGAAAGCAAAGTCATTCAGAGTGGTTTGGTGTGTAATGCTCCGTTCTAGAGAAACTTACCGAGCCAGAATTGATCACAGTGGTGGTGATAGGAAGGATTTGATGTCATTTAAAGCTACCCCAAAGATAGTTATCACATGAAATGCTTATTAATATGTGGCCTAATTCCTGAGACATCGTTTTACGATGGTTTTGAAATCAGGTTTTGGCCTGAAAGGTTTTTTGCTAAGGTATAACATATAACTGGATATTCGGTTAGCCACAGCAAAGGGAAAACAAAAGTACTTAAGCATAAATCCAAAATGAACACAGGGCTGGAGCTGGAGGCTTACTGTTTTAGGTGCTAGCACTGGTGTTAAAGGAGGCTAAAATATCAGTAGCACAAAAATTTAGCAGCACACAGGAGAAAACATTTGAAAACACATTTCATTATTCAAAAAAAGTCGAGTCTTCCTATTGACCAGCTTCTTATCAGAATTTTCCCATTCCACCTTAAATGATGCAGCAGTCACTCTCTGGTACCTGGATCTGCACCATTTAAGGCGGAATGGGAAAACTTGAACAAGAAGCTGGCCAATAGGAAGCCAACTTTAGCTCCGTCCTTCTTACTCTGCTTTGGGGGGGTTTATTTTATATTTATGTGTATTAAGATTAGAAGCAGTGGTGGACAGTAACGAAGTAAACATAATTGGTTACTGTACATAAGTAGTTTTTTTTTGTGTATCTGTACTTTACTGAAGTTTTTCCATTTTTGGTGACTTTTTACTTTCACTCCACTACATTTCAAAGTCAAATATCTTACTTTTTACTCCACTACATTATAAGAAATCTGTCGTTCCTTTTGGTTTATGTGTGTATAAAAACGTAACATGTCAAAACGAAAGAAGCACAAAGCAAACACACCAATCAGGGCACAGTGCGCACTTTGTTTTGAGTTTGTTTTGACCTGTTGGACATAACGACCCAGTGCAAGCATATGGTCAACGTCAGTGCAGCAGCGTAAAATTTTGGGAGTGTCTTTTCAACATAAATAATGGAAGAAACTCCCAACTCTAACCAAACTTTGTGTAAATAGACTACAATATAGAAATATGTCCACATATGCAGTTGTGACTGACGTGTCTTTTTTCTGAATTTATACAAACACTATTTCATTTTATAGTAAATTAGTTTTGGCTAGTTTATGTTTATGAACAGAGACCTACAGATGCAGTATAGTAAAGGAAAACTCATTTGTGAACCTGTGTTTAAAGCAAGTTTTTATTAAATTTATCATTTTTATTTAAACTAAGTTGCAATTAAATCTTAAACTGAAACACACTTCAGCACATTTTAATATGTAAGTAGAAATCGTGGACTAAAATTAGCAGAAAAATGCCATATTTAGGTCTGTTCTCTGTAGAGGATGTGTTCACTTACTTTCAGTTAGAAAATCAGCAGGACGTCTTTTGACCAAGGGTGTTTAAACTTTTGTAAACGTTGCACTGCAACATTTAACCACAAGGGGGCACAAAAGTATAATGTAACACAAGTATAAGAACAGTCTGGCCTGGCTGGGGGGCTGAGGGGAGAATCAACAAACATTCCACAACAAATGTTCATCCTCTGTGGTTCTAGCAAAACTTCTGTGGTTCGCTCGGTTTTAAAGCCTAAGGGAATATTTTGCTGTTGTCGGAAGAAAACCTCGTATCTCCATTTTTGTTGTTTTTCAGTTTTAGACATAATCTGAAAATGCCTGTTGCCCTTTACATTGTATGTAAATGTCATGAAGAGTGGACCAAAAGAAACGGCCCTAAATGACTTGGGAAAATGTCTGGTTCTATTGACTTACATTAGAACTAAAGTAGGTTTTTTCCTTCTCCTGTAAAGTTACCATTTTGGAGATACAAGGTTTTCTTCCGACCACAGCGATTTGTAACTAGGTGGTGTAGCTAGGTTGTTATGGGCCTAAGAGCATAACAGACTTTCAGTTAATAAAAAAGATATTGTTAATTTGCTTGTTCACTCGCTATTATGCCTCTGAAAGTGCATTCTCTCAAGGCATGTATGTCCACTCACTAACATCTAACGTTTACCTAAATGTTTACATGAGACTGCCTATTTGGATTGCTGTTATACAGTCATATATACAGTCACACAATCTTATTTATCTGTCTGACTGACTAAAGAAGATGATTACATAGATTACATAGATTGCTGTGTTATATAATATATATGTAGATAAAAAAAACACATATATTTGAATTTAATCATTTTGCAAGGTGCTTCCCTTGCGAAGTGATGCAATAGAGGACTTGGGCGGGCACGAGGACGTCAGATGCATCTTAGCACAAATCTGATTTGGAGGCTGTAGGTACAGAATTAACTGTTGATGTACACTCACCACCACCATTAAGTCAGCTAACTGGAGAGTTTATGCTTTTTGTATAATGAAATAGAGTTTAACCGAGTTGAAGTGAGTTTATTTGGGGAAAAAATGACTTCACAATCTCAAAGGCCTACTAACGTTTTCACTGATACAGGCCTGAATTATGGTTTATATAGTCAATTATTAACTTTTGAGAACTACAAGCACTAAAACTACTCACAGTGTGTCAACATTACATTATATAACTGTTATTAAAAGACTAGAAAAGCTTTTTTCATGCATATGTTGAAGGTGTCTGTGTGGAACTGCCTGACTCAGGGGTTACGTAGCCCCCTGTGGCACACCAGACAGACACGTGTACGCGTGTATACATACACAGTCCGTCCAGCCAAGCGTCCCACCGTCATCATTAAACACACAGTCTTACCAGCAGTGAATCTCATAAGCAAACAAAGCTCTCTCGCTCCGTCTCCCTCACATACAAGCCATCCACACCCCAAAACTACAAAGGCCTGTCTGGCGCTGTAACAATACAGACAGAATGAAAAAAGAAGCTACATAAGTCTCTTCATACGCGACCCTTCATTTATTTATGTTTGTTTCCAGTCAAAACAGCAATTATGTGAAATTTATTCAGTTTTTAGTGTCAGGAAAAAAGCAGAAAACATTTTTTAACAGAAAATTACACTGAAGACTCAACAATTAGATATAATATCAACTTGATATAGTATTTATTGGGCCGCTATTCTTTTCAGTGGACTCAGTTTCTCAAAGAAATCTGCAGGGATATTTTTTCACACCTCCAAAGTTCAGTCTTCGAAGCTGGTTTAGCATTTTCTGCCTTTCACAATCCAAGTAATCCCAAACTCATTCAGTAATATTGAGGTCTGGACTCTGGGGTGGTCAGTTCATTGTTCAGCTTCTTTGTTTGATGTGTCCGTCTCCTTTTTTCAGTGAAGCTTCTTAAAAGCTACACATCCTTTCGGACTCATAGCGCTGAGTTGTCTTCTCACAGTAGAAGGATGGACAGAAACACCTGTGGATGTTTTCAGATCTGAAGCAGCTTGATTTTCTCCTCTTTCTCAAAGATGAAAGCTTTAAGTGCTGTTTATCTGATGGGGACAGTGTTGGTGGTCTACCAGGAGTTGCAGGTGGTTGTTAAGAGTCCTATTTTCTCTGTGTCTTTGAATCACTTTTTGAACACTTTGTGAAAGACTGCACATTCAAATAGTGCAACAATTCAAGAATAACGTTTCTCAGCATAAAATAGCAAAGAACTTTTGCTTTTCATCATCTATGGTACATAATAACATTAAAAGATTCAGAGAATCTAGAGACAAAAAC